AATACAAACACGTGGAACATCCTTCTTTGTCGGTATTGCCTCCACTCAAGAGCGTGGGTGTTCTTGACATAGATGAACCCGCTTATGTGGAGGAGCTGGCACTTCTCATTGAGCGGTCTCGTCATCGTCTGTCCGAACTCCGAATTGGTATTGCCGAAAAGGCCCATATGAGTGCCTGGCTTCTGTGTGGGAAGGACTCTGATGGTTCAACGAGTTGGCCTAGAGCCGATGGCGTACTTGGCATCTTGACACGGCGGCATCTTGACAACAAGCAGGACAATACTATAATCGCCTACTCTGACGAGAAGTCGCTGCCATCTGAGAATTCGATAAGCGAGTCACCAAATTCTACCGAGAGCACACCTCCATTGACTACAAATGGCGAGCAGCAGCCTCTTAGTACCAAGGACAAGAAGCCGTCACCAAGCTCTGGTTTGCCTAACCGGAGTGCATACTCACCGCTACCTTCCTCTAGACCTGACTCTGAAATGCTTTACCTCAAAGTACTCGAGCTAGAGCGCGTACCTCTTTCTGTGCCGACACTACTGCCAGCTGTCGACTGGACTGGACTGACCACTCTCACCATCATGCGATGCGAGGATCATGAGAAGCTGTGGAGGGCTCTCCGTCGCAAGTATGCTCCTCCTGCGATGCCGACAAAACGCCCACAGGATGCAGAGCGTCGAGCGAGTGCCAGCCCAGTTGAATACTCACTAAACTTGAAACACATTCGCACGGACACTGTTTCGCCTTATCTTATACTGTTTATCAAGGATGCGCTGGCTCCGAATACCCTGGAAAGCGTTTATTTGCATGAAGCTCCAGGTCACGAATCTGCTGTGCAGATCGACGCTATCTACAGGCATATCCTGCGAAAACACAGGCAGAGTCTGCGAAAGGTGCTGATTGACGCCACTGACCGTATCATTGGCGCCGAATATTCAGGCACGCGATGGCACAAGTGGATGTTTAACCACGACATGGTATCATTTGTCACCAGTGGAAAGATGCCGCAGTTGAAAGAGCTGGGAATGGCGATGCACTACCGCGATTGGGTAAGAGAAGCATTGAATATTTCGATATCGGGGGCCTTGTGCTAATGGTGACTCCGCAGCATTTCTTCCTCCAAAGATTGCCGAATATGCCCCAGCTTCGTGCTTTGTATCTACCACATATTCACCATACCGCCCACCGCGACCTGAAAGAGCTTGCGCTGCAAGTCTTGGACATCGTCAGCATACGTCCAGACCTGAAGATCGCCTACATTGGTCTCCACATCAAATGCTACCAAATTCTTGAAGCAAGACACGACGATAACCCACTAGATTTTGACGACCACCCCACGGTTGATCATTCTCCGGCGCATAGCGAAGATGAGGATGAAGGGTGGGCTAATCCCAACCACGCATCCGATGAAGGCAGCAATGATTCCGACGAAGATGGCTCAGGGCCAGCTGACACAGACCTCCTTTCCAGTGACCCGGACGACTACGACACCGAACCCGACGAAGAACAGGGTGCTTCGCGGATTCGGTACCGGCTACAGGAGATTCTATTTTACGACGAAAAGGTATCCATTTTCAAGGCGCGTCATGGTGTTTTGTGATCTTATCTTGGCTTGCATTCTTTATGCGCAGGTGTTCGGCCATTTGCGGCGTTTTAAGGGGAAACAGAGAGTTAACGAGATACCATGGCTGTTTTAGCTTAGCACTAAGGTTATTTGTCAACCTTGGAATGACACGTTTTTTTTGGTTTTTAAGGTCGAGTGCTACGTCCACAGGTAGTACCTATGTAATCCTACACTTGAGAGCTTGCTTAATACCGAAAGCTAGGCAAATTACTAGGTTGATGATCAATTATTTACTTTTCACTCAAGTCATGATATCGTAGGATTGCCTTGTTTATGCTAAGGTAACACAATGGGTATCTGAGAGGGTACGCTAGTGTTCAATTGATATATTTGTGGAAAGACAGATTGGTTCATGCGAACTCCTGATGCACATTCTCATACTGAGCACGAATTAGCTCGGCCTCGATCACACGCCTCTTAGCCTTTTCTTCTTCGCTAGAATTGTCTTTGAACACATGGTCCATTTGCTCGAGAGTTCGGCCCTTGGTCTCTGGCACAAAGAAGTAAGTCCACACTCCGGCGAGCAAACAAAAGACGGCGAAGAAGACGTAAGCACCGTAGCCCGTGTCTTGGACAAGAGGCGGGGTGATGAGACCCTTCGGAAATAATCAGTATGTCTGAAAACATTGAGCGACCGGATGATGGTAAGGAGGAACTCACAATGATAAAGTTGTTGAGCCAGTTGGAGCAAGTCGAAAGAGCAACACCCTTGGCACGAAGGGAAGAAGGGAAGATTTCTGGATATGTCAGATTGACGCCTGGTTAACAGGATGAAAGGGTAAAGATACGCACCGGAAGGCATAGCCCACGGGATAGGACCCCAGGTAGCTCCAAAGGCAAGCATATAGAATAGTAGGAAGGCAACACTGGTCCACCCTTCTGCTTTGTGGGATGGCCAATCAACAGAATAAATCCCGACCAAAGCAGCAATGATAATGTGGGATATGGCCATGAGGGCTGCACCACCTAGAAGCAATTTGCGACGGCCGACAACGTCCATGGTCCAGATACTGGTAGTAACACCTACCAACTGTACAACATTGAGAACGCCGGACATGATAAGTTGCATGCTCGTGTCAAGACCCATAGTCGCAAAGAGGGTTGGAGAGTAGTAAATAAGAGCATTGATACCGATGAACTATCCATCTGATTAGCATATATCGGTTATCTCCACATACAAAGAACTCACCTGTTGGAAGAATCCTAGTCCAATACCGATGTGAGTTCGACGCCAGCAGCCCTTCCTGAAGCAATCGGCCCAGGACGAAAGCTCCTGCAGAATGGAGTTCTTTGTGCCGCCACCTTGTAAATCTGGGTGATTTTCCCTGTTCATTTGCTGGTGGAAGCGCACTTCAGCCTGAATATCCATAAGCTCCTGGCGAACACGTCTGTCGGAGGCTGGCAGGGAACGGAGTCTGCAAAGACTATCAAGAGCTTCCTCGTCACGACCCTTTGAAGCCAACCAACGGGGTGAGAACGGAAGAGCGTATACACCGGCGGCGAGGACAAAACCCGGGATCAATTGGAGCAGGAAAGGGAGGCGCCAGGCCCATTCACCAACCATGTATTGTGTGCCATAGGTAATCCAAAAGGCAATCACAATGCCGAGGACAATGCACCATTCTTCAAGAACCAAGAGCGTTCCACGGCATTCGGGGGGACCTAATAGGAGAGACCGGAATAAGCATTTCTATCACATGTGTGAGGAAGGTTTGAAGAAAGAACCCTCCAAGTAAGAAGACATACTGATTTCGGAGATGTACAATGGTGCAACCATAGACAACATTCCGATTCCGACACCACCAATCAGCCGAGCCACCGTCAACATAGGATAACCATAGGCAGCAGTCTGGAGCACAGAGCCAAGAGTGAAGATAGCAACAGCGACGAGAATTGAATAGCGTCGCGAGATCTTATCCGCAATCCAACCCTGATTGAGAGCACCAACCAAAGCGCCTAGCTCAATCATTGCCGTCAACAATCCTTTTGCAAAGCCTGAGCCCGGATTACCCTCGTCTATCCTCGGGAATTCCGTCAAGAACTGGTCCATGACCAGAATCACGGACACAACACCTTGGTCATAACCAAAAAGCAAACCACCCAACGTCGAGCAAGCGGCACACAGGACCACGAACGGATTAGTTGCGAGACCGCGCAGACCGGGTGGACCATAAGGCTCCCGGTCTGAGGAAATGTCGTCGGCATGGTGAGAGAAGCCTTCTACCGTTGGATCATGGGATAACTTTTTCGTAGCGGGGATATCATCAGCCATTTTGAATGGAGATTGAGAATCAAGTTAAAGAAACTTGAAGATTATATTTCTTCTATTTCTTGATTGAAGTGGCAAACACTCTGATATCCAAACATCTACCCCCGGAGGTACTCTGGGGATATTTATACCCATTTTCCCCAGTTACCTCACTGGGGTAGTATACAAGGTTTGTTCCCTCCGTGAATCGGGGCTGATAGGAAGTTGGGGGGGGGGGGTCCCGGTCAGGAAAGCCAATGAGGGTTAAAGCGTGGGATGCAAGTCGGGGTAGATGACGGAGTAGTAGACGGTTCGGCCAGCGGGTTTAGGGAAGATCGGCGCTATTGCGATTGTGGGGAAAACACGGAGAAGAGACATAATAGCACGTCGTCCATTGGCGGCGGCTATTGGCATAGCTCATAGACGTTTCAACTTCCTCTTGGGTCTATACTCGGCCTTTGAGAAATAAGGCTTTCAGCCATACCTTTTGTGTCTGGCCAGACTGGGCATATATACAAAATAGGCATAGTCATGGAAGACAGGCTCATTCCTACAACGTTGTAGGAAATATAGATCCGTTTTGTTTTGAATCTATGTCGTTACAACTCTACAACTTCAGTCAACGATATAAACTTATCCTATGCTTTTGATACTTGTGTCCATATATATATATATCTACTCCGTACCCCATAGTTCAAGTAGCAATGTCACTATAGACCATCTCTTATACGGGATGCCCCAGACGAAACCGCCAAGTTTTCTGGGCACTTCGGGCCGGACATGCATTCGGAAAGTCAAGTGACTATAAGCCGATCTATCCCGTGATGGTTAGGGGACATCTGACTGAATAAGAATAGATGGAATAGATAGAATATACAATATAGGTACAAAGCAGAATACCTACAACCTAGATAATACCCACACACTCCCCACGGGGGACGGGAGTTGGCAAATCCACCTTTTTGATCGAAAACATCGGAATTCGTTGTCCACTTTCCCAGCCTAAGCGGTGTCCCTTTGGTGTCCATTCCGGTAACCATTTTCCCCCCACGGATTCCAGTTCCCGACCCCTCGTTTCCCCTCTGCAACCTTCGGATTTCCCAACTTCATTTTTGAAAAATCATGGCTTCCTTCATGGAAGACCTGTGGTCAAGCATCTTCACCCCAGGACCCACCCCAACCCTCTTGATCGCGACCAACGTCACCTTCGCCGCACTCCAGCTTATCTTCCTCGCCCTCCTCCTAGCCACCTATAGCCTTCACTTCGTCGCCCTATCCATCATTAGTGCTGGACTATGGTGGTCTATCAACTGGTTCGCTGCCGAGGTGCAACTTGCCCAGCAGGCGCAGGAGGCCGAAAAAGAAAAACAAGAGTCTGAGGGTGACGCGAAGACGCGGAAAAGTCCCGCTGTGGGAGAAAGCGCCGAGAGCGATACGGAGACCGAAGCCCTCGATGTCAAGAAGACAGATGATAAGTCTAGTGCTGTCGCGACCGGGAGCGCAACGTCCGGGTTGCTGCCCACAGCTCGCGATCCTAAGAAGCGGCCCAGCACTAGTGGTGAGGGGTCCGGGTATGGAAGCACTGATAGCGAGTGGGAGAAGGTTGATGATACTAAGTCTTGAGGGACACTTGGCACTCAAGGATACACATATACCTTGCTTCGAAATATCTACACCCTCACCTGGAACATGGTTGCACACTGCATGTTTACCAGATCCCGGACCCCTCAACGAATGCGTAGGACGCGTTCATGGTGGCACAAACTCTATGTTGACCTTTTGCGTGCCTTAGCTAGGATCTGGATTTGATTTCGGATTTGATTTTGGATTTGCACGCGTATATACCTATGCCCTCTTGTCTGTTTGTTTCGGAGCGATACCCCATACTATGTAGATGGTGCAATTTACAGTAGCTCGCGCTTGATTTTGATTTTGACAGGGACCTAAGATCTTCCTCTTTGAATACATCCATTAACAATAACATTCAACACTATTCTCTCGACCGTATAAAACGAAGTAAACAGAATCGGAGTTGAAGCTTCAAAGCATCCACGTGACCCTCCAATCCAAACATTGAACTCCGCAACATAACAGAGACAACCATCGAAGACGACCGGAGCAGCAACCAAACCCCCCCCCCCCCCCCCCCCCCCCCAGCTGCATCTCACAATGCCCGATGTCCCTTGATCAAAATGCTCTCAACCGTACCCCTCAATGTGGGGCGTAGGCGCGTCTGCAGCTCCGTCTTCTCCCCCGCGTCTCTCGAAGCTCACCCGCCGAGGTCGACCTCGGATTACCAACGCGAGCAGACCCCAGTCGCGTCATTCGAAGAATCAATCGACTCCTCGTCAACCTTTAAAGTAGACTCGCAATCAACCTCATTCGCGACGATTGGGGGATCGACGGACGCTGCATCCCCAGAGGAAGACGCATTGAACCAGGCGCGGCAGACGGCGAAAGAGTTTCTGTCTGTACCCAATCTGGGATTCGACTTGCTTTACAATTTCCGGAATACCGATGGAAGTCAGGCATTAAAAGAATGGGACCGGCTCAGCCCTCCGTCGAAGGAGACGGCCGAGGCGCTGGAGTATCTTATGCGAACTTCTCCGTGGACATTGTTTGAATGGTATGGAAATGATATTAGGAGGCATTTTTTGGTCAATATTCGGGCTGGACTATCTAAGGTATGGACGCTGTGCGTCATTTGAATTTGTTGAGCCGGTCCGTGCTAACGGTCTTATAGTTGTTAAAGTCCCCCGGAGAAGAAGGTCTGCTCCGGACAGTTGTGGACTGCTTACAGCTTGCGCGTCGAATTTATCTCGCTCCCGTCGTCCACCATCTGCTTCCTTTGATAGCTGCTCCCCACCAGGGAGGGTTCTTGGCTCAACTACAGCGGGCCTTTCATACGGTGGTTCAATACAGTCTACCCTGGAAGATGATTTCACCACTCCTCGCCAGAGAGCTTACGCAAGATGCTGTGATTATCCTAGGCATTGATACCCTGGATGAAGATTCCGATGCAGACAGAATGAGTCTCGATGGAACGGAGATGGAACGGGCATACTCCGTCTCGTACAAAGATTGGAGGCAAGAATCACCCGAAGCCCAGGCTTATATGATGGTCAAGGGCGAAGGTGGCTGCGTGACCATTGCACGGGATCGACTTTTGGCGTTTCTCAACGGACTGCAGCTTGTCGGGCTCGGCGGAGATCAGGCCCAGAAGGTGTTCGCCAATGTGATGAACATCATGATGGGAGACTTCATTCGTGCCGCCTACGCCGGAGAATGGGAGTCGCCCTCAACTGCGCCGCAGCACCTGGAACAATGGGTTGAAAACGTTTATGCACGGCTCGCTGTGCAGGTTCTGGACATCATCCATTCTGACCCCGCTGGAACCCAATCTGGGGCAATGGAAGTGAGCTTGCGCGACGTGGAAAAGTGGCGAGCGATGGGTATTGCCCGGCTGGGCAAGCTTCGAGTCAGCGAGCTTTTCGATGTGGTTGTTGATTGGCCTGCAAGCAGCGGGGCGGTGGAGGATCTGCGACGTTTCACAAACAACTCGTCTGGAGCACGATTATACGTGACGCATTTCTTTTCTATTAACTTGTTCCAGCGATTGTTGCATCCCGGTGCTTCTACCGTCGAGATCTTGCAGGTTTACATCTCGATCATTCGAGCATTTCATATCTTGGACCCCAAGGGTGTTCTGCTAGATCGTATCGCTCGACCGATCCGGCGATACTTGAGGGACCGCGATGACACTGTCAAGGTGATTGTTAGTGGTCTATTGGCGGACCCCGCGACAGCCGACGGACCAACAGCTGCCGGCGACACCCTATCAGAGCTGGCGGCAGAGCTAACCAAGGTCCACCAGCATTCCATGCAAAACAATAGGAGCGAGCTAGACTATGACGATCTGTACTGGGTGCCCGATCCAGTTGATGCCGCTCCTGATTACAAAAAATCGAAGAGTGCAGATGTCATTGACAGTCTGGTTAGCTTGTTCGACTCGAAGGAGACCTTTGTGAAGGAAATGCAGACTCTTCTCGCAGACCGTCTTATCCAGAAACGCCAGAACTACGACCAAGAGATTACAGTACTGGAGCTTCTGAAGGTCCGATTCGGTGATTCGGCACTACAGGCATGCGAGGTGATGCTGAAAGATATCTCCGACTCGCGACGTCTCGACCTCACCGTGCGGAATGATCAGATATTGTCCGGATATCGGAAGCAAGCAGGCGTCGGGAAACTCCACGCCAAGGTTCTATCACGCTTCTTCTGGCCGGAGTTCCAAGAACAAGAATTCAAGGTCCCCGATGAAATCACCAAACTGCAAGAGCGGTACGCGGCTTGCTTCGAAAGGCGCAAGGACTCGCGTAAGCTCATGTGGCGCAACTCCTTGGGTCAGGTCACCGTCGAGTTGGAGTTAGAGAACCACACCTTCAAAGACGAAGTGACAACCTGGCAAGCAACCGTGATCTATGCCTTCCAGTCCGACTCAAGCGAACCCGCCACAAGAACAATCCCGGAACTCGCCGACGAGCTCGAGATGACACCTCCCCTTGTACGCAGCGCCTGTCTCTTCTGGGTCAGCAAGCGCATCCTCACCGAGATCCACCGCGACACCTTCCGCGTGTTGGAAATTCTCCCCGCAGAAGACGAGGAACACCATGCGCACGCAGCTGGCAACTTCAGCGATGTCTCGGACAACGAAGCAGGCGACACGACCAACGCAGCGGCAGCGGCTGAAGCAGCGGCGGCCGCAGCAGCAAAGGAATCTGCCGAGGCGGCTGCCATGGAGAAAATGAATGTTCATTGGCAGTTCATTGTGGGCATGCTCACGAATCAAGGACCTATGGCTCTGAACCGTATTGTCATGATGTTGAAGATAGCCGTTCCAGGCGGGTTCCCGTTCAGCAACGAAGAATTGCGCGAGTTCTTAAGTGGTATGGTTTCAAAGGGCAAGTTAGAGATTGTTAACGGCGGCAATTACAAGATCGTGCATTAGCATCAGCCAGGCGTCTGTCGAGTGTGGGGGGTTTTTTTTCCTTCTTTTGGCGTTGCTGGAACCGATGTATAAGAATACCCTTGAAAGAATATGATTTATGAATGATAACTAGATTGGACCAACTAGGCGGGCCCATGCAGTGGCGACCCAAAAGGGAAGGGGTGCTTTATTCTCCGGGAAAAAAAGGCGGCGATGGAGATGTTCCTATTCTTGGAAATGTCCAACATGCTATGTCTTCAAAAGGTAAAGGGGAAATGCCCCGTTCACCAACATGCAATGATACCCCCCCCAAAGTAAAGGCAAGGCTGGAAGAACGGTAGCGTCAAAGTAAAATTAATTATTAGGAGTGAAGGGATTCAGTTGTCTCCAAATGACTCTAGAGGCACTATTAAATGTTATTGAAGCTACCGTTATACCACGATGATATAGAAGAAGCTCACTGCCTTCCCATGCATGTATACAACAACCCAGAGAAGAAATGAAGAAGGAAGGGAAAAGGTATCATTGAAATCTATAACCATAACCAAAGCAGATCAAATCTTACTCGGCATCCAAAAGAGCAACAGGAGCCTGATCATCAACCTGAATTCCACCTCTCTTCTTCTCATTACTATCCCAGAAAGGCAACTTCCAGCCACCCTCATTCTCAGGTGTTGCCAGCCAAAGACGCATAAGATGACGACGCGGGGCAGGGGGTGCATGATCCGTGTACGCGGTGCGGGCGTGTAGAACGTGCGCATTCGACAAGAACTGAATATCACCGATATCGAGGATCATGTGCAGAGACAAGCGTACGCAGGTTTCTTCCAGCACGCGGAGGGCTTCTTGCTGTGCGTCTGACAGCGGGGGGATGATTCCTGCGTCGCTGAAGCGGCCGAGGGAGCGGACGTAGTATGGGTCCCATCTGGTATTGTTGTTAGACACTGATGATTGGGAATAGGGGGCGCTGATGGGGCTTACTTTGTGTAGACACGGGCGTTCTCGCCGCGCTCGAGGTAAATTACGCTGGTGCGGATGTACTCCTCCTGTCCTTTGCTTGTCTCACCCTTGCGGTCGAAGTACCAGATTGGTTCAGTGAGGGTCTTGAGGACGTCCGGGCGTTCTGTGGCGAGGGTATTGTAGACGTGGTGGGAGGAGACGAGATCTGATTCGCCGCCTTCGAGGGCCTTGGCGATGCAGAGGAGGCCGACGATGTCCGAGTCATCGGCGTGAAAGTATTGGCTGAGTGAGGGTGTTAGTTTATTGTTCGTTTGCGCATTCGCTGGAGACGAAACTCACCGAGCATTGGTGCGGTAGATGCGCACTTTGTCGATCTGGGTCGAGTCTTCACCGAGATCCTTGACGTGGCCGAGGACATGGCCGCGACTATTCTGGCTGACGAAGTAGCCGAGATATGTTCCGAGGCCCATGTATGCCACGGCGGACTTGTGATTACCCCATTTCTCTACGGGGAAGCCTTTGAAGAGGATGAAGCCCTTGCCGTCGATGAGGTCTGCGCGCAGGTCGTGCAGGTAGGCGGCTAGGTTGGGGAGTTGGAAGTTTGTCTATTGAAAGGATGATGAGTTTATGTTTTATAGTCTAGATATGACCTGTGACGTTCTCACCTTGGAGATTCCGGTCAGCGGGGTCTTGGATGCGAGGAAAGCATCCGATGCTGTGCTCAGCTCATCAATCTGGTCCTGGGTGAAGACATGCGTCCATTTTTCTGGGTTCTCGCGGTAGTCTTCCGCCTTCCAGACTGTTGGGCCGTCGATTTGTTTGGGGAATTTGTCGAAGGGGATGATGTGGTCGTATAGTGGGGGATGTTGGCCGGTGGTCTTCAGTCCATCAGGGAACAAATCCCATGAGATGGGCCCCGCGAGGTCGTGAGGGGCAGTTGGGAGAGAGGATGTAGCAGCGGGAGCCATGGTGGACAGTTATTAAAGAGGGGAATATAATATACAGATGAAGCACTCAAATGCAGGGCCGTTGGTTATTTATATTTTGTCCGATCTATGTAGATGGTGAGCAATGTAGTGGATTATATGGCGTGACGAGATCCGATAATTTTACGAAAAAGTATTCTTAGTCTTTTCTGTCTTTTCTGTCTTTTCTTGTATAGCGGAATGAGTGCCGCTACTATACAAATGAAGCCGATTGGAAGTTGAAGGGCCGGGATGGCGCAATTTGCGGGGTAGGATGTTGTGATGGCAGTGGGGGATCACGTATATTAGGAGCTGTTGGGAGATATTGGGAGATATTGGGAGCTATTCAAGTTATTAGACATGGTACATTTTAGTAATAGAGATAGGAATATAGTCAATTGGCTACTTGTGTAGTAATATAGCAATTCACGTTGAAATAAGGGCAAGGTAGACGATTCTAGCAATGTATATATTCACATACTATATGTTTAAATATATAATTGCCCATCTCTAACATCCAACCAGTCACAGTCTCGGCCGATAGACTAAGGTTATCCATTATCCTCGGGCACAACATATTCTGACCACAACCGTACCGGCAAGTCGTGTACGTCGTGCATGAACCGGCTGGTCGGGTTGATTAGATCCAAAAGAAGAAGTGCTCTAGGCAGATCCCATCTATCAATCTTGGGACTTATACATGTGAATAATCTATCGGGCGAGAGGTGTAAGTTTTCTTCATGTTTTACTTTAAATATGGGTTGGTCTTAGGGCTATGGGTACATGGTAATCCGTTCCTGGTTAACCACACAACTCTCTTCGCAACTGATAATTCACGCTATGCCCATGGGTATATCTCAAAGCACTTGTCTTCTTTCATAACTACCTTTGAATATTGTATGTTCTTGCTCTCGTGCTTCTTGATCCTTTACTTTTTTTTTTATTTTTTTTACCTTCATGGTCTTTGGATGCACTATTTCAACATTTTTTTTCTTTCCTTCCCTTTTCACTATCTCTTCCAAGACCTCCATCCAACCTAACTATTTTGTGACTTTTATCTCTTTTGATGTTCCTGACGTTACTCATGCATCCACAGATCTTCTGTAGACAAGGATTCACTTTCCTTTTTGGGATACCCCACCAGATTACCCAAATCCTTATCGGGAGTGGGGATGCGAACACCCTTTGGCAACTTCAATTTTCATATTTGTAGACTCGCATATCATATTATTTCGTTTAGCACTTTGCATTTTATTTGAATAGAGGATATCCAAGCCCATGGCTCAACACAAGATCCACGTGGCCGTGCTAGACGCCGACATTCCCTGCCTCTCAGTATACAAAGCACGAGGTTTATACAGCTCGCAATTCCGCGTCCTGCTACAAGCAGCCGCCCAGCGCCTGAACGAAATACCAGAAACCCTCAAAAAGGGACCTCTCGCCGTCCACGTAACAGCCTTTGATGCCGTAGGGGGGTCCCTACCTCCTCTAGAGACCCTACGGACCAACCCCCAGTCCCCAGCCGAGCCTCACGCCGGCGGACCATTGAGTCCAATAGATGCAATCCTGATCACGGGCTCAGTATCGTCAGCCTATGAAGACGAACCCTGGATCTATGAAATGCAATCCTACATCCAAACAGTGCACACCCACTACCCAAACATAAAGCTCTTCGGCTCCTGTTTCGGGCACCAGATAATCGCCCAATCCCTCCTCAGCACCAAAGCAAACCCCAACAGCCCACTGTCATCAACATTCCACGTCGCGCAGTCCCCCGCCGGCTTTGAAATGGGCATCCAACCCATCACCCTCCAGCCCTCCTTCACTGCGTGCTTCCCGCCTCTTGCGCGCGCTACAGCTCAGAACTCATTCCGCATCCAGCTCATCCACGGCGACGCAGTTGTACCGACCCCCGAGACCGAAGCTGCCGCGGATCAGGCGGGAATCTCGCTGCCGGCCCCGTGGTCTAGTATTGGGAGTAGTGCACAGTGTGCTATCCAGGGTCTTTATAACCCCGGTCGGGTCCTGACGTACCAGGGTCACTTTGAATTTGATACCTTTGTCAATGGGGAGCTAGTGCAGGAAATTGGGCGTCGTGCGGGTTGGTCGGCGGCTGTTGTGGCAGAGTATCTGGAGCAGATTTATCGTTCGCACATTCCTGGGTTGGAGGATGACGATGATGCTAAGGCTGCTGCTGAGGCCGTTCTGTTGTTCTTTGCTGGGGAGGAAGGTGATTTGATGGAGTGTGGCGGTGGTACTGGTATTATGACTCCTCCGCTGGATTGATTGATTGATTGATTGATTGATTGGGGTGTGGTTTTTTTTTTGTTTTTTTGTTTTTTACGGTCGGAGTGAGATGTGACGATGCTCGGATATGTATGGTATTTAGCGGTATTAGCTGGAGAGCTACGTTTTTCGATCGGTTATTGGGGACTTTTGTGTCCAAGCTGGTTTCTGCATTTCCGTATTTCAGCATTCTGCGGTTGAGCGAGTTTATTCAGGTTGAATCCCTTGAAGGCAAACCGCGCAAGGGTTTCGGGTGGTGCTAAGCAACACGAATCGGATTTGCGTACAATTATAGTTCGTGCTCAGCTCTCAGCCACCCCTTAGTGGCGACTGGGTTACTATGATGATGGACCCTGCATGGCTGAGACGTGGTATGTTGGTCTGCAGGGATCAACGCACAAGGATGGGAATAGAATTAGGTACAATGGCCATAGTTCTTAGATCTGTACCATGCATGGAGTACTTATTATAGACTGCATGAAAGCTAAACCAGAATTCTAAGATCAGATACACAGTTAGCCCACAATGAAAGTCTCGACTTGAAAGCTCCCCACCTTGTCATAATTAAGTGGAGCGTGACATGCTTGACATTTCCTTACGGATAGATAGTGTACAGGTCTGATAACAGCTATATTATACCATACATCTGTATTTTGGATATTCTACATATATCATTGGATATTACTAGTTATATGTTATATACGTAACAGAATACCAAAACCAAAACCAAAACCCAAACTCTCGAACTTGAAGTCTCAGACTTTTCCGTTGATCCCCCCTGCACGGCCACCCAGAACCGGGATGGTGTGAGAGTTACACCAATGAGAATGGAGGTAATTGGTGACTAGGCGGGGACTGGGGGCCAATCAGGCTGCTTTTGGGTGCTCTTCATCGGGAGTTGGTTATACAGGGTATTAGGGGTATCTTTGGTATTTAGGCATTCAAGTAACCTGGAAAGCTGTGCCTTTATTCGATTGGAGTTAAGGGTAAACGGAGGAGATCGGAGCTGGGACAGGTACTTGAGAAATACTCGAGAGATGTATATAAGAGTGATTCTGGGTATAGAAGGATGCTCAGGGCATAAGTCACGCGCTTGCTTATACCTGAGCACTGTAAGTACTTGCGTACACCTCCCCGAGGCCCCTTTTTTGCTCTGCATTACTACGATGTATATGCTGAAAACGGAGTACTTATTGTATGCTCGATCTTAGAATAGGTACAGATACATGTACATTCTGTACTAGAACAATTAACAACCCGTGGAAACCAATAATACAACACGTAATATTACACTGTAACGTGGCGCTAGTTCGCCACCCGGAGCTTCCCTCCCTTCTGGAATGAAGCTTAGGAGCTGGGGAGAGCTTCGGAGGGGCCGCTGATAGCGCCTATCGCGACATAATTTTTCTTTTCTTTTCCTTTTGCCCGAAGCTGTGAGTTATATGTTTGTATGCTACCTAAATTGATATATTTTAATATGGGTCCGAATAATGCATTAGAAGTATCTGAGGATGTCACAAAAAAAAAAAAAAAAAAAAGCAAAGGCAATGAAAATCGCTAGAGCTCGGTGTTCCACCGGGGTTTCCGAAATTCCGTGCTATTCCGTATTTAAATACCAATACCGTACGGTCCCTTCTTCTTTTTTTTCCCTCAATTTTTTCCCTCTCCCTTTTTTAAGTAGTATCAGTACGGAGTAATAGTATGAGTAATACTATGTAGCGTGGAACATTCCAAGAATGGGGATTCTTACAAGGGAAGCTCAAAGCTACACGCCCCTCTTTTTGGTTATCGATACTCGATAGGGAACGATAGCCACGTATGCGAGCCCATAGTTAACTAGAGTAAACTACAATATAGAAAGGTTAGAATAAAGCTGTTCCTGACTAGAATTAATAGAATCAATAGAACCATAACTAGAATTTAGCTATAGAAAAAAATCAAATCAAACCAAAGAACAAGAACAAGAACGGGGCAAAAAATAGAATAAGGCGAAGTCTGCGTAATTACCCGTAATACCCCCCAGTGCCCTCCCACACTCCCCCAAGTAACTCTCTGAATGTATGAGCCGCCCTCTCATCCTTTTCCTCTTTTTTTACCCATTTTCCAATTCTTCCCTTCTTCTCTTTTACCAGAGCATGTTGAACTGCATTTTTGTCTATTGTTCACATAAACCCTGTCTGTGCTTGGCTGACCTCTTTATTCGCCCCTCCTTTTTTTTTAATCTCTCGGATGAAACATATGCACCATGCCTCCTCGAAGCTCACTGACCAGCTCTTTCTCGGTAACCGATGCCAATAATGAGGTGGTCTGTCCCTTGAAGAACAACGATAATTCCAATTGTCGCAAACGATGCCTTGGTGTGAGTATTTGCCCTCGAACCCCCACCTAGCACCTTGCTTGTGAAAGCTATACCCGTACAACTCTGGTGTTCAACTTGAACTAATCCGGTTGGTGCTCTAGGAAAAACGCTATCGCTCCATGCAGGAGCACATTCGACGTGCGCATCCGAACCATTACATCCCGAAGCTCCCGGCTACCGAGGAGAGCTTCCTGATGATGGTGAACACCCCGCTCGAGCAACGGGTCCAGCTGTCACCCCCCGAACCCGCTCAACCCCGACGACCCCACGGTAAGTTTGTTGCTTTGATTGCCCTGCTTTCTGGCTAAATATACTGACGGCTACCCACAGATGTGGCACCGGAAAGGGACATCTATGTCGCCGACGGTTCCCCGGCTACCCCTCGAGCTCTGGATGAACCCCACCCAGCCGCGGCTACCGCAGCGGTTGCGCTGGCACAACTGCACCACCATCGACTGGCCTCGGACTGGGATACAGACATGGTTTGTCGCTCCAGACTGTTGTGGGCTTCGAGGCCTGAGTCTCTCCACAGTGGCACTGACCCGCATTTCCCCAGGATACCCATTCGGATACCGACTTGAGTCATCCTCGTCTGCGCGGAGCTATTGAACTTCCCCCACTCCGCGACCATTTCAAGCAGGAATCTCTCCCACCGTTTACGCCTCGTCCCCGCGAGCTTCTTCCATCAATCCTCAATCACTCCCCACCCGGTCGCTCATCCACATTACCGCCAATCCAGCGGAGAGATAAGTTTTGCCGCCCGCGAAAATCGTCCATCACCCAATCTGCCCGTAAACCCAAGCAAGATCGCCCCAAGTCAAAAGAATTTGGGCGGCGACCAAGCCTCGGTGACCGCAAAGCCCTTTCGGCAGAGCCACAAACCGCGGCCTGGGCGCAAGGCAAGCGCTGGGAGGATTTGATTGAAGCCGCGACGTCAGCAACCGAAGTAGACGATGAGCCTTATTCAGAGGTGAGTTTGAATGCAATTATGGACTCTTTATTTTCGGTGCTGATGCGCCAAATTTAGGCTGGTCGGTCTCCAACAATTGCCCCACTACTTTCCACCGTGACGTCTGCTCCCTCTGGAGTGAAAAATCGATCCTCGCTACCACCCGCTTTCCAATCCGCAGGATTGCCGCCTATTTCTTCACATCGGCCATTCCCACCGCATTCGTATGCCGCCTCGCCTTTGCATAAATCATTGACCCCACCACCATACGAGAACCACCGCGGCCGTGAGAGCGACTTGGAACCATTCCCATCAATTGAATCATCGCTCGATTCTATGTCTTCAGCATCCGGCAGAAATTTTGCGTCATCGGTTTCGGGAGTGGCGCCTTCCATAAACTCTGATTCCAGCCCAGTTATGAATCTTATCCCGTCCATTTCCCAGCGCCAACAACACCGATTCTCCAATCCTACTCCGGCATCTTTCCGCAACAAAGAGGTTCAGGTGTTTTGCGCTCAGTGCAAACGACCCTCGGCACTGAACGAGTGCTATGCCTGTACGGAGTGCATCTGTGGAGTCTGCCGCGACTGCGTGGGAATGTTCATTTCAAGTCCGCCCGCTTCGTTCCGCACTCCGGGGAATGGCCCATTAAATACTGCCCCGTCACAAGGACCAACAAGTTACCCTGGTCCTCGCGGATGCCCACGATGTCGAACGGTGGGAGGCAAATGGAAGGCCTTCCAAATCGACATCAAGTGAACGACTTCAACTAGACAGCCTACATTTTTGACTTTACGCATTTTACGACTGATGTCTGATCCACGTTCATTCTTACACTGTTATTTATTCTTCACCATTCGATCGGCTTTTCTGATTTTGTGGTACGGTTAGGGGGTTTGTTTGTTTGTTTTTTGTTTGTTTTTTTTTTCTTTCTCTTTTTCTACTGCGATCTGGCAGGATCCATCATCCAGACGATGTTACAGCAGTTACTTTTTCCCGGCCAGGTCTTTTCGGTGCAGGTTTCCGACAGTCAAAATCCCGAAGAAGCTGGTCTTCCACATTCAAGGTCTACATTTTCTTTCTCTCCGCATTCCGGTTCATGTGGACATACTCTTTTGGTCATGAGGTATATGCTTTTGATGCTTTTCAAGTCTTTCATGTGATGCGAACTTGTACTGCAATGATTTCATTCTGCCGCGCTGTTTATAGAAGAGAACTGTGGCCGTGAGAGGCAGCCTGTCCTCCCCCGCCATCCAGTTCTTGATTTATATAACTACCAATTCACTCATCCCAGATGACACTGCTGAGACCCTCCGCAGTCCCCACCTTCCCGGGCTCACCAACCTGTAGAGAAGCAACTTCCTCACTTAGTTTCCCCGTCGCCGGATCCCGACGCACAATCGCAACCGTCGCAGAAGCCTGATTCCCAATGGCAACCAGATCCCCGGCCCGATTAATCACAAAAGTCCGCGGCACCTTCCCAAATGCGGAAGACGAGTCTCGCAACTTCAGCGACCCATCCACCGGCGACCGATCAAGCACAACGATGGAATCATTGGGCTTGAACCCTTGATCAGTCCGAATCGAAACATAAAACTCATTCCCAATCCTAGTAATCTCCGCCGGCGTCGCACCCTCAGGCATAACACCCCCGGGATACGGCACTAGCGTTTGCGTCTTCTCGAAAGACAAACAGCCAGACCTCGAATACGAAACATCAAACACCATGATCGTACCCCCAATCTCGTTAGCAAGATACAACATCGTCTCGCCGATAGCCGCCACCTTCCGGGAATGCGTCGACCCAACCCCAGCCGACCGGTTAGTGCCATCTGTCCAGAACACCCCGTGTCGTGGCCCGCTACCGTAGGTAATGTTCAGGCTCGGACACTCCGAGAGCTTTCCCGACGGACCATTTTGGATCGCGTACACGCGCAGCAGGTCCGCGCCCAGGTCCGGACTGAGGATGAACGAGCCGGTCGGGTCGAGGAAGACTTCATGCGGGTGTGGGGAGTCCTGCTGGGCGACTTTGCCCGGCCTGGTCAAGTTGAAATGGAAGGCTTGCAGGGCTGGTTGGTTTTGTTTGATGGGTAGGGCGAAGGTTGAGATGGCCGATCCTTCGCTATTAGATTGTTAGCACCCACATTCACCACACCCCAAGGCAAAACCTTAATTCTGGGAAGGAATGTAGGTAAGAAGAAAAGAAGAAAGAAGAAAAGAAGAAAAAACAAAACAAAATAAAATAAAAACAAGGGGGAAAAACTAGGGGAAAAACAAGGGGAAAAAAACATACTAATGCGCAATTGCAATAAACTTCTTTCCGGCATCCGACTTATAGATCACACTATTCACGCCGCCACCGACAGTCTTTGCGACTGCGCCTTCGCGCAGTGTGCCGTCTGATTTGACATGCAAGGCCGTTAGCGAGCCGTGCGTGGAAGCATCGGCCGTGCCGCTCTCATCGGAGCAGTAGACGGTGCGGGTGTGCGCATCTAGGGTAAGCCAACTTGGCATATCACCACAGGTGTTGAGGGTTTGTGATAGGGAAAGGTTATTGTTTTTCAGCGTTAAGCTGTAAACATTGCCATTGTAGTGGGTTGCCCAGAGGTGAGCTGGTTTGGAGGCAATTGCTGCCGATGTTGTTCCTATAGCGGATAGGATAGGAAGGAGGGTTTGAAGGTGCATTTTGGGGGAATTGGTAGGTTGTTGCTACCTATGAGGATTGATGTGGGATGGGTTGTATGTAAATAGTAGATGTGATATGATGTACTGGGAGGGGAATGTGAGACGCGATGGGGGATCGGCGGTGACTCTGCAGGAATGGATCGAAAGGGAAGAGGGGAGAAAGGGTGACATTGTCTTGAGGTTGTATTGATGCTTTCTGTTTCAGTTGTGCATATTGTGCTTGCAGACGGAGATATAACGGAAATTAATTAGGGTTAAGTTAAGGGATAATTGGGTATCGGATCTATTCTCCCCAGTCACATCGTAAAGAGAACCATTTTCATCACGGCTACTCCGTATTCCGTATATTCCGTATATTCCGTCTTCCGCATATTCCGTATACTCCATACATGCTATATGCTACATGCGACGTGCATAATATCTCAAATGCAACTATATTTGACTTTCTTAGCTTAGGTTCACCCCCATGTTGCGTGGGGGTTTCAATTCGAATTGGGCTTGACCGATAGACCGAAAATCTATTCTATAATTCACGGATTTCTCTAAACAAGAGTCAGACCGGTATAGCAGACATCATTGCGCACAAGCTCAGTCTTAACTCCATCATCCAATGACACCGAGTACAAGCTACCCCCTAGATCGGCCACATACACAATGTTGCTCACCTTATCCAACTTCAAGCCAATAGGTTCGTGGAAGTGACGCGCCAGAATAACCTTCTGGAAATCCATCTCTTCACCACCAACATACGCGCGGTTTAGCGTGCAGCCGAAAGGGTGCTCACCACGATCCGTCCAGTACAGAGTCCGACTCTCGCTATCCAACTCAATATCAATAGGCTCGGGGAGGTTATTCCACAGACGCCGGATGTCACGCCGATTCTCGGCAGTCTCACCCTCAGGAATATCCAAGCCAGCGCAGAAGATCTGACCACAACCAGCCTTGCAGGGCCCCTTCTGTGTCCAGTACAAGAGACCGCGCTCAGCGTCGATAGCAACACCCACACACCAAAGCGCCATCTGTTCCAACAGACTGGTACCAGGCTCCACACGGCGCTGAACCAGGATAACGTGGTTACTACCATCATAATCACAGCGATGCACGCTTGTGCCCTCACGGTCACAAAAGTAAATCTGTTTTCGCGACTCGATAACGGCGAGTTGCTTGGGCGTGTGCACCCCTCCAATGGGGACAAGGCACGTCATATCGCCGCCGTCTAAATCAGCCGACCAGACGGAGCCATCACAGGCTGCAGTGTTGCGGCCCATACTCGTCCAGAAGACGCGCTGCGTCTCCAGTGACACGTCGATACCGTCGGGCATGTTCAGACCGACAACGACGGGGGTGAGTTTCTGTGTTGCGAGGTTGAGACGCAGGATTTTGCCATTGGAGTGCACCTGCGAGACATCCTTTGCATTTCCGCCGAGCCCGACATCCAACAGGTAGATGTCTTTCGCCGCGCTGTGCGGGTTTGCTGGGGTTGCTTCTGCGGAAGCGGATTTCGCGAGCGGGGGGTAGAGGCCGCCCTTTTCGCTCTTCTTACCGAGGCGGTTTTGCTCGATGTATTCCTTACGTAGCCAGTCGACGGTTGAGGCGGAGGGAAGACCTCTCTCTTGGATGTAGTTTTCTTCGATGAAGGCAACGGTGTCGAGGCCGACTTGGTCCATCAGTTGGCAGGGGAGAGGGCCATTCCTGAACATGTGTTCCCAGAGTAAGTCAATTTCGCTGGGGTCGCTGACGCCTTCGGAGAGGATTTGCATGATTTCGCGCTTGACTGCTGCCCAAATGCGGTTGAAGATAAATCTATACGGGGGTTGGGTCAGTCTGTTGTGCTGATATATTGATTTTCTTTCTGCTTTTGGAATAGTAATACATACCCGGTCGATTCGCGGCGAGCTGTGACTGGCAACATGCCACACTCACCCAAGACAGCCTCCAAGTAAGGGAAGATCTCTGGATCGGTCTTACCGCAGGTCATCAGCTCGACCATGCGGATAGAAGGAGGCATAGCGAAGTGAATATTGAAGACCTTGCGCTGGCGCTTGGGAGAGACCTTAACAAGCATCAAGGTTGACTTCATCGAGGAGCTGTTGGAGCCGATGTAACAATCGGCCGGAGCGTACTTATCCAACTCCCCCAAAACATCAATCTTCAACTGCAGCACCTCAGGCACAGCCTCGACAATCAACCAAGCATTGGAAATGGCGGGTTCGAGCTCGGTGAAAGTCTTGCAATTGCCGTAGGGGGCGGAAGTATACAACTCGAGATCAACCTGGGAAATGGCGGCCTCCTCCTTTGGCCTATCCGCCTTTCCCTCCTTATCCTCTTCGCGTGCCTTGTGAATGCGTGGCATCAACGAGAACGCGGCTTTATGGCGATCGATGTAATCTGCCGCGTCGCGGAGAGCCACCGGCGAGAGATCCCGGATGTGGACATGGTAGCCAGCAGCGATGAAGACACAGGCGATGCGGCGGCCAAGGACACCGCCGCCGATAACTGCGACGGGGCGGTCGGTTCTGGGCTTAATACCCATATTGGAGATATTGGTAGGAGGAGTATGAGGGGAGGGAGGTGGCAATGTAGATGTCTGTTGGTATATAAAATGTGTGTAGATATGACGTGAACGGCGGAAAAGGCCTGGACTTATTCAGGAAAATATCACCACGGCGACAGTTGAGTATAGTCTTCTTTATATGCCTTTCTTTTTAATTAATATATCTAGGATGATGGTGTTCGAATGGATTAGCTTCTACAATACTAAGGTCCCTGCTGCATTATCACCATGTTCTACTTGATCGGAGATGAAGTATCAACAGCACAGTCTGTGACTTTCGATTCAATGGAAGATTGAAGATGTCAAGCGCGCTGTGGAAGCTGTTTTCCATGTCGCTGCACCACTTGGTATGTGTTGCCAGTCACTATACATGAACTTCGGCCAATATGATCAGGCTTGACCTTCCACGGAGAAAACGAACAAGAAATCTCCTTGGTAGAGGAGATTCTTAGCACGGCCTCATCACAACCATACCCATAGGTCTTCGTGTCGATGGTCAAGCAGTTTAGAGCCCCTAAGGCCCCGAGAATCTCCCACTCGTGGGCAGCTTCTATAAGATCTTCCCCGACCATCTAGGCAACCACTACCGACTGTTCCGCAAATACGGTCATGTTATCAGGACCACCAACATGGGAAAGTCAACATATATGACTGATAGTCCCGAAGGTGGCAGCTATTGCCCTGACCGAATCGGCCCACATGACCAAGAAGATCAACAGAGACTGAGAACTGGCACTTGGCTCACAAGTTCTTGCCACCATGTCGGTTGTGTGGATGGCGTCTCCAAATCAGACTGCGACATTGCCACTTCGTGGATAAATCTCGGTAGTAATATTTTTAAGCTAGACAAACGCATGAGACCAAGTGCTAGGGATTGCGGTCTGGTTCCTTCTGGGCATCAATCCTCCTTCTCACCACTTCCAGCGATTGTTTTGTTCACTTTTGACTTCGCCTTGATGGAAAGGTACTTGTACCAGACCGGGGAGTTGAGAACTAGCAAAAATCTCACAAAGTTGTAGTCGTCCCATTTCGTGTCTGGGGAGATACGGTTAGCCTGCCTGAAACCGGAGACTTTTCTATGCGTCGTTAGCTTGAGATTGCAAGAGATAGAGTGGAGCATACACATCATCTGTGGTCTTGTTGAGGATGATCTTTGATGCGGTCGTCCGGCTTAGCTCGTACCCAAACCTCAAACCTGCCCTAGGTCTAGTCAGCTATCAGTACGTGGCCATAATCAAACTGTTCAGTAACAAATGTGTAGGCCATTTTGAACTTCCTGCGGATGCTTTCTCGTCGGCTGTAGGGAAGGCTCCAGAACTCAATCTCAGGAGGATAATATCCTCGGACCTTTTCCCATACAAGGTGGATGATATATCCGTCGGGGACAAGGTCGTTCTCGTCTTGCTTGTCGATTTGACATCCAAGGAGTTTGGGGGTAGTAGTACACCTGTTCTTTGTAAGATGCTTTAAGGCATGGAACTCCACGTGGTATCGTGGTCTGGAGGCCTGTGCCTTGCGAACGCTCAAGTTGTCAAGTTCAGTGCTAACCAGAGGAATTTGTTTGTAGATGCGCATGAAGGCAAGCTTGCTATGGCCTCTGGAACCTGCAAGGCGACAAAAATGTTTTCCAGCGGTGTATGCGGGGCCCATTCCATCGTCAAAATCTTTGGGGGTAACCGGGCGTGGATGCTCACTCAGCTTTTCGATGACGACCCAGTCACGACGGGGATAAGGAGTAGAGTCCGGAAGGTTTGGGGAGGGTGTAGTGATCGTTCCACCAATCATCTTGGGAAGAACTGGATGAGCTTCCACTTCAGGCATAGTGAGCGTGAAAGGGGAAGAAGGTTGGATCAAGGTGATGATGGAAATGACGACAAAATTCAATGTTGTACGGTCAATTTAAAAGTTCGGTGCCATGCAAACACCCAGGGATACCCCAGAGCGCAACCCCTTCATCTTTGCAGTACCGAACCTGGCCTTCCGATATATCTCTCCTATCTCCAAACCCAAGTAAATACTAACACATCCAAATGATAGAGTGTGTCCGTCAAGCCGGCTATCGGTAACAATCTAAAGGCGTCCAAGTCTGGCAAGCTTGCTTGCCAGGGTGTTGGACCCAAGTACAATGCGGATCTGCCGTCGAATTCACTCCCTAGCAACACCTCGCCGGCCGCCATTTCCGAGGCCCAGAATCTATTCGAGGACGCTTTGAAATCCAGATCCTTGCTGAGGGATATAGGTTCGTTCTTACATACAAAATAAAAAAAAGTACGAAACCATATTAAAGTGAATCAAAATACAGTCAGGGTACTGCTGGATATCTCGCTCGTGTCGCTCCTTTGCGGAGTACTTGGTGTATTGTCGTTTCCAGGGCTGTCTTCTGTGCAGCCTGAGGCTGGTTCTTTTCTGAGTGTTGACACCGTTTTGTTTCTGCTTTTGGGCATGGTACATATGGTTTTGCAACGAAATGAAGTTGAAATTATTATGAGCTTTTGTTCAGAGTGTATTTTAAAGAGAATATAGTCGACATAACTAGTATGAAGGAAAAGTGGAAGGCGGGCACCCAATCCATGCTGAATTGATTTTGCTTAGCAGAAACTCCGCTCGCTAGGTCTCATGAGCTGTTGGCCAAGTTCCTTTAACGCATTCCACGAGCGAGTGGCCGCGCCAATTAATTTGAACCCTTCTTCTTTAACCACCCACTCTGCCACTAATTCGCCTCTGATCCTTTCAAAATTCAATAGAGCAAGAGGGTAGGATCTTATTAGCTATCAATGGTGGTCTTATATTCCTCGGTGATGTTAGGAAGAGGAATGATCTCTAGATCCTCGAATAGATGAGTATAATTGTCATACAGGGTATAGAACTGAACAACAAAGTTGGAAGCAAGATTTTCTTATCTCTAACCGGATATGAATCACCTTAAAGATCTTATCCTCCGAGGGACCGACTTTCTTATACGTATCGATAGTATCTAGGATCTCGCTCATTGAACCATAATCGCTAAAGGCTTTGTCTACGGTGGCTATTAGTAAAAGAATGTTGAAAGGTTTAGGAATATAGGCACATCCTCGGCGTATACAGCGTAGAAGGCGTGCTTAGAAAATCTCCCATTTTATCTTTCGCTATTAACAAATTCATGCTTATAGGTGAGTATAAATATTATTATTCTATGGTCCCCAAAATCCATAACATTGGCCGTGTAAATTTACCTTAGGTCATGCTTAGTAGGCATCTTGCTCGTGGAAAGCGAGGTTAGAATGATAAAGCGAGGCTGGAGAGAGGAAAGCGGAGGGGGGAAATGTTACTTATTTTTCGACCAGGATGGGAGAATTTACCTTTTGCTGTACGGACTGAATAATCGGGTGAACGATATTCAGGTGGGTGAATATCCGCCTTGATTGCCCGCGGCGAGCCGCCTATGTCCGAACCATGGGCGCTAGGTGACCACCTTAGACATGCTGTTTTATGTTTTATGTTTTGTTTATTTAATTTTTTTTGTCTTTATTTTGGTCGTTCTGTCACTCATAATAAAGGTTAGCGCATGGGTGAGAATTGCCTCCGAATTGCGCATTCCACTTAGCTGCGCATGGAGTAGACTTTATCGAACCACGCAAGCAGGTCAACACACTGACCTTCAAGGCTACCAATATCATTTGCGTCCAGCACGAATGAACAAATTGCCATGTGAAAGTGGGAAAGTGGATCAGGCTTAACTCAAGTGACCTTCTTCAATTCCCAACCATGGTTCCTCGAACCCTTCTACGGCCTATCAAACCCAATGGGCATAGAAATACGAAACTCACTCCTAACCTTCGAGGTCAAAGTACTATGGAACACGAATTAAAACTCTTTTGCTCCGAAATTGTTACATGTCATGACCTCATCTACCATTCAATATACCTAATATCCACTACGGGGTTCTCTATATCTATAACATAATGACAGGAGTGATCATGAGATCTTTGTACTAATGGGGCCGTATGACATCATTCGCCTTGCTATAGCTCAAGTATATAGAGGGCTTTACAGAGTAGTGAACAGAAGTTCTTATCATATTTTGCCCATGGACGGAAAATAACAAATATTCTCGAACCATATCACAAACAATATCACAAGCATCTATATTCACCATGTCGGACTTCATCCGTAGAGCATCTGACGCGTTCCATCGCCGAACCTCAACCGACTCGACGGATGCCCCTACATCCCCTGATCCCCCTAGCGCCGCAAAGCCTCCCGAGCAAGAGCCGCAGAATCAAAAGTTCGAGTCTGCTCAGCCTCAATCTCACGCCAATGAGGCTTTCGCCGGTGTATCAAATGGTAAAATATCACTTTCTTGTCTTTCACGTCTAGTATATACTAACAATATCATACAGATAATGTTGCGCCTCAGAAGCAGCACCACATGTGGGGATGGCCACACCGCCAGGGAAAGCAACCCGGGACAAAGCAGCAACCTAGCCAGAAACAACAAGATACTGACTGGGTTGTTGGCACGTAGAAAAATCACCGTTCTCGCCGGAGTGACCGGGCTGCTAACATTTGAGTTTGTGAAGAGACTGGCAACACTCTTTTTACTTCTACCTCCAACGCCTTCGTGATAAAACACCTTGGTATTATCATTATTTAGTTGTAATTTTGATCTGTTTCTCAGAAATTAATGTGTTATATCTGTTCCGCATTTCGTCTTGCAATCAATCCAAAGCCAACAATAAATCTTAAAGGTATGCAAAGAATCCTAGTGATGATCTTTGGTTTCTTTGGCCCTTGATCTTCAGCCCTATCTAGACTCAATCACATCGCCAGACGACAGGGTTTCTCTTGGATTCGCCATTTTGTGTCCAAGGCCGCGACTCAAAAGCCAAGTCCCAGTGACTAGGACCCTAGTTCGACCCAGTTTTTACATAAAAGGGGACCTAGTATTATGACTTAAATGTTTAAACCACACTTGAGCAAATTTGATTGAGCAAATTTGATGCCGGAAAGTTTATAATCCTAAACTCCCAATTGACTCTCAATGGTTACATTCTATATTTCTCTCCAACACGTAACAAGATACATACGACCATAGGGTGTGGAAAACAGGGCTTCCCGTCCGCTCAGCCGTACTTAAGCCACACGCCGGTGAGTTAGTAGTTGGGTGGGTGACCACCAGCGAATCCTCACTGTTGTATGTTTTTTGGTTTCTTTTTGTAGATATTTTTGCTGGCTCGGTGTAGGAGGAGACGGGGTTGAGGGGAAGACCAAGCTTGCCCGTTTTCTAATTCAATACTTGACCGGTTTGCAGTGGCTCCTTAAATCCTTAAGACTTTGTGAGTCATTTAAATTAATAGATATATATGAATCAACATCAAACTCTCATTTCAAGTGATCATTCTTATTTCAAGCGATCACTCTCATTCCAATTGACCCGTTTACAAGTGACCTATTTCCAAGCGGAGATGTTCTTCTTCACAAACTCCTCCCAGGTAGTAGGCTTGCCATCGACAAGGCTCAGGCTGGGCTCGAGGGGGTCTCCGAGGTAGTAACCAGGCTCCTCCACAAACAGCTGGTTATCGAGGTACTCATCGGCCATAACAGCAGGCAGGGAGGCCTTGTATTGCTCGGGAGAGACTTGGATAAAGACGGCCTTCTTTCCAGTGACCTTGGAGAAGGTGTCCACGATCTCATCAGGGGTATAGTACTTGGTGGCGGCCAAAATCTGCTTGTTCTTCAGCTGGTCGCCGTGCTTGAGAGCAGCTCTCACGAAGAGGCCTAGGGGATATGTGAGTTAATGTATATCAAACAGTAGGAAGAGTCAAGAAGAGGTCTTACCTGTGTCCTGGGCAGCATCGAAGAGAGGGAACTTAGCCTGCTTTCCAACGGGGTAGAAGAGCTGGTACGAGCCATCCTCAGCACGGACGAGCATCTGGGTGAAGTTGCTCATATAGTAACCTGGAAGGACAAAGCTACATCCGACGCCCAAAGCACGAATGTACTTTTCGATATTGGCCTTGCTATCGAAGTGAGGAACATTGGTGAGACGGCCCTTAGTCTCCTCGGTGACATGGTGGAGAGATGAGAAGATCAGGTGGGAGACACCAACGGCCTTGGCGACATCGGTGACATTCTTGCCCTGGGAGTACTCGACATCGGCGTTCATAGTCTCCCAGTAGTTGGTGACGAGGAAGACAGTGTGGGATCCCTTCAATGCCACGGTGAGAGAGTCGACGGAGCCCAGATCAGCCTGTTGGAATGTTAGTCTCCATGATGATTCCTGATTCTTCCAAGAGGGCGAGCAAAGAAATGAAAAGTAAAAAAAAAAAAAAAAAAAAAAAATGCAAGCTTACCGAGACAACATCGACACCGCGCTTGACGAGGTCCTGTGCAGTTTTCTTGGTGGTATCACGGGTGATACCCCGGATCTTAAATTCCTTCGAGAGCTTGGGGTCGGCGAGAATGGCGTCGATGACCGAACCACCCTGATTACCGGTGGCGCCGAAAATAGTAATGACCTTGGACATGGCGAATTGATAAATTTGCTCTGAGAAGAGAGAAAATTGAGTGATATGAGGCAGAGTAATGTAGTAATGAAGTCTGAATTGACGATAAATTCCAGATTGGCGAGGAATCAAGGACGCTTTTATAATTTCAATGTTCAGCTCTAAATCTTAAAATTGGCTACAGGCAAATGAAGGCTCTCGTAACAAAGACACAGTGAATAAGCTCGGCATCAGGTCAAAGCCGACTACCTTAGTAAAGTAATGAAGGCCAAAGAATTTGGTCGGGACCCCGGACACCCGCAAGCCCACGGGAGATAAACTAGTTGTTCCGTCATCACCCCGGGTCTGTGGTCAGTGCCGAGCACCGAGCGGGCTCTCAGTTCTTCAGCCGAACTAGCAGGGATGACGTATATTTTATGTTAGCTGGTTAGTTACGTCTATCTCCATGGATACGTCATAACGTATTCGGTAAGCGAGCTGGCCACCCCATCGAAAACGCGTCCATGGGTTATTACTTAGTCAATTCAACCACCCACCATACCACTAATTCGCTCTTAATCCTCTAGTAATTCAGTAGAGAAAGAGGGTAGGTTTTTATTAGCTATCTAGGCTTTTGAAAATCGAGGAATCTCTTCGATTCGTAAAGTAACGCGCCGTTTTAACGTCCTAAGATCTACTTTTTCTACCCGTTTTAATAGGATTTAAAACCGCGCGATTTTTTACGCTAATTTATCTAAATTAACTGAAATTAAAGAGGAATCTCTTTAGAAATAGATTCTCTCTACAGATCTATATAGAGTAGCCCCCCGGTCCTCTATAGTATAAGAAATAGCGGATCTTCTTCTTTAAAAGCGTAGAACTACCCCGGTTCTTTCAGTCGGCGAAAAATAGGTATATAACTTTATTAAACGGCGTCCTCTCCTCTCCTCCTAATTCTCGAAACGATATATTTATAAGTATATAAAATATAAAAATCATAAAATTATTATAGAGTAGTTTAATCTAGTTTAAAAGATAATCCTTTAATTTTTTAGAATCGATCCCGACGATAACTATAACTTTAATAAGACTAGTTCCACGATAAGATCAAATATAACTATAAAGGTTATTATAAACAGTAAATATTATAATTAGCGTTTACTTTTATAACCTAGAAACCGAGAGTAAGTAACTATTATTAAATATACGAATACTTCTAGCTAGGCCCTTCCTCTATATATAAATTTTTAAGGTAAAGTCTTTATTAAATTATAGTTCGATAGCCTCCTAAAGGATTAACGCTTCGAAGTTAGTCTTAATAGCTAGACTCCCGATAAAATTAGCCTTTATTATCTTAAAAATGTGAAGCCCCACTATATAGGGCTTCGGTTTAATCGATCAGAGTGATAGGGGGTATATAATACTACTACGAAGGCTAATATAACTAGTACTACCTATATTTAAACTGAACTCTAAGCTTCTAAATATACTCCGAGTTCTACTAGTATAGTGGTGTGCTTATTAAGCGAGGTTATATAACTATAACCTCTATCTATATATACGCCTCTGAGGGTTATATGGATCTACTTCGAGTCCTACGACCCTTACTAGGGTAGTGGACATGACAAAAAAGCTCTTTAAACCATAGTAGTAATCGACTGGCCCTTCGAGATTAGTGACCTTCGATGACTGGGAAAGCTGTTCATTCTTTCAATAATTGCTCGTACGGAGGGGAGGTGTCAACCTTTGACACTATTTACATATGTACCCACGCAGGTCATTCAATCCCAGTTTCCTCCTCTTCAGCCTCCGCTTCTACACTTTCAGGGGTCTTCAATGGCCATGAAACTGCAGTACGACTACTCTCCGGGCTCTCTTCGATATCCTGATCTTCCAGACTGTCCACAGGGATATCAGCAGCAAACTTTTGCGCGCCGAGCTTCTGAACTTCCTGCTCTAATAGGCTTAATCGCGAGATCAACTCAGCCTTGGATGATTTTGTTGGCCTAGTCCGGGCCTTCCGCCCAGGGGGTGGAAAAACACACTCAAACCCGAGCCTCACGCAGTTATCGCAGGGGGATTTCTTGTTGCATCTGACCTTCCTACGGTTGCAGGCATTGCAACTGCGATGGAGTAAGGTCGATACTCCTTCGCGAGGAAGATGGGAGTTCACAGGATTGGCTGGTTGAACCATTTGGTAAGCATCATGATTTGAGCCTTGGAATTTAGGAAAGTTGAAGATCTTTTGAAATGTCAAGATATAATTTTTGTAATAATTTGTTTCAATGACGTTCGTGAACGGCTTTGTGTCCCCCGGTTCGTGATTATGTAATTATCCAGAGAGTCCTCCAGGGTTGGACCCGGGGATCTTCACCTCCGACTCCTTCAATAGGCTAGTTACCTATATATCACCTATAATCGAATTGATATACCCATTACTACAAAAGCCAATAGCATAGTCACAATCAAAGATTTTGTATTAGACAGATGAATGCCCTGGATGTTATTACCCCATTTGATCCCCTGTTCTTCCTCGCATTCTCTAATATATCCACGGCAACAAACAGTAAGAAACGCGTGTTTTGATATCGGTCCAAGGTTCTCCATACTAATAATCGGGTGGTAAGTAAGTAAACAAGAGGATGCGGTGATAAACCAAAGTGGGAAGAACAAGCATACCCTCTGAGTGCAATACTCGTCAAGGACTGGAACTCCACGAGTCGCAAAATCGTAGAAGAAAAAAGAGAAGTTGAATAGTGCCCAGGCCCAGCCTCCAGTTGCCAATGCAAATCCAGTCCGCCACAAGGTATAAGAACCGTAATTAACGTTTGTTGCGAGCGAGAACAGTCCGCCTCCGTACGGCTTTCCTTTGTTATTCGGGTCTTTCTTGAAGCGACGGCGCTGGAGTTCCGATATCAATTCCGTCAAGATGCCGACAGTGTAAGCGCAAACACCGATGGCTACCGAAGCCGTGGATTGGATATGAAGCGAACCATCGGAGGAAGGCGATTGGGTGGTGAGGGACCAGACGGAAAGAAGGATGTTTGTCGAGTTGAAGACGGTGTTAAAGAACCCTATACCAAAGCCTAACCCACTCGAAAGCTCTTGCTCTGAGATGAAGGCCATGTGAATTGCTTGCTTAAATCCACTGCCGAGAGCCATAACAACAAGGAGCTGATAATAAGTGTTCAGCCGGCCACTGGAGGCATGCAGAACCTGTAGAGACGTTCCACCAAGCCGTTGGACTAGCTGGGATGCCCAACCACGATGGAGAAATGCATATTGCCAAACTGCATCTGTCAAACGAAGCCCAACAAAGATCGACTTGCCGAGAGGAGAGGGAGCTTTGACACGCGACAGGTTGTCCTTTAGCTTCTTGTCTACCATTTTGAAAGAGAAAGAAACTTGGAGATCGTTTGGCTCATCGTTATTGACATGGATATATATCGAAACAAAATATAAAAATAGAAATAGTTTCTAGAGGAGTTTGGTGCTCGGCATAGAACATAATGCCGAAGAGCGGCGGCTGACAAAATATGCAGGTCACATCGTAAACACCTCTGCTGCTACCCACGGCACCTCAGTATGTCTGATACGGGGTCAGTCAAAATGCAATGATGTCTGCTCACTGTTCTCTGAAGTATTTTCTACAAAGGAACATTCGACCAGACATCTGCGTTCTCACGCCCGGGAGAAGCTGTTCGCCCACGAAAGTTGTGGGAAGCTGTTTGGCCGCAAGTATGTGTTATCCAATGATTCCATCGTTATTAACTGAGTGCTGAGTAGCACAATAACAAGTATAATAATATTCTCAGTCGACACATTCGAGCGCGTCATTCTTGGATCAACAATATTGAAACACCTGGGCCCAGCTCAACGAGCATGGCCGAAGCCGTTTCGATACCTCCTGCCTCCCGACCACCTATTCACTTTGCTCCAGGGCAAAACATTTATGCTCAGCCCAGTGTGGTTGATCCATCTCGGTCACATCCAACCTATCCTCAAAACCACACGCTCCATCAAACCAACTTGGAGGAGACAGTGGGGCTGTCCCATGGTAGTAAGACCATCCATCCTACCCAGACTACCCTCAATCCAAGCCCGACCGACACGAGCCATATCTATGATGAGACGTTTTGCGATACAAATTGGGATTCGGAATTCTGCATGGCTCAGATGCGAGCACTTTGCTTTTGAGTTTAACTCCGGCGCTCTTGATCCAGCACTCTTGATCTCTCCCAGCCGGTTCAAGGAGGAGCTCGGCAGACCAAATGTTCTTAACGGGGAGGACGGAGGAGAAATGCGCCTTAGCATCAGTCGCTGACTAGTTTCAGAGTGCTCCTACTGGAAGCTCGCAAGGAATTGCGTGACTTTGTTCATCTCGTTCTGAAGGGCGACATAAATCTCTCCGATGGTGCTCTGGGGGTGTCGGAGCACACCTTCAAGGTCCTGGTTGACAGCGGCGAGGGCTCTAGTTTGCTCGCGGAGGGCACGACGGACTTGTGGTCTATTCAAGTCTCGGGGGGAGGATTGGAAGAACGCCGCACTAGCGGCCAGGGCCCAGGTAGTGAATGCTAACGATCATCTGCGAGCAGGAATTGACCACTAGCAGTTAGCGCACGCTCCTAGCATGCCACAATCCCGGCTTCGAACGCACAAGGGGAAAATTCCCTCCCCTCTTAGCAATAGATGCACGATACGTTCCCTAACTTTCCGGTGACAAAAATCAAGACTGCCTCTGCGCGGGTGCTTTTCTGTCTGTTTTCTATATCAAAGCGGCGAGTATTCTAGGTAATAGTTGTACTCACTACTAGCTCACCTTCAATTTCATGCTATAGAGGATTGCGAGGAGGTTGGTTCGGATATAGGTGCCGCGTCTCGCAGTATCCCAAGGAAGGGAGATAGTATACTCAGCCAATCTGCCTGGTATGAGTTCCACGTCGCTATGAACGATATCGGGGACGGCAGATACTCTGCTCGAGGTATTAGTATAGCTCTTATAGGAATAGAGTAGGGTATTACTCATTTATCTTCCTAGGAAGAGAAGAGAAAAAAGAAAGGAAGAGATGGGTTAAAGTTTGATTCTATGGGGTTATTAGTATTTGATAGTATCAAAAAGGTAATAATATAGATGTCTCACTTGGAAACGGGTTGTTAGAGGGGGACCTGCTATGTACTGAAAAAAAAGACGGAAGAGTAGCGCAGAAGGGGGAGAGAGGAAGGAAAGGGAAAAAAAGGAAACCGGGGGGTGTAGGTGTTTATATCTATAAACCTTCTATAGAGATAGACCAGCTTTAGAGACTGAAAAAGTATGATGTTCGCAGATTCCACCGTATTCATTGAAGCAAGGCAGCTCCAGGTACTTAGTTTCTGCTCAGAATTAGAACAGGCCCTCAATATTCCCCTTCCATCCCAGGTGCTCAATCTCGGCAACAAAACGCCCAGGAATTGTGCTCGTAGTAAGCAAACGTTACGATTAATCTGAAAAACAGGAAGTTTGTTGGTTCGTGTGTAGTTCATTAAACGATAATTTATATCAAAGACGCCATTTCATAAAACAAAGAATGCCATACCCATTTAGTGTTTCCAATTGCTTCTACACGTTGGACATGTGGAAGCGTTGTCTGTTTCTAGTCATTGGTCGATGCATTGCTTGTGGAAGTTGACTCCGCATCTGTTGATCAAGCTTTACTTGCCATTTTCCATTTGGATCATCCCATACAGTGTCAATGACCCTTAAGTTGAACGACACAAATCTTTCGAGGTCCTATTTGACAGCTGTATCTTTCATGTACTGCCAGGTATCTGCACTTACAACATAGAAGAAGGGCCAGTCTGGATTTAGTTGAAAGGGAAACACGTATAACCCAACCTCCAGCCAAATTGTATACTGGCTGTCACTCTCATCTATTGGGGTTTGGTATGCCCGCCTATTTCCCCACCGGATATAAGAGGTTGAATTGCGGGTTAAACCCTCAGGTCCTTTCTCCACTTCGTGAACCATCACCAGTGTTTCAGACCAATAGAGGACTTCCAAGTTACAAGATAAAAATGACCGGTGCGGTTTCAAGTCCCCGCAATATCTTCCGATAATATGTACCCCAAATGTGATAGATGGGCAGACATGAATTACGACGGTGTATAGCGCTCAATGCGAATGCCTGAATTTAATGCCTTAATGCCTTATTTTGGCCTGACTTACGCCTGAATTAAGCCTTGTTTTAGACCGCTTTCAGGCCTCGACATACAGTGTACTGTAACCAACTCGGCATGGAATAACTAGGTGCCGTTAACCCATCAAAATAAAGCTTTTCATCTCCATATTTTTGGCGGTTTGCAAGTGTCAAATATTAAGAATGAAACTTTTGATCCTATACAAATGAAAAATAAAGCTTTTGATTTCTATACAAATAGAGATATCTCTATATTTTTGGCGGCTTTCAAGTGTCAAAACTGAAGCTATTCCCACTATACAAATTCACGTATACGGCCATTTCTCGGCGTTGAAACCTTTCCACTACGTAATCATTTCCTCTCTTCTCCTTTAACCGTCAAAAACATGGAGATATCTCTATTTATATAAGGGTCAAAAGCTTCTTTTTCATTCTACCTTAGCGGAACGCGGGCAGTATACATTGCTTATTAATGGAATCAGTAATAGTAATTCACGTATTTTTATTTTTCTGCCAGGCAGAAATAAGGCACCAAGGCAATAAAATCAGGCATTGAGCATTGAGCGCTATAGTTACACCGTCGTACATGAATAGTTTCTTTCCCTCGCACGGATTTTGCGGAGTAAACTCATGGAATCATGGCCACACAGTAAAACCCTTGCTACCATAAATTTCATTTACTAAAGCACCCAAGTCGTTCTTCTCGAAATCCAAGAACACTTGCTTCAAAAGGTGCAATCTCTGATCCAATCCCAAGGTGACAAAGCAAGCTACCTGGTCTGCGATATCACGAACGAGCGACAAATTCGTGAAAGTGTGGGCTCCATCATTCGTCAATTCGAAAAGATAGACATCCTTGCCAAAATTACTAGAATCTATCCATTCGATCTTCTTAACGACATGACGACCGAATTCTATCGCCGCCTTTTATCTCACTCGTGCCGTCCTTCCTCATATGCGGAGATCTGGATGTGGACGTATCATCCATATATCGTCCTCACGGTCCAAGAGCCAGAACCAGGTCTCGCTGTATATTCTTCATCAAAGGCGGCTATTATAGGCTTGGTGCGCGGTACTTCCATTGAAGCAGGGCCGGTGTGACGGTGAACGCCGTCATGCCGGGGCTGATCAAAATAAATCAGGCATGGAATTCAGGAGTTCAGCCAGATGGATCACACCCTCTTTTTGACCGTGTAATCAAGAAAGAAAATGTCACTAGATGAAAATACCGGAGATGCGAGGTAGAACTATTCCTTTGGCAGCTTGGGATTTCCTTTAAAAGTCTGCTGGAATGTATTCTGTTAAGCTGAGGTAAAATTCAAGAGAAATTGTTGTATGATATCGCCTAGAACCAATGCACACCATCCTTATCCATCTTTTTATCTTTTTCCAATTCTTTTAAGCACTTCACTATCTTCTTTGCAAGCTGCTCGCCATACTCAATCCCAGCTTTGGGCCTAGGTTGCCTTGGGTCAATCTCTTTGCTGATGTCGTGACGCAGCCACGGTATACTGCTTTTCCCCTCGCCAGCCTTTCGTAGCTGTTCAAAGTCTGCATCGTTGTATCCACCTCCAGCGACAATTGCTGCGACTTTTTTCCCGTATTCTTGGGTTCCAAGGTTTGCCCACTCCTTGGACGGAGGACTGAGTCCGTCCAAAAGGGATGGAATGTCTCTCACCCCAGCTTCCAAAGATTGAACGATATGAAGCGCTTGCAGTTGGTCAGCTATTTGCAGTAATCAAAACAATACTATCTGGAGTCAATAGCTCACCCTCATATGCTGGTCTGATGCCTTCCTTCACACCAACGGCAACATGCGCAGACTTGCCGCACACTATAATAGGGATAGGCTTCATGATACTTTTGATCGGAAGTGACAGGGAAAATTTCCTCTGAATCCACTTATGATTGTAGAGTGATATAAGATAGAATGGGAGATGTTTGTCAATGGTGGTGGTAAAAGGTCCTGGTGGACCAAACCTCCTAAATATATCGGCCTCGAGGGCAATGCCGAGCCCCGACTACATGTAACGGTGGCCACGTAATAGGATTACCAGAGTTACAGACCATCGCCACCAAAATTACTGCCAAAATTACGAATGCCGGTATGGACCGGGCATATAGTATGTAAGATCGCACAGTAAACACCGAGCACCGTCCCAACACGATGTGAATGAAAAGCTACCTTCTCGTAGATAATTAATGAGGAGCTAATGCAAAGATCTCCATTCGGGATAAACCCTTTAGCATATTTAATATTGACAATAATACAATAATACTACCCATTCACATCGGCATTCTCATCATTTCTTCCTTTGACCAGTACTTCCGAGTCTGTGCAGCTCCCAGTTCCCTGACCTCGTCGTCCAAATGGTCCCAGAGTGTCGTTCCGAACGAATCCAAGATATCTTTAATCTCATCCCATCGCAGGTCGGCATTACCTCGTAGACAATTGCGAACATGCGACTCGAGTCTTTCGAGTCCTTTATGAATTACTTTATGCTGCTTAATCAACTCATCCTTGTTGGCAAAAGCAGGCATGCGCTGAGCAAGGTATGGAAAGACGCGGATCTGCAAAATTGTTACTCAACTGAGCCAAGTATAATCAAGGGGAGACTTGGTTCTATGAACTCTAACCTCTTCAATCTTGTGGTGTGTCTCGAGATTTTCACAAAATTCCAAACACATGTTAAGGTAGCTCTTAATAGACATACCGGCGGGGCGTCGTGATGAATCTGCCACGTCGTAGATTATGTTCCATCGCACTCGAAACCATTGGTGCTGTGGAGTTAATTAGCACGATTTTTTTGAAGTATAAACGCTGCGGACAAAGTACGCACCAATCCCTGCATCTTATCCGCCATGCGGTTGTATAACTTAAATTCATGGTCGCTTAGGGGCGGAAGACCGGAGGGGTGACCGGCCATTGTAGAGTAGGAAAGTCGATAGATACTCGGGACAACTCTTGTCAATACTCTGGCTCTTGTATGACTATTTTTTAATGTAATACCAGGTCTTTGAATCCAGGTCCTGGGGGCTTGCTTGATATAGGAACCGAGAACGGGATTGGTAAATCGGTAATCGCATAAAGGCGATAGGCCGAGTTGATATAATCAGATTCTGCATCAATTCCCATATTTCATCTTCCAAGAGATTTCTGCTTATGAGGGTGCGGTGTCCACTTCGGGTGCCCGGGGTTCATCTCAGTCCCGAACCACCACCATGACTAAGTTAACAGCGAGCCTCTTGGAGTTGATGAGAATTCAAAAGGCAAATTTTGCGTGGTAATCGAGTAGCTTAAACTTATTGATACAGATAACAAAAGCTCTTTCGCTCTTAGAGTGCTTCCAACAATTCCCAGGAATATCAATTTCTCTTTTTACGTTTGATCATTACTTCGCAAATCTATCTTAACTGATTAAAGCAAAATGATTTCACCATTTGTCGCCGTCGCCGGTGCCGCCGGTGGTTTAGGCCAACTTGTTGCAATGGCACTGATCAAACGAGGTGTGGCTGTGAAAGCACTTGTCCGCCCCAACACCGATCCCTCCCGCACTCAAAGGCTCCGCGACGCCGGCGTGACCATAGCTGCGGTGGATCTCTTGACGGTCCCGGCTCTCACGCGCGAACTGGATGGAGCTACATGTGTTGTGTCTACGCTCCAGGGATTGGGGGATGTCATACACGGCGTTCAGAGCAAGCTCCTCGAGGCCTCTGTAGCCGCCAAGGTGCCGAGATTCATCCCTTCGGACTTCTCCTTGGACTTCACCAAGACAAAGCCTGGATCCAACCGCAACCTTGATCTACGCCGCGGGTTTCATGTCCAGTTGAGAAGGTCCGGTATCAAATGGACGAGTATCCTCAACGGCGGCTTCATGGATCTCATGGTCGGCGAGTCGCCAATGATCAATCACAAGAGCCGCAAGGTCGCCTATATCGGGAAGACCACACAACTGCTTGATTTCACCACCATGGCGGACACGGCTGCGTACACTGCTGCTGTGGCTGCAGACCCCAATCCCACGCCCAATTTTCTCCGCATCGCTAGTGACACTGTCACTGTGAAGGATATCGCCCAGGCACAGAGCAATGTCGAAGGTGTGCCATACAAGCCCGGCTGGATGGGAACTGTGGGATCCATAGAGTTCATGATCCGGGTTATGCGTCTGTTTGGTGGTGAGAATGATGTGTTCCCTGCTTGGCAGGGCATGCAGTACATGGCGAACATGTTTTCTGGGGCCGGGAAACTTGACCCGCTCGATAATGACCGATATCCCGACGTGACTTGGACCAAGGTCGAGGATTTCTTCCGAGAGCACAAGAACAAGGCATGAGTGATGAGTGTCTGTCCATCGGTTGGGGTTGGACATCTGTCTAACTAGAGACGGCATTCTGTTAATTGTGGGTGATACTGTGGTCGGTGCTGACTTGGGTTAGTGACATGTCACTCAGGTTTCTCACTACTGTAAAGATATCATATTTATGTATTTTAATTTTGAAATTTTAAATCCTAATTTGGCATGGAATATATCAAGCTCTAGCTGTATACGCTTTCCATTGATTTGCCTTTTAACGTCTACATCACTCTCAACCAAGAACAACCGATTGTAAAGGCAATCGTCCTATTCAATCTTCAGTACCTTACCAGGTCTCTACATATGGTCTGAGATCGATCTCGTGAGTCAACGAAGTCCTAGGCTGCGAGTGCAGAAACCAGTAAGATTCCGCAATCTGTGATTGTGATTAGTGTGAGGATTTAATGTGAGGATTAGCTGCAGTGAGATCTAATTTCACTTACCCCTTCAGGATCAATTTTTCCATCTGGGACATCATCAAGATAACCCTTTGTCTTCTCGGTGTTAATGACGCCATCAATGATCGCATGTGAGACATGAACACCCTTCGGGCCGAACTCTCGCGCGAGAGACTGGGACATAGCACGGATTCCAAACTTGCTCATCGCAAACCCAGAAAGCCCGGAGCCACCTTTCATTGCAGCCGTTGCGCCTATCCAAATCAGTAAGGAAATATTTTAGTAAACAAATTAAGAAAAAGTATCCGGTACCGGTGAAAATGAGAGTGGGTGGAGACTGCCCCTTTGGGGGATTGAGCATTAGGGGCAGTGTAGCTTGGGCGAAGTTGAAAGCACCCTTGACGGATGGCTCAAGGCTGCCGAGGAAGTCTTCCTGGCTTTGTTCCAGGAAGGGTTTTCTCGTGAACTTGCTCGCCACGTTGTAAATGGCCGCGGCGATTGTCACATCAGAACCAAACTTGGCCTTGACTTGGTCCATTGTCGAAGTCATGCTTGCGGAGTTGCTGACATCCGTAGGCACACCAATTGCAGAGCCCCCGCTTTGCGTAATTTGAGCAATCAAAGGGTCAAGGGATGATTGCGATCGAGCAAGAAGTACCACTGGGTAGGCCTTGGCGAACCGGCGGGCAATGGCGCTACCAGTTCCTGGCCCTGCACCGGCAATGATTGCAATTGATCTTGGCATTCTGGAACACGTATCAAAAGTAAATTGAAATTGAACTTTTTGGGAGGCAGCAAAATCTCTTTATATAGAAAAGGTTTCCGGTCAAATGACATCATCACTACCTCTATGTCACAACTACTCACAATACGTGGATAATTTGTAATGCCGCTATTTAATCGGACTATTCTAGAAAGTTTTTTATTTTCCCGTTGCTGTTTACGTTCATGTGTACGGTGAACCCAATTGTAAAATGCAGCGTGCATTATGCAGCCCCCATGACTATGTCGATACTTACGAACCAACACCCCACGATGCAGTTGAGAAAGACTCTAGAGAATTATGTTTGAAAAAGTCGTCAAAGGTCAGTCGTAGGATTTCACCATATTTCGAAGCATTGACATCGGGAGTGAGATAAGTCTGCCCTTTGGTGCAGTGAAACTTATAGAACCTGGAAACCCCCAGACATGGTAAAATTCTTAAGTTTGACTTCACGAACTTGAGAAACTTACAGAGAAATCTATTCTATAAAGTTTCTTGGGTCACTATCTCTGACTTGCATATGTGTGTGGAGACCTTCCAGAGATCCAAGTCTGTTCAACTGTGGCTTGAGCTTGTACTAGTTCCCGAATGCCGTTAGCAATTTGTAAAAACGCTCTTGCGATCGCCGAGGACTATCAAAGTTAGTATCTCATTCCAAATATATGAATTGAGAAGGAAGGACTCGCATCTCTCTACACCAGCCGCAGCAGGATCTTAGGCGACATCTGCGACGAACTAGGCCACATTGTCGTAGCTTGTTGACTCCCACTTCTCCTCGCTAGAATCCCAATACAAGAACGAGAATTCCTTCGCATTTTACGAATGGAAGAAAGTGGTGAAGAAAATTTCCGTGAAAACACCACTCAACATATGGACTCCTTGGATGTTCCTGTTCTTCAGATATTCGTGAATGTGCTTGCTTCATGGGGTCCTTCGCGGGAACCTGTCAAAGCTCTAGCCTCGTGAAATCCAGGTTATAGTCGCTTGTCACATAATGACCGACTCCCTCGGACTCACAGGCATCGATCAGCGACTTTTGACCGTTGATCATGAGATTGTGGTCACCGAGATAACAGCAACCCATCATATTGTTCCCTTTGGCAAAGGTTTGCAAGGCCGATTTGTCGTCTAACTCACCTTAGATGATGCTAATTCATGCAAGGGGGGTAGCGAGAAGTTTACTTGGGTCGCGACAATAACCCTTGATAGTCATGTTGGGGTTCTTCAAAAGGTGACCAACAACACAGCGGGCAAATTTGCCCGTGATACCGGTAATGCCAACCGAGATAGAAGTCATATTGAAGATCTTTTACAGTTTAGGTTAACAGCTCCGAGCAATTTCCTTTTGTTTATTTAAATATAGACATAAACTACGATGCAATGTACCACGAGTCGGAGAGTCGGCGTGCCGACTTGCGAGCCCCGCCTAGCTGACAGATCGGTCCCCTCGGGGCTGTAGCCAATGCCGAGATCATTAGCGACCCTCAATGCCGACGGGTTCCACTTCTGCTTGTTGTAGTACGGTAGGATGGAACTATCAAGATGCCTCATCAGAGATGAGGTTGTTAGTTCCTAACTTGAGTCAAAGTCTCCTATATGGTTGACTATCTACTACATGCATTTACAACATGTGACCACAGTGGAGAACAGTCAATGCCGAATTGTAATTGATGCACTAGTATTAGTATCTAGCCTGCTGCCTCGCAGGAAGTATATACGTACTCATTTGCACAGAAGACATTGGCGAAAGCAAAACAATTTTTTTATTACATTTGACCGTCGCAGGACGTTTTCTTAAAGGATTTAGCGGCCGGTTGTCTAGCAATAATGCATCAAAACAGTTACTCAATCCCGACAGGCTTTCCAAAGTCATTAGAATCATCAAAGAAAACTCAATACATGTATTATGTGACAAACACCAATAATCAGACAATTACAACTTGTTGACTCTCAGATCTTCCCATTCTTGGCAAACTCCCGCAGAACAGTAATCGTCCCCTCCACAGCCATCCGACTCATCTTCTTCTCCTTCTCCAAAAACGCCGCGAGTTCCTCCTTGGAGGCACCAGGATGTCTCCATTCAAAAGTGTAGGTCATGTGGAGTTCCCCATCAGCGTCCTCGCTAACCATATTGACAATGGTGCTGCCATCAGGCTGGATAAAGACAGCCCTGGAAGGCTCGTATGCTGTGACGGTCTCCTGGACTTTGCGCTGATCCTCCACAAAAACGACCTCGCGAACAGTGACTTCGTTCCCCGTGGTTGGATCTATTGAGTCGGAGATCACAGTGGTTGATTGGATGGCTTTCGGAACGAAGGTTTCTGCAGATCGGATTTTCAAGCGAAGCCCCGCCCAAATTTGGTCTTGACGGAGCTTTGGGCTCACACCAGCGGGGTTGATGGGGGCGGTGAAGGCGATGTTATTTGTAGACATGGTGATAGAGTCAATCTTTGAAGTAGATGTGTGAAATGGGCTACTTTGAATGGTGGTATATATGTAGAGAAAAATGAAATTATGTATATATATTCATTTCTAAGGCGTTGCCAAGATCGAATCATTTCGAAGGTCGTATCGGGCATAGTCATCATAGACAGGACCGAAGAGCGAAGAATGACACATCTCGGCTCTGAACACTAACGTATTCGGTAAGTGAGCCGCCACTGTAAGCCAGCCGCCAGCTTCAAAACACATAGTAAATGGGACAAATTACAACTTGATATCTCAACCACCACAATATAATTTGGTTCTATTATTATTAGATAGGTATTGATAAGTATTTCTAGTAGTTTATCTCAGATTCGAATAAATCAAAACCCTAGATTAGTATGGTATCGAAAATTACATCTCTAAATTCGAAATATATATATATATCTTAGTCATTAATTTATTTAATTTCCCTAAACTCTAACAAGTGGCTAGATATCATATAAAAAGCATTAGGCTATAAGAAAAAGCTCATATAGTCAACCGTTGTTGTAATATCATGTTGTAATTTATCGCATTTACTATGTGATAGCGGCTCGCTTACAGTGGCGGCTCGCTTACCGGTTACATTAATCCGCGACCAAGGTTTTTGTCAGCTTCGGGCTGTTGTATAATCTAACCCCGAGGGCGAGACCGAAGTATGGTAAATAGAATACGGGTTAAGAGAAAATTAATCATATTAAATTGCTGAGATTTCCAAAGCTCACCATCTATCAACCTACTACATCTACACAATTGCTACTAGTTACCCTCTCCTACCAAACATGAAGTCTATCATCCTCTACGGCCACCATGCAGGCGCTAATCCTAAAAAGGTGGTGATGGTCCTCGCAGAACTCAAAATTCCATACGAAATTAAGCTCCTTGAATTTCCGGAGATGAAACAGCCCGCCTACGAAAAGATCAACCCCAACGGCCGAGTCCCCGCGATTGAAGATCCTAACACAGGAATCACTCTGTGGGAATCTGGAGCAATCATCGAATACCTGGTCGAGAAATACGACAACAACAAAGTGATCAGCTTCCAAGCCGATACCCCCGAGTTCTACCATGCCAAACAATGGCTTCATTTCCAGGTATCGGGACAGGGCCCGTATTTTGGCCAGGCTGTATGGTTCAAAATCTATCATGGAGAACAACTGCAGTCTGCTGTTGATCGTTACATCAATGAGATTCGGCGTGTTTCAGGTGTGCTGAATGGAGTCTTGCAGGACCGCAAGTATCTGGTGGGTGACAAGTGCAGTTATGCGGATCTTGTTTTTGTTTCGTGGTTTGAAGTTGTGCCTTTGGTGGCAAGTGATAGGGTTGATTTGGAAAAGGACTTTTCCAATGTTCATGCGTGGCTGAACAGGTTGAAGTCGAGGCCTTCGGTGATCACTGGGCTGGGTGTGAAGTCTGAGGCACCCAAGAAGCTGTGATAGTTCATTCATTATACCGAACAACTGGATTACTGCCTGCTTCTTATGTCTTGACGCCTTGTTGACGTTTTCTTCATTGGAGAAGTCGCTAGAACTACATGTGAGAGTAATCCATAGTCGTAGCAAACCCGCTTCGTCAAACCACCTGGGCGCGCCAATGACCAATCAGGAGCAAACAAAGCAAACACAAACAATAACGATCATCAAGCATGTGATAGCATGTGATATGACTTGTTGTATGTGACGAATAGAATGGAGGGGTAAATATATAGCAGAAGACTTGGAATACAAGATCTGTGATGTGCAATCTATGGAATCAGAGGGAATAAAATATCTCAATTTGGATATGGATCATGACAGTCAACGGAGATTGCCTACGGTGTTCTACGGTGGCCTGCAGATATAGGCGAGTGTAGGGTGGGTAGGTAGCCCTAATCGGTCTTTGCTGTTTTCTGGACTATTTACACTGGATTTCTGGATTTGATGGCACAAGGCACTATGTAGGGCAGATGGCTTGGCTTCTTCTCCATAATATGTGCTTTCTCGCTATTGGAAATAATTTTCTTAGATTTCCTATGTGGTTTAGTTTAACATCTTGATGGAGGTGATGGGACTACAGCATAGAACAGTGGTAAATAACAGTGTCTTACCGGGATCAATTAGCGGTTTGATGACTGTCAAGACCTGATCTTTGTGCAAAGTTGGGTTTCTTGGACCTAACGGGGCGAGCCCGCACAATGGGCCCTGGGTTCGTACCTGGGTGGGGCTCTTCGACACATACATTCGGGTTTTGTCACAGTCTAATTATAGTTCTCATACTCCGTACTCCGTACTATTCGCTAGGTTAGGCGCTCGGTTAACGACTATTATTGAACTAAGTGCTTATCCCCACTCTAATAAGGAGCCTACAAAACATGTACTCGTGGACAGACTACTCCGTACTGTGTTTAGCTGATAAGTATGTATTATTGAGAACTCTCGGATCGCCTAATACTATTACTGGCTCCACTAGAGTACATATAGGTGGGTACAGTCAACCAAACCGCACTTACTTGTCAACCTCAATAATTTCGATGAATTTATGCTCCTGGGTTGATTCGCTTAGACAATAGCATCTGTGCACGAGAGGTCCCAAAGCATAATTATATAATGCTAGTCATCCGAGGATAACCCTAAATACGAAGACGTCTCACTAGTTTAGAACCCTTTTAGAAACCCAAAATGTTTCGAAGCAATTTCTCCCTGGCGATCCTTTGATTTTAACTGGATTTGATGTGCATACACGTGGATTTCCTACAACACACGATTTCATACCACCTACTCAATTGGTAAGTCAGTGGGACCACGCTAGTTAGTGCATGTACCTGGTATATAGTTAGTACCCGGTATAATCTAATGTATGTATTTATGCTGTCCCACTTTATATTACAGCAATGAGACTCCAAATTATCATTTTTAAGTTTACCGACACCTAGAAACCTTGGCAGATTCTCCACTTTTGATAACAAAAAAAAAGCACCATTTTCCAAGGTTGGCTTTCCACAAAACCGAAACCTTGCGGTTTCAGAGAGACCATTGACCGAAGGAATATTTCTTCCGATAATCTCGATATCAATAAAAATTTTGATCAACATTCTGCTTTATCTCCTAATAGTTTCAAATTTCCATCCGGATGCCGAAGTGCTATGATAACAATGAGACTAGCCAAAATGTATGTGTGGGTCTATGTTACGTCTATGCACCTTTTATATAAGAATTAAATACAAAATGTACCATTTCCGTAGAGTTGGGATTTGTGGCAGCCAGCGCCCATCCACGCTGATAGGAAGGAGATTTGAGTCTAAGAAAGGCTATACTCCCTCACCAACTTCTCTGCACAAATTGCGCCAGTGACATATGCAACGGCCTGCACATGCGCATTCACTAACACCGGCACAACGGACATATCCGCCACACGCAGATTCTCAATACCTTTCACCCTGAAATCCGGGTCCACAACCGCGTCCACGTCGTCCTTCATGCCCATTTTCACTGTTCCCGTCATGTGCCAGCTCGATGAGATGTTCTGCCGCCAGTATTCGAGTAGATCCTCGTCTGACTCACTCTTAGGCATTGCTAGCTCCGCCACGTTGTCCTTTGTGTAGGATTCATGCTTGGCGACACGGAACGAGTCACGCAAGGCCTCGATCGCCAGTCGGCGATCGAACGGATGGGCCAGGAACTTAGGGTTAAAAGAGAGCGGAGAGTCAGGATCGGATGATTGTAATGTGACTTCTCCGCGAGTCTGCGCGTTGAACAAAAAGACGAGCAGACAGGAGTAGTTCAATGCCTCGGTCGGGAAATCAGGAATGACCCAGTGAACGGGGAAATGGGTGAGGATCTCATAGTGGGGCACAGTTTCCTGTAGAAGATACTTCTGTTCGTCTGCAGGGAGCGCCTTGAATTCCGGCGTAGAAACGAGCTGCTCGGTTAGCTTGAACCAGCCAATACCCAACTCGCAGGCAAATTTCGCCCAAGGGCCTGTGCCGTCTTCTTCCCATTGCTTCTGCGCGGCGTCCATGACGGCTTTGTCGCCATAAAAAGCTTTTCGGTCTGTGCTGGTTGCTGTGCGAGTGTTAACCATCGGCACGAAGCAATGATCGCGGAGCCCCTGGCCAATGGCGGGTACGTCATGGATGATGGGGATTTCATATTGCTGCAGTTGGGCGGCGGGGCCTATGCCTGAGTGCATCAGGATGCGGGGATCGTTTAGCGAGCCGGCGGATAGAATGACTTCCTTTGAGGCGTAATCTGTTCGCAAATTTTAGTATCTGGTTGACTCGCAGGAAGGGTAGGTTGCATCTTTACATTTATTCCCGTTCGACTCAATGCCCACAGCCTTTTTGCCCTCCAGGAGCACACGTTGTACAGGGGCACCAGTAATAATAGTCAAATTATCCAGTTTCTCCTTGACCAAATCTCCTGCGGTCGAGCGCAATCCCTTATGCGCCGAGCTAATCAGCACCGACATACCAATCGGATTTCCTGAATTATGATCTGGGTTCAACGGGAACCCAGCCTGCTCGAAGACATCCAAGAGCTCTGTTAAATCCCGTTCCCACTCCCGCGCAAAGCCCACATGCAACGGGCCCTCAGTTCCATGGTTCTCCATCTTCGGATCCACATACTTTCTATCTATGCCCTCGGGAATCTCTCCATGGAACGTCTCCAGGTCCTTAAACTTTTGCTGAACACCTCCCCATGCAAAAGTCTCGTCGCCAACAATTCTCGCCCACTCCTGGTAATCGTCCCGCGCGCCGATACTGTACACGCCGAAATTGATGGAGCTCGAGCCGCCCATGCACCGGCCGCGACTATAGTCAATCTCACGGTTGTTACAGTCCGCCTGCGGAGTAGTCTTAAATCCCCAATTCATTGACTGGTCCTGGAAGGTGAGCCATCGCTGGCCGTCGATGCGAAGGTTGCGATCTTCCTTGTTGTCACCTGCTTCGAGGAGGAGGACGCGGGGTTTGGCGGTCGAATTAGCGAGGCCAGCGGCGAGGGCGCAGCCGGACGGGCCAGCTGTGAGATGCGTTAGATGGGCTTAATTTTGTGAATTGCGTGGATGGTTGGTTGCTTTGTGTTCGGGGAGGGGGATTAGGTCTTATTATAGAAGTTGGATTTTTCCATTTGCTATAACGAGGCCCGTAGTGGGGGTAATGGCAAGGAAGTTGGGGCTGAATGAAGATCACTCACCACCGACGATGATAAAGTCAAAGATGGACATATTGCACAATGACCTGGTGAGACGGTGCAGATGTCGAATGGAGGTGAAATCAACCCAAAATACGAACAGCAATGAACAAACTTGAGTTTGAAGGTATTAGGGAGGAAGAATAAATAAATATGTAATTTCTACCGGAGAACAGCGGAGATGACAATAAGTGGGGTGGGGGATCTATTCCTAATGTGGTAATCTAAAGTATTCTTGAAGCTGGATAACGTCTTGAGCAATGTGCTTCGTGAATTGCCCAATGATAACCTTGGATGTTGGCTCGTAACAGATCCCCACCAACGTCTGTAACGGTTTCCAGGTGCCTCCCGTGTCGGACACACGGATAGTCGGGCCCGCGCCAATTATAGGGTCCGCCCCTCCTATGACTTGAGCGGGGTGGATCTGGTGGGCCAGGGTGGATATGACGCAAATTAACATGGATGATCTTCCAGGGGGTTGACTACCTAGGTACTCGTACTACGTAACTAGTTAGCCTGACAAGCTAGTTGGATAACGTTACATGATACTCCGTAGTAGATCTTCACGTTCTTAGGATTCCCAGTGGGCCGGTTTGGCTGGATCCTTTCTTTTTAATCCCTTCCAACTCCCGTGTCCATCTTCCGTTATTCTGTGCTCTGTTTTGCTGACTTGCAAGAATGGCTGATAACGCCGAGGCATGGACATTATTGTCCCTGGGTCTAGTTATAATTTTAGTGCGTATCGGTGTACGATGGAAGCTCGTTGGACCGGCCAATTTCCAACTGGACGATTATCTTATGCCATTGGCAGGAGTACGTTGTTTCGACTACCTTCTAAACACCATTGAATGAAGTTACAATTAACATAATTTTCTTCCGCAGGTCTTCTTTGTTCTCGAAACAGTAGCGGCGTATCTCGTCGGTGCCAAATTCGAGGGCCTGACTAACAGCTACATGACACCTGAGCAGCGGGCAAAGCTCGACCCCAATTCGACTGAGTGGTCCCATCGTGTTGCTGGATCCAAAATCCAGATCATTGGATGGTCATTATACGTTGCTATTCTCTGGCTAGTCAAATTTAGCTTGGCAGTTTTCTACTCTCGATTGACGTGCGCTTCACAGATCAACTTGAATATAATGAACCAATGCGCTAAGCATATTATAGGACTGGTCTCCACCATCTCCCCACGCGAGTTCGGATGGGATATATTATTTTAGGTGTGACATACATCGCAACAGCATTGTCCCTCCTACTGTCATGCCAGCCATTCCATGCGTTTTGGCAGATTTATCCTGACCCCGGTAGTGAGTTCCACAGTTATCAGATACAATGGCATTCTTATCTTACTATATTTGCACAGATCTCTGTCAGCCAACCCACTCACGCGTTTACGTTTTCGTTGTCGTGGTACTCAACATTCTCACCGACATCTACCTTCTCTCAATCCCGCTCCCCCTTCTCTGGACTGTTAACCTCAACCTGAAACGAAAGATCCCTCTTATGGTTCTCTTCTCCGGTGCCACATTTGTCATGATAGCGGGTGTTATTCGGGCTGCTACGATTATGAGGGTATGTACCATGCAATAATGATATACCTATACAGAAACACGCACGCTTATTACTTGCCATGTATCTGACACATATACTATAGAACACCCCCGATGGAGCTGTATCTGGCTCTAAATGGGCCTGTCGTGAGACTTTTGTCTCAATTGTGGTCTCCAACCTACCCATCATCCAACCACTTATCCGCAGGGGCTTCAAGAAGATCGGTCTCTCCCAACTCTTCAGTTCCTCGGGGAAGACATCAGGACACCCATATCAGCTCTCCAGTCGAGGTTTAAAGACCTTGACAAACCGCGGCGAAGGCGATACCAAGAAGAGTAAGACGAACGCTGCTGCGCCAACTCATATGCAAACTTCAGCATGGGGCAGTGATGAGCATATTCTCGCTCAGTCAGAGCCTTCTTCGAAGGATATTACTGTGGTCTCGGAGACTGTCGTGCGCAGTGAGCCATGGATCCTCGAGGAGGGGTCCGGCGCGGGCGGCTCGACGACACCCCCGAAGGAATGGGGGAGTCAGTTGTCGCATCGATGAGAACGGCATATAACATGAGATGTTGTACTTGTATAATCAGTTATATTAGACCCTTGATGAATATAGAATATAGACATGGCCAAGACGCATATAATTATGGGATGGATTTTTGTGGGTATTGGATGGCATGTGAGAACATTGGCATTAACGGCGTTTCCCTCTTTATTTCTTCGAGTTATTTCTTCACATACTAGTTTTCTTATAGAATTCCACTCTTTAATGGCCAGAATAATAAGTCTTCATATTACATATTCTCCTTGGTGCTGAAAATATTGAAATAGAAATATTAAAATACACCCCATTTCATTAACACAACCTTCGCTTGTCACACGCGATATATATATCATCCCAAATCTTCTATCACTGGTCTACAAAATCCGTCGCATGCTTCTTATACAAAGTACTAGAATCCAATATCTCGCCAGTAGAAGACCTCACAAAGTCAACCTGCAAGTTCTGCTCATCCAAAAACCTAAGCGTGCTGTAGCTATAGTCATCGGCATAGGCAAACTCCGTATAATCAGGCTTGCTGCCGATGGAGCTCAGACCCTCAATATTACCCGGACCACCAGCAACAATATACATGGGCGCCTTAGGGTCCTTCGTACCATTGGGGTCGGCAGTACCATTAACAACAGGCGCAAATCGCTGCGAGTTGTGTACATGGCCGAAAACACCAAGGTCAACGCCGTACTGGTAAAACAGGCCTTCAAACGCCTCTTGACAGGGACCACAGACGTTTGATGACCCTCCTGTTGAGTACCACGGTCTGTGTCCAGCGACAATTAGCCAGGGCGTGACAGAGCGGTCGACTGACGCGAGATCAGCCTTGAGGAAATCGAGCTGCTGGTTCGGAGTGCCAAATGGCCCACCGTTCAGCTTAGCAGAGCCATCTTTGCCGCTTGGTGCATCGGGGAAATCTGTTTCAGTATCGATCATTACAACGTGGGCCATGCCGTATTCGAAGGAATACCAAAATGGCGGGTTTGAAAGGTTGCGGGCCGTTCGGGCCAGGGTTTGGGCTGTTGTGTTGGATGACGAGGAAATATAAGACTGTGGCATAGTTTTCTCGTAGCGGTGCATGAACTCAGTGAAGTTGTTTTGGCCCTTGGGGCAGAGGCCGTTCAAGTATGGAATCTCGGAACAGTCTGCTTCGTGGTTTCCTGGACTGGCCATGTAGGGCTTGCGGCCTGCGATTGGTGCGAGTTGGTCGTAGAATTGTTCGATGATAGCCTCGTAGGCTTCTTTGCCATCGAACAAGTTTGCGAATTTGAGATACCAGTCGTCGGCGTAAGCGAAGTCTCCTGGGTGGATGACAAGCTCGTAGTCGTCGATAGTTTTCGCGAGGCGACCGATTGTGGTGTGGTTTAGTTCTGGCTCGACTACTGGAATAGTGTCCTTCTTGGTGCTTTTGGATGTGAAGCCGTTTTTGCCGTAGACACCTAGATCAATCACCACATCCATGTTGAACGCGGTTTTATCGCCAGGCGTGCGAGGGCTGAGGAAATGGCCTACGGTCGAGTTCGTGGACTCGATCTTATAGTAGTAGGTTGTTGCGGGTGCCAGGCCTGTTAGGACAGCGACATTGGACCACGTCCGAGAGGGGTCGTAGGTGGTCGACGAAGACGAGCAAGCTTTGGTGTTCAGGTTGCTCTCTGACAAGCCATAACTGACGCAACTCTGTTCTAGTTGTCCATAGGTATTCCAACCAACAGACACAGCTAGAGACGAATAAGTAAGTCCTCATTCAAATTCACTATATCTAGCAGCCTTCTTACCATCAGGTCCATAGACTGTCAATCGCTGTTGGAATGGTGTAGTCAAATCCGTCGGAATCTCAGGATATTTGACACCAGCAAAGGCGCAGCTAGCCACAAGGGGCAGCAATTTGAGCGACGAAATTCCACCCATGGCCGAATAATGTAATTTATTTACAGGATTGGAGATCTCAGCACTCTGTCATAGAAGCTTCTTGATTCGGCTCTATATATAATTTCGTGCCTCGGCCCAGGTACCATAAACATCACGTACTCGCGTTCGATGGAATGCAATCAGGGCCAATCATGCGCGAAATGTAACGCACGTCGCTCAGACTGCAGATCGTTTTTATGCATTATCACCTTAATCCACGAGTTTCGTTTGGCACAAAAATCCACTACAGCAGTTTAGGTTTAGGGCAGATAAAATAGAGAGCGAAAATTCGGAGATGGATCGACTTTCGGCGACGGGTGTGGATATCGGAGGTTATTTATTGGCCGAGGCTTAGTGTGCACGTGTAACAACAGGGAGGATCGGTTGGATTTCCAGAGAATATCGCTGAATTGGTTAATTTGCGCACTTGATTGCTGATTATGAATTCCTGAAGCATGTCGCATAGATTAAAGGGAGCCGGTCCCATCTCTGCCTCCGGATATCCTTGTCAATTTTTCTCTTCATCAGGACCGTAACTTGATATCTCTAGATGCCCAGGGGGATGTGACTTACCACAACCGAACAACTACCATTTACGAAGATCAATCACATGCATCCAGCCATCGCATCTTGTATCCCAGCTGTCAGTGCCAGTAACAATCGAGCAATCCAAAAACGGTATCAGACATCGTCTTGTTGCAAACGATATGGCGTAGAAGCACCTAGACGACCAAACCCAAATACAACATTACCGTATGCTGGTATCATCTAAGATTTCTATCATATTGATACAACTACAGAGTATATGTAGCTGATCTAAAGGCGATCCAAGAGTGCGAAAGATTGAGATAAGCAGCTAGCCCTAGCCATTGCCAAGAAACTGAGTTAAAGGGGTTGGTTTCTTGGCGAAAACCGGCCACTTGGCCCCAGCTCTGGGGGCGGGTGGCTGGCTTATTAATTTTCTGCCTTGGAAACCTTAGTAACCGCCTAGGACGACAGGGATAAGAGGCAACTTCCTCAGTCTGCTAAATTCCCTAGTGACCTTGTTGGAGTCATTTTATGGTTTATCGGGTGGATCGCTTAGTACTATGGTTGCCAGTTCCTGTGACTATTGGCAGCATCCAAACACCGAAGGACTGATTCATATGCCGATCTCTGCCACCAATCGCTGAAAAGGTTCATTATGGATATTGAGGCTGCACGAAGCTATTACTCGGCAATTATTCCCGGCCATTACCATTGCTCGGCAGTAGCCCATCTGGAGAATTCCCCGGCCCCCACGTTGCTGACGCAATTCCCCCATTCCTCCACAGATATATATTTGCACCTGATCCACAATCGGAAACCCAAAAGGCTCTGACTGCATCGGCACGGAATTCATATGTTTATATCACATTGTGGTCGCCTATAGCAGCTCAAGGCCCCGTATGCGCATTTCCTATCTCCATATGCTATGGATGTTCTAGTCAAAAAACATACACCTATTTCAAGATCTTTTAGATATCCTAACGGGGCACATAGCTGTAATATGTACTCCATCACCGGATAAACCTTGGAATTGGTACGAGCGAGGAATGACATCGTCAGCTTTCGTATTGTAACCGTTCTTGGCATCAACATTCGGAGATTATCCGATTTCACTACAGCTTGAAAACTTAGCAAAAATAAATGCCTTTTCTACTCTCATGATCACAAGTATTTGCCTTGAACAGCACAAGCGCAAACTCAAAGAAATTCATCAAACCTTGTCAAATCACCCCATGTTCCATACAGATCGTTCATCACAGTGTACACAGTCAAGCAAAGTCGCCCTAGTGACTTGACCCCAATTCTTGCGCTAATCCCACATCCCCGCGAAATTTATTCCACCAATGGCGGTGGGGCTCAACTTCGATTGCCGATTACCGGCTTTTCAAGCATTGCCTTTATATTATGCTGGTCGTCCAATGTGTTGTTACTGGTAAATCGTGATTCTTCAACACCCCTTCCATGATTACATCGATTAGTACCGACCTTGAATAAGAAACCTGGCACTTCGGCATGGCAGATAAGAAGGAAAACCTCGCAGAGGTACTGGAGCCGCAAAGCGGACATGATGTCCAGCACATAGAGGAGAACCTCAAGTTATCGGTGGCAGGCAAAATCAACCAAGGAGAGGATAGTGAATTATATATTGAAGCAATCCAGAGATATCCTAATGATGAGGCCATCGACAAAGAGGCAGAAAAGAGGTTGAAACGGAAGCTTGACTTGCACCTCATTCCACTTCTTGGCATATGCTACTTCTTCTATGTATGTTGGTCGTCTCAAGCTCGCTATACTCAGACAGATCACAACTAACATCATCTGTCTCTAACAGTATGTCGACAAGACGACACTTTCGTACGCAGCAATCTTTGGTATCAAAGATGACCTCAATCTGTCCGGTTCAGAATACTCGTGGCTGTCAAGTATCTTCTACTTTGGATGGTTAGTTTGGGCAATCCCGTCTAATCTCCTTATGCAACGCAGCCGGATGGCTTGGTATCTCGCCTTCAATATCTTCATGTGGGGCGTGGTTCTCATGTGCGAGGCTGCATCACATAACTTCGCAACACTTGCGGCACTGCGGATCATTTCCGGCGCGTTTGAGGCTATTGCTGACCCTGCATTTATGCTTGTCGTCTCTACATACTATACTCGGGCCGAGCAACCTTGGCGTATTTCGGGGTACTATTTATGGAATGGCATCGGTATCGCCGGCGGCGGTCTTATTGGTAGATTTCATGCATTATTACACTGAATTGAGTAGCAAACGCTGATTGTGCTCTCTAGGTTACGGAATCGGCAATATCAAAGGCGATCTTCAATCCTGGCGTTACGAGTTTCTCATCATCGGCGCTGTTTGCGCTGCCTGGGGAATTGCACTGGCCCTACTATTGCCTAACTCGCCAGCAACCTTCTGGGGCTTCACTCGTGATGAGAAGCTTATGATGATTGCGCGACTGCGATCCAATCAAACCGGTATTGAGGGACGGAAAATTAACTGGGGTCAGATCAAAGAGGCATATCTCGATTATAAGACTTGGCTATTCACCATCTTGGGCTTCCTTTCCAACGTTCCAAACGGCGGAATCTCCAACTTTTCCACTTTGGTCATCCAAGGCCTCGGGTTCGATACACTCAATACGGCACTTCTTGGTATACCCCAGGGAGTAATCGTGGTCATTTGGATTGTGCTTGGAGGATACGCCAACCAATACATGCCAAAGAATAGCCGTACTCTAGTCTGCGCACTGTTCATGGTCCCCACTATTGCGGGTGCCCTCGGTTTCTTACTTGCCCCCGACAATGCGTACGTCGGCCGACTGATCTGCTTGTAAGTCTATCTAACTGATGTATTTGATTTCAAGGCAGTAACTGATCAATCCCCCCAATATCCAGCTATCTCACTGGGTCCTATCAAGCCTCCTTCGTGATATCCCTTTCCCTTATTACCTCCAATACCGGTGGGCAGTCCAAGAAAATGATCGTATCCGGTATGATATGGTTTGGAGCATGCATCGGCAACATTGCTAGTCCCTTCTTTTACAAATCTGAGCAAGCGCCGGCATACCCCTTGGGCATTGGCTCCCTGCTGGTTGCCAACTGCCTTGAGCTCATGCTTTTCTTTGTGCTCCGCTACGCCTTCATTTGGGAGAACCGACGAAAGGAGAAAATGCGCAATGAATTACGGGAGAGAGGAGGCGAGTTTGAGCTCATGGCCGATTCCACGGCCTTCGCTGATTTGACTGACATACAAAACCCGAATTTTGAGTACGTATATTGAGGGGAAAGTTTCAAGGTGCAACTACGCGCTTTTATATGATGACTGCAGGTCTAGATTGGAGAGTTGGCGCGGACAATGTAAACCCAGGGGATAGATATACACATAGATAGATTTGTTTTAGCGGCGTCCACGTGCTCGAAATATTCAGAAACAACACCGTCAGATGAAGAAAGGTCCTCCCTCGTTGGGTGTACTTCATTCACCATACAGGGCAATTTATTCTAAACGGTCCGTATCTTTTGATAATATCATGTCCTGCTCTCTGCACATGGTTCAAACAAAATTGCCTCACAAACTATTAAGGATATAAGGAGCCACTGCAAATTGGTTAAGTATTGAATTAGAAAACGGGCAAGCTTGGTCTTCCCTTCAACCCCGTCTCCTCCTACACCGAGCCAGCAAAAATATATACAAAAAGAAAATAAAAAAACATACAACAGTGAGGATTCGCTGGTGGTCACCCACCCAACTACTAACTCACCGGCGTGTGGCTTAAGTACGGCTGAGCGGACGGGAAGCCCTGTTTTCCACACCCTATGGTCGTATGTATCTGGTTATGTGTAGGGGAAAATGATAGAATGCAACCATTAAGAGTCAATTGGGAGTTTAGATTGAGAAAGGTGAGTGCGCAACGGACAGAGTGAGAATCCAGGAGGAATCACCTCAAGTCGCGCGACCACTCCACCAACCCTTTTAGCCGACTAGGAGTGGACTATTATTGGGCAATATATATCCCTGATTTAGCTTGTTGTCGTTGTTCTACGGCTGTTACCCTTAGATGACAGTGCATCTAAAACCAGACCTACCGAACCCCATTTATCTGGGAGAACCAACGAAATGGGAAGATGCGCGACGAATTGCATGATATAGAGGGGGGGATCTGAGGTTATGGCCTATTCCACGGCCTTCGCTGATCTGACCAGTATACAAAGCCCGAATTGTGAGTACGTACAAGGAGGGAAAAGTGTCACGGTATGACTTTCCGCTTTAGCAAAGAGTTCCCTGTCGCCCCAGGGGACATGGCGGGCTTGCCGCGCAAGTTCACGAGTTGCTTAATTGTTGTCATTGCCTTGTTGGTTGAGCAAACTGTACATGACAGCATCATTTATGATCGAGTATAGTCCCCATCTTCTACGTTTTGAGCTCTGCGGGGTTGTCATAGCATAGTCCCAACTATTGCACAGCCCGGGGAAAAGAAAGACCATGACTAAGCGGAAGGCTCTTCAAACCTGCTTCCGGGAATCCGAATTTAGTGGCATGACTATGGTGCGAATTCTCAAAATAAATGCGAAAAGGAAATATATGCAATATAAAGGACGGCAAAGTCGGATGAAGTGGGGGACGGCGGGGTAGGAAGTTTCAAGTTTGCAGCACGGTTGCTGTATGAGTTGGGTGCACATATAAGATGAGGCTAACTTGCACCTATAATCTTGAATGCAATAGATCACATACCTTTCTCTGTCATTTTTCTGGTTTATTGAACGACAAACATATTTGGCCCTTACCAATTCTTTTTTTCTTCTTTTTCTTTTTTGCTATTCCTTCCTCTGGCTCTCTGAACCATTTTCTTCAATATCATCCTCATGGCTAATAGACCCACGAACACATCTCTCTATGTCGATGAGAATCTTGCCTTGGGGGTCCATCGAGACATCGGAATGCACAGCCCAGGGAATGGAGAGCTTTTGATTGAGACAATTTTCTCAGGTGCAAACCCAGCAGACGTTAAACATGCCAAATTTCTGGGAATCTACCCTGCATGTCTTGGGTATGATTTCTGCGGGAAAGTCCTCCAGGCATCCGCTAGTTCAACTTTCAAAGTTGGAGAAACTGTAGCTGGCTACACCCCGACAGGGTTAGACCGACCACTTAAGTATGGGACACACCAAACCTACATGGTTTCTCCTGAGTGGATGACTTTCTTGGTTCCTTCAAGTCTCCCGCTAGAGCATGCCGCCTGTCTACCCGTGGTGGCTATGACTGCAGCTGATGCATTATACAATTTTTTCAAGTTCCCACTACCTCAAAACGCATCAGACGAACCACCTCGAAATCAGAAAGCCATCAACTCACTTATTATCTGGGGAGCTTCTAGCAGCGTCGGGATATGTGCTCTGCAATTTGCTCGGGCTAGTGGGATTTTTCCTATTTTTGTCACGGCCTCGCCACAGAGGCATTCAGTTCTATCCAAATTGGGTGCAACCCACTGCTTTGACTACAAATCGCCTACCGTGATATCAGATATCAAGGCCACGTTGAAGCACTATCAGAGTGACGGAATGTCTTATGGCTTTGATACTGTGGGAGGTTCTGCGCAACAAGTAGCATCATGTGCTTCGCAAGATGGGATACTGGTGTCAGTGGTTCACGAACAGGACTCTAGATTCCTGATGCCTTTTGCGACTACGGCGGAGGATGTTACACTTAAATTGCCCAGTGTTCCACACCCGGTTACGATTCCAGCTCGGCCAGATGACCACCGGCGCTCATGGAGTGTGCTTCAGTGGGCTGTTCAAAATTACGGAACTCGCTTTCACTTGGAAGTAGTGGATATTTTTGCGGGTAAGGCTGAAGATGCACTTGAAGAGCTACAAAGATTAGGAAGCCATGGCCGAGGTTTCGGGAAGTTGGCCCTGAAACATCCGCTGCAGTGATATATTCAAATACTGTGACTAGCTAGAGATTAAGATTCAATGTTCTAGATGTTCCAGCAACCCAGCACCTCACTTGTGTTCTGTTTCCTTTCCCTGTACTAGGGTCTCCGGATAGTCCCAAATAGACCTCCGCAAAGCCCATAAAGCCCAAAGCCCAGCCCAACCCAACCCGCAAATAGGATGGGTTTTGGGCCCGGTCCGTAGGCCCATTGATAGGCTATAGGCTTATACCTCGAGCCCACTATGGGTTAATAGGGGCCCAAATAGGCCCTAAACAATACAAACATACCGAGAATTTAGATACTAGGATAAGTTGAACCCCCCTTTTAGGATTAATCAAATTACCTCTGTTTTACGTCCGTTTCTTACCCTAATCCCTAAGGTAATATTTTATTAAATTTAATAATTAAGAATTAGTTAGTTACTAGTATTCTCTCTATATCACGTAAAAAGATATAATAAAACACGTTAATTAAGAAATTTTTTAAATTATAGAGGTTTACTAGAAAGTAGTAGTACTTCCCTATTAAACCTATATTATAGATATTGTAGTGGGGAAATAGGCTCCCCACTACGCATTTGCCCTTGCCTCTTCTTTTTCTATATGTTGTTATGTAAGCATTGAGGATATGAGGTTACAAGTAGCAGATAGATACAGATTGAGAATACACACTCCTACACCTCTTTGGATCCACTTCTAGGGGCAGTGCACCTGGGTTCCTTTGTACGCAAGGTCGGGTATGAAGCTAAGTTATGAGTGCTGAAGCGACCCGTATGCCGTAGAGCATACAGCCTTGAGCGTTCCCCTCTTCAATATATATCTAATATTAAAACATTAACATTTACCTTTTCGGTTATATCCCAACCCTTACCGATCGGGTTTTGTTTAAAATTAACGTACGTACTTATAGTATTCCCTTTATTCTAAATTTGAAATTTGAACTTTATACGATCGGTAGAAGGTCGTAATATAACGATTAACTATAGAGTCCGCTTTGTCAGCGCCTATATGGGGTTTTATAGGGGCCCACGGCCCAACCCACGGTGGGCTGTGGGTTGGGTTAGGCTTTAAAGGTTGAGCCCATAGCCCACCGTGGGTTGGGCCGTGGGCCTAGGGTCTGGACCCATTTATGGGCTTTGCAGAGGTCTACTCCTAAATGTGAGATACACTCTCTTGGACGTTCTTTTTAGAGGACTTTTTAAGTGTACGAAGGTGGTAAAAAGGAGACTTTGTGCAAGAGACCTTTTTTTATATATAATTTGATGATACCTCATTAGCTCCTACATTTTCTTGATTTCGTACCTCATCGCACCTAAATTCCTTGCCTACTCACTATACTCAAAGTGCCCTTCAAGAGATATCATGGGTGAGGTATAACTATTCCTTGTAACCTACGTATAGCCAATGTCTCCAAGTGATATTTTCACGATCCGACGATGGAGAAATACTACAAAAGCAGCACAAAGTCAGAACATTGGTATTAGTCATGGTGGAACAACTGGAGACACTGACAATAAAGTTCACCCCACACCCGAGTCCCGCTTATTAATGCTCCTGTAGACCTCCCAGGGCTTCTATTTCGGAAGATTAAGTACCGGCTTTTCCGGATGGGTGATATACAGTGGATATCAGTCTAATCGTTGTTGGTATTCTCACCACCCCGCCGTTCCCCACTACGATGACACTACCGCGCAAGTAAACTGCTTCTAGGATATAGATCATAGCATGACTCTCGATCAATCCTGTTATATGCTGGGCTTCTTAGAATATATATTTCACATGTCTGCCCCAAATACAGGCCAAGGGTAAACTCTTTTCGTCAACCGAGATCATCACTTCAACTGTGCTCCTCAGTACTTTGAGTATATTGTCCCTTTGATTCCAATTTCTTGGTCATGATTCCAACACAGAATAACCGTCCGAAGTATTTAAGTACTCGGTCTGATGTGGAAGGATATACCCGTATCAAGCATGCTTACATTCCCATGCGGGACGGGATTGAATTATGTGCCGATATTTTCTTGCCATTCTCTGCATCGCAGGATAACACAAAAGTTCCTGTCATTTGCAGCTTGGGTCCTTATGGCAATGATAATCATGCTGTTACGTTCGGGTTGCCACAAACATCAATATATGCCGAGATGTACAAGCATATCAAACCGCTGGGCCCGGACGCCTGCTTCGAGTTGTGTGAACCTACCATCTGGGTGCGTAGCTGATTCGACGTTTATCTCAGTCCATTTATTTACCAGGCCGAAAATAAATAGTGCAGGGAGTACGGATATGCCCTTCTCCGGGCCGATTCGCGTGGTATTGGAGGCAGTCAAGGGAAGCTAGATCCCTTTGGTCTGGAAAGATCGCTGAAGATCCAAGCAGACGCTGAAGGGCAAGGTATTTCCTCTTCCCGGTGCCGAGGAAAGAAGAAAACTAACTTCTGTGCGGTAAGATCTATACGATATAGTTGAATGGGCTGCTTCCCAGCCGTGGTCAACAGGTAAGGTTGCTTTTTCTGGCATCAGCTACTACGGAATGGTGGGATACTGGGCCGCGATGCAGAGGCCACCCCACTTGACTTGCATCGTGTCGTACGAATCAGCTTGCAGTATGTACCAAGCCGCCCGGCGAGGAGGAATCTACAGCAACAATTTCCAGTCTCATTGGTACAATAATCTTGTCGTCCCATTTCAGGCTGGGAAGCAAGATGGCTCACTTGGGGAAGAGGAACTTACCACCAACCGTGTGGACTTCCCCAAGTTGTTGACGACAACCGAGTACCCCACGGAAGGAGTCTGGGCTGTCTTTGACAAAGTCCGCAAACTATCTGATATCGAGGTACCGATATACCTTGCAGGTAACTGGAACGACCCGGAACTCCACCTGCCAGGGAACATTCGGGCCTACAACGGTGTCTCGTCTAAGCACAAGTGGTTGGAAATGCACACTGGTAACCATCTGGCCGCCTTCTATGAGCCAGAGCACGTTGAATTGCAGAAGAAGTTTCTGGACTTTTTCCTCCTTGAAAGGTCTGATAACGGAATGCTAAATATTCCGCGGATCAGGTTTCTTCAGCACCATGGAACTGATACACTGTGGCGCGAAAATGAGATCGCCTTTCCTCCTCCAGATGCGGAAGATGTTAGCTTCTACCTGTGCTCTGGAAGACAACTTTGCTTGATCAAACCTATGAGTGCAAAAACGGCCTTCACATATCAGGGCTACACGGAAAATATGAGTTTCTCGCTTGAATCGGCTTTTTCCGATTCATTTGAGATACTCGGATCTCCGTATCTTGAGCTTGAGGTTAGCACGAAAGCGAAGGACCTGGATCTGTTCATCTATCTCCGTGCAATTGACAGGAACGGAAACACAATTACTCTTCTTGGAAACCACGGTGAGCCGATGAACAATTTCGCAAGGGGTTATTTCCGCCTCTCTCACCGCGACGAAGCTGCGAATAAATTCAGACGGGAGCGTGTTCTCAGTCAGGCTGCTGCTCCCAAATCAAGGATTGTTTCAGGCAAAGTGTACGATGTGCTCGTCCCCCTGTATCCTACAGCATATTTGTTTGACAAGGGGCAGACTCTCACTCTTGAGATTGGCTCTGTGAATACTGCCGGAACTATTCCCCCAATGCGCCATGAGGGTGGTGATAGGCTTTTACAGAGATTTGACGGAGAGAATCGCATTCTCTCCCACGGAAGATTAGTCCTTCCTCGAGTGAGACGGTAGACATCAGCATGCTAAAGAAGGTCATCTGAGCCTCGCAGGAACACTTTTCGGTGAGAAGGTTTCTCTGGTGATATTTAGTAACATGCCACTATGTATCTTGTAAGATACACTCTACTACATATAGATTGTCACGTAGCCTTTTGGTTATCACCCCTTCACTGTTAGGAGAGCATGGGTATATTTTTATTGGATTCTATACGGTGGCCTGAATAAAGTTCAAGGCAACCCGTGGTCATGAATATCCTTCATTTGAACCTGCAGTAAAATGTTTACCACCGAGAACGCTCCTGTGCTCAGTTTACTCTAGCATTTTGAGATGCCGCATCAGGGGCATAAAAATTCCGAGGTATATCTTGTCCATCAATTGTAGTGTCTAAGTTACTGTAACAAGCTAACTTTCTATCTAGGACCAGTCTCCTTCATCTTGAACAGGGTTGCCACTCTCCGAAGCGTCTAGGAGCTCCTGGACAGTCCACGGCTTGTACTTATAGCCAGGAACAGAATTCGTGTTCTCGAATGGTGTACCCCTGAGAAGGTGCTCTGCACATTTACCGTAGTTCTCATTTGCATACTGCGCTGGGTCGTGCTGCACCAGCCAGTTTCCAACCATCTTGCCCATAACCTCCGGGTTCTTAGAAACTGCATCCCAATCAGTGTTGTGGAATAACTCCCGGTTCTTGAATCCTAGCTTCTGGGCGCAAGAGACCCGTTCGAACCTATCATAGGAGCATGTATGATCAGCCTCTGTATTACATAGCGTTCCCCTGTCTCTATTCAACCCAGGACTAGCTACCAAGTCTTAGCTTCATGGGTTATCACATACCTCAAGTGGTTATGCACCTTTGTTGCGAAGGACACATCTTCCTTCCCGGCTATTTTTAAACATGCGGCCAGGGAGTACGCATCTTCCATGGCCATTGTTCCACCGCTAGCCGAGGTCGGCAGAAATGGATGTGCGGCGTCACCAATTTGGACAATGCGGCCGCCGGGTGATGCCCACCGCGGTTGAGGGTTACGCCAAACCAGCTTCCATTCAAGAACGGTGTGGTTTGGTGTCGCATTGATAAGCTCGGTCATGAAGGGTTCCCAGCCCGCAACGGCCTTGAGAGCCTTATCAATCGACGTGGTCTTAGCCCAATCTTCTTTGTCATCACCACCGTCCTCCTGGGTAACATTAGTGTCATATCAGATAGCGGAAGCTTGACGTGTGGGTAACATACCCTGCGAGTGAGCATCCAGCAAATGTCGTTTTCTGACTTGCAAGTAACCACATGCGCCCCAGGACCGGCATGTAGGAATCCACGGTCTCTGAATCCTTCAAATTCCTTCGCGATGACTGGGTTTTCGAGCGCCGGTGCTGCGGGGAAGGTGACTCGATACAGGATGAATCCTGAGCTAATGGGGGCGTCTTTGCTGCCGACTACCGATGCCCATGATTTGGTGCCAACTCCATCAGCAGCCACCACTACGTCTGCCGTGAGCCTGCGGCCGTCAGACAGGATCACACCACCATGGTCGTCTGCCTCGAAGAAATCCGCAGCCGTCGTGGAGAACTCGACCGGTATGCCAAGCTGCGAGATATACTCTTGGAGAACATTATGCAGCTTTGACCGGTAGATAGCTAGGGAAGGGTCCTTGGGGTCGCCAATGGGGAAGGTCCCGATCAGTGTGCCGTCGAATTTCTTCATATTGATCACTGGATCAACTCCTTCTTGCCTCGCCCGCTCCATAAAGCCCGGCCATTTCTTTGGGGTGTGGAGAGCTGGAGTCGTGATTACGATCATTTCGCCTGCATCAAGAATCCATGCGTCGCGTGGTCAGCCATACGTTCGATTTTGGGGGTTCCTGTGCGGTGGGAGGAACTCCACTGCCAGCTCTCTTCTGTTCTGTGCTTACCAAAAGTCTCTTCACGGCGTCGCCGTTCGATTACCCGGACATTGTGACCCTTACGATGAGCCTCAATAGCGAATGATAGACCCGCAATGCCACCTCCAACAACGAGAATGGAGATTCCTGTGTCTTCTTCTCTCTTCATGGCTGTTTTTGACAATGCTGACAACTGGATCTTTGAAGGAAACCTGCTTGATTTGAATACTTACTTGTTTTGGGTCATGCTCAAATATATATGGCTCATGCGGAAACGTATTAAGCCGGATCTCACAGACGGAACGGACGGGCCTGGCTACGTACCCGAGTCGGCCCCTACCTACATAAGTCATTAGCGCTAGCCAAGGCTCGGGACTGAAGGTCTCCAGTCTCCGGCTGACTTATCGAGGTACTTCAGCAACCTTAAATGCAATAGTTATACCCACACGGACAACTGAGAAATCAGATGAGAGTTCAAGAGTATCTACTGTTATCCACAGCTTGAGAATGATAATTCAGGTTTGGACAAACCAAGTGAAGTGTTTACTACCGCAGCAAGTGAAAATAAACGGCATGGCTCCCTCTGCAGTGAGAAAGGTGCATGCTCTCAACAAGTACATCTACATATTTGGGTAATAAACTACCGGCCCGCTCCGAGCCCCGCCCGTGGGCGCCAGAGTCTTAGTAAGCGGCAATCGGAACACTAAAGTCACAATTAGCCAAGGACGATCAACTTCCTGTTACCTACCTAGAGAAGTCTTTAGGAGAAGCAATATCGTCATGGAAGATGCTTCCCGATGTTTCCTCGAAGCTAACCAAGACACCTTAGTACCATTTTGATCTGGTGGGGCGAAAGAAAGAAAAATGGTAAACGGCGATTCCGAGACTCAGATGCACAAATGTGCGACTAAATTTGTGCATAAAAAAATAGTCTGAGGGTTTTTGGTGCCAGTGTCAGTGACTACACACCAGCCAATGTCATCTGACCTACATTTCTGCCTGGTTTGTTAGGCTAGTGACTGCATGTTTGTTTGCGCGTTTGCTGGCGTGAAGGCTCCACCTTCCTCCTTTTCTCTTTGTTTTCTCCTCCAGTTCTACGTTGGCTTGTATTCGAATGATTGTTGACTGTGCTCCCTATTTCCTGCTTCTGGCTGCTAACAAATATTTGCATATGTCTCAACCACCAAACGCTTTCCTCTTCGCCAGGTAATAGAATACCTTCATGGTTTGGGACTTAAAAGGGTGAACTCCGATCTACAGTGCATATGTACTTACCTCCATATATGGGGGAGATATTACACCCGGCGCAGCACTGAAAGTACCTCAGGACGCAGGACCTGAGTTACTAGAAGGTCGGGGTTTCCGGCTTACCAAAATACGGCTCCAGGGGTCAAGTCGGTTTACCTCGAATCTTGGATATGATAGGAGATTATTACCGGGCCTACGTTAGCTAGCCCTGTACGGAGCAGTTAGCCTGCATACTCCAGGTCCAGTGTCTTCCATGGTTACTAAGAATTGTCGAATACTAAGTCCGAATACATGGTAGAAACCAGGTAATATACCGGAAACATCATGTGACAGTCGGTACCAGGCATACCATACAAAAGTGCATATTACAGTTAGTCATCATGGTCCGCACAGATTGTTGAAATAGCGGGTTTTGTCATTTTAGAGTTGTCAACATTGGTCATCTATACCATACATTGTTCGTACACCAGCTTTCTGTCAAGAATCACTAGTGCCCTGGTGGATACCCTGGCACATTAGCGCCTTGTAAACTACCTCTAATTGGCCCAGTCAACGCCTCAACTTTGATCCTTCCACGCCCTGTGGATGATTTCTGCATATGGCTTGGCAGCTTATTTGTTTAAATTGGCCCCCAAAAACTTCCTACAACATCTATCTTATAGTAAGCTAGAGGTTTACTAAATTTTTAGCCATCACACCATTTAGAAGCTTCGTCTTCTAGGGCAATCTTTCCCTGCTTGTTCCTCCTTTGGTCGTGGTCGACCTTGGCTCTGAGAATGGAGGAAGTTACCCGTTCACACTCGACAAACGAGCCTGAAAAGGGGCTGCGGGCTCTAGTAGAGGGAACCACTGGTGGCACTGATATATCGAATGTTCACTATGAGACGCAACTCCCGCCCATGGATGGTGGAATGAATGCCTGGTTGTTCCTCGCTGCATGCTTCGTTATGGAGGCTCTCGTCTGGGGGTTTGCCTTCACCTTTGGTGTCTTCCAAGCCTATTACAGCGACATATCCCAATTCAAGGACTCTGGTAATATTGCCGTCATCGGGACCTGCGCTATGGTAAAATTGAACGTTTCATGTTCCAACCCGACGCGAGCTAACTTCTATCCGCAGGGAATCATGTACCTCGACCTCCCTCTTGTGTTCGCCGCCTACAGACAATGGCCCAAATATCAACGCTTTGGCTGCGGCCTAGGTGTGCTATTAATGTGTGCGGCTCTCGGCCTGAGCTCCCTCGCCACAAACACCAACCACCTCGTCGTAACTCAAGGAATCTTCTATGCGCTCGGCGGCAGCATCGCCTACGCCCCATGTATTCTCCTAATGGAAGAGTGGTTTGACCGACGAAAGGGCCTTGCCTTTGGTGTCATGTGGGCCGGCACTGGAATCGGCGGTGTCGTTCTCCCTATCGTCATGGAACAGCTGTTGGGCAAGTACGGGTTCCGGATTACCTTACGTGGCTTTGCAGTCGTGTTGTTTATTCTCACCGCACCGCTGGTCTACTTCGTCAAACCGCGTGTTCCAATCGCAGATAACCGACCCAGTCCACCTGCCCCGAACTTCCGGTTCATGTTCACGTCCACCTTTGCCATCTTCGAGTTTTGCAATACTGTCGAGGCGCTCGGTTTTTTCTTGCCGTCTATCTACCTCCCGACTTACGCAGGCATGATCGGTGCCTCAACTTCCCTCCAAGCACTGACTGTTATACTCTTCAACTTGGCCTCCGTCGTCGGCTGCGTACTTATGGGCGCCATTATCGACAAACTCGACGTGACGCTTTGCATCCTCATTTCAACTGTCGGATCCTCTATCGGCGTTTTCCTCATCTGGGGCTTCTCCGTGTCCCTTGCTCCTCTGTTCATCTTCTCGATTGTATACGGTCTTTTCGCAGGCTCATACACCAGTACCTGGCCTGGTATTATGCGCGAGGTGGTCCACAAAAAGCCCTCGGCTGAATCAAGCATGGTCTTTGCCTGTCTTGCGGCCGGAAGGGGCGTCGGGAATTTGGTTTCCGGGCCCCTTAGTGAGGGTCTTATCAAGGGGTTGCCGTGGGAGGGGAATGCCGGGTACGGGTATGGGAGTGGATATGGAACCTTGATTGCTTTCACAGGCGTTACAGGCGTTGTGGGTGGTGGAAGTTATGCTGCAAGGCGTATGAAGTGGTTGTAAAATCTGCTAACCTACCCTTACGGCCTACGGACCTGGTGGATATTTGTGGATATTGGTGGATTATCGTGTATCGTGGATTATCTGTGGTATACGAGCGCCACTACCTTAATGAGATTATAAATCGTATAGCCAAAAATTATCTATTCTTTTTCGTATGTCCAAGTAATAATTCTATGGATTTGATGACTTGAGTAATCATCCAACCGTCTCTGTTGAAGTGTCATTTCCAACAAATCACTATATATATAGGTGGTGGATTGGAGTTCGCAAATGTTGTGGACCAGACCATCTATCTAGCTTCTCCAGAATTTTTACGTCTATTAGTTGGTCTCTTCACGCTTCTCTGACGCAAACAAATAAGGCAAGAATTACAAGCTAATGGCGCTAAATTAGGCTCCGGCATGAACATTGGATTTTCGGACATCCACTCGATCGAATCCGAGACTCTACGAGTGACAAAACAACATAATAAGGGTTACCAAAAAAAAAAGAAATTGGGCAAAAAACATACAACAGTGAGGATTCGCTGGTGGTCACCCACCCAACTACTAACTCACCGGCGTGTGGCTTAAGTACGGCTGAGCGGACGGGAAGCCCTGTTTTCCACACCCTATGGTCGTATGTGTTAGATTACGTGTTGGAGGGAATTATACAATGCAATGGATTTTGAATCAATTGATTAGTTTTGGTCAGAAATGTGAGCGCCCATAGATAGAGTGAGAATTGGGTGAAGAGTGAGAACTCAAGATAAGAATTGTTCGATCCAGTGCGATAGCCGCACTAAACCTCCCAGCTGAGCGAGCATAGAACATTATCGGGCACGAGCCCTTATCTGAAACAGCAAATCTCTTCACATACATAGGCCCTCAATGGGATGACTTTCAATAGGGGTAATGAATTAATTCTCGAATGCGAAGTCTGAGGGATATTAAGCCTCTACTATCTAGTATTCCAGGAGGATAGTATAGGAGACGTGGAGTTCTTTGCTCAAAAATATTAACTAACAACTCACGTATATACCTTGGTTTTAAATGTTTCAAATTCAGAGACTTCTATCTAAAATTCCTTTTTATATATCTAGAAGTGGAATGTTGTTATATTGGAGCCTTTAGACCCCTCAAATTTTGCTGTCCGTGGGCGTATATAGTAGTATATAAAGGGCGCTTATGAAAAGAATATCTAGTAAGGCTAGGCTTTAAAAATTCCGATCTAAAGGACTCTGTGGCAGTGAAATTATATATGTTTCATAGGGAATAATGTAGCTTCAAAACCGGTTGCTATACAAGGTTGTCTACGCAAAAGATCGTTTCTCCCCAAGCGAAAATTGGAATTGATATTGAGAATGCATATGAAAAAGGTGCCTAAACTATGGCTATTTCCAAACGAATACTGGTCGTGCTTGCTGCCTTGGATGTTTTGGTTAAGGATTTAATCCATCAGTTTACCTAGCTGGCCTCACGATACAAAAGCCCATACGAGTTAAAATCTCCCTTTGGACCACCCCATAGCTCCGAGTCAACTGTCACTCGATCAACCTCTTTGAATCGATGCTTGAGATATAACCCCAACCCTTCAGGGGATGCCTCATTGTAAGCAGGTAAACCAAGTTTATCTGCTTCATGAACACCAAACGCCACCAGCAGACCCCCAAGTCCCTGGCGCTGATAATTCGGAAGAACATATAATTCTTTTAGTTTTACCAGGATCAAATAGCTAGCTATGATGCTCGCGTAAAATAAGTGGCCATGATGAGTAACTTACGGATAAGGTCCTTTTACCCAAGCAGCTCTGTTCGCTTCAGATAACGTACACCTCCGGTAGCATCCATCAGGGCACCATTCATGGTCGGCGGGCGATATCGGTTGCTATAACCCTCTGCCCACTGGGCTGTTGTCTGGCCCTTAGAGTGAGCCCACCACGCGAATGCTACCGGCTTGTTGGTGGCTTCTTCCGTTATCAACAGGTAGATATTTTTAGGATCTCCAAGCATCGGGGTCATGCGGCGGATTTCGTTATCTTGTCCATCCGATGCTCTCTTTGGGCCCTCAACCTTGCGCTGGAGGTGAGCTGGCCAGAGTAATTCTCCAATCGAGCTATTGTTCTTCTTGTTGCTGTCATTCTGCGCGGCTATTTCAATGTCCCAGATAGTGCGGGCTCCTTCCTCTGTCGCGGGAACCCGGCTTACTTGAAAGCCAGGCTTTTCTGGTAGCACCATGGTGTAAGAAGTCAAAGATTCCTATGGAATTATGAGATATAGGAAGAAGGAATGACCAGTGTGTTGATCTCAGTGAGAAGGCGCAAGATAATAAAGTGAGTGGGAAATGAGTGATAGGTACGCCCCGCCACTTCCTGCGACAATTCCAAATAAAGCCACGGCTGCTGTAGTCAAAGTCTAGGAAACAAGATAAGAAATGGGATCAGGACTTGATCCGGGTGCTCGAAATGTCGAGGAAAGGCATTAAACGTGGTCTGCATACGAATGGTCGGACTCCGGATAGCTCCCCGATGTTGATGTTATACATGTGTTTATCTTTATCTGGTGGCTAACGGGAAACAAGGATGGACAGAGGGGTCATTTAGAGGGAGGCGCTAGGAAATAAAACAAGAGAGATTAGAAGGTAGTAAAAACTCGATGGTTCATTGGCGATGGCAGGAGAAGCACTGGACAAGCATGCATCATAGATTGATATTCGGAGTTAAAGTGTAATTAAAAGTGGCCCTGACATGTTATTACGGTCAGCTCTAAAGCTTGTCTCCCCCGTCGCAAATCGGAAATATACAAAAGGACCCTATGTACTAAAAATGGATAAGAGCGCTTCTGCCATTTCCATCGGTATCCACTTAATGTGATGGACGACCCAGGAAAGCTTTTACGCCAATCATACACAGCTTAGAATTTGGAAAAAGTATAGGATCAGCAGCACAGATTACTCGAGGCGACCAGCGTACGGTGCCAATTTTTCATTGCATGGGAATCGGGGGGGGGGCTTGTTTTTTTTTTTCTATCTATTTACACTCCCCGCTAATGTTTGTTGGTCACTGTGCACTAATTTCGGAGTCATAACGGCCGTACTTGACTTTGCTGCTGTCTCGGGCCCAGATGTAAATTAGAGATCTGTATCTCACTGCTCTGCTTCTCTTATTAAAAAAAAAAGCGTTCTAAATTGCTTACACGAGTCCAAGCATCGTGTTGGAAGCAACCAGGAACTATGCTGCTCCTCATTGCCGGGAACATTTTTCTCTTTGTGATCTCTATTGGTTTTATGGCAGTTTCCCTGGCCAAGGGGTGCCCGGAACAATACTGTTCAGCACCTACCTCGAACTAATGTGCGATCTTTTGGGTAGTCTTTGTTGAAAACAACATTTTACTGAAGGAGTATTCCAAATACAGCACCCCTTCTAGGATCTACGGCAGGCGTCATTGAATATGAGACTGTGATGTTTCATGGAGCGCTGTAGTATAAGAATGTGCATAAAGTCACTCCGAATAAGGTCATATAAACAGCCTGAACCCATCGTATGTTATGAACCTTATAGATTGATAATGTAATCTAGGCCTTGGACGACGCATGGTCTTACATCAAGCACAGTGAGTGGAAGCGGAATCCTTTGTTTCCTTCAAACAGCAACTGAAATTTCTCTAGTGGGTCACAGATTCAGAAATAACATTCAGGAAACATGTTGACCATTGTATTGATATGCTCCGCCAATATCTCATGTGCGCTGGTGATGTGGGACTCGTTACCATGGACTGGGTGGAGAAGTTTGGCATCTACCCTGACTTTACTACTCAGCATAAATGTCGCAAGTTTGACAAAATAGTGGAGTGGGCAGACGAACACGCTACCCCGTCTCTGCCATACAACGCGGGGGATCCGACATCGAGTACTGACTCGGTCTTTTTGCCAACACCACCTCCTTGGTTGTTTTGGCTTTATTATATCGATTTGTCTACTACTGAGGCGATACCACAACTACTTTGAAAATAAATATTTGAAGTCTGCATCTCCGGAAAAGTGAGGTTGAACATTTGAATGTACATTAGGCGATTTCTACTTTATTTCTCCAATTTACATGATACAGACAGACACAAGAGGGTTCATACATCCCCTTACATACACTATGGAAGAAAAGCATGGTGGCTTGTTCACGAGAATTCATGTGACATCAAACCCAAAATAACCAAGCAGTATAGATTATCGGGAAACAAGGCCACCGTTGTTGACTTATTAAAAGTAGGAAGAACGGAAAAGAACAAATCTAAAAACAAAAAACATACAACAGTGAGGATTCGCTGGTGGTCACCCACCCAACTACTAACTCACCGGCGTGTGGCTTAAGTACGGCTGAGCGGACGGGAAGCCCTGTTTTCCACACCCTATGGTCGTATGTATCAGGTTACCGGTCGGAAGGGATTATAGAATAAAATTATTTTAGGAGTTGGAGAGTTTCACGTCGGGGGTGAGACTAAGGTGGATGGACAATTAACAGAGTGAGAACTGAAGTATCCTACAAATTTTCAAATTTGCTAAGCATAAAGATCTTCTATGTGCACCAGGGAACGTGCAAGGGACTAAGAAAAACAGTGATTGAATCGTGAGAGCAAATTGAGGTTGACTAGCGAATATATATACTGCAACCTGAGAAGGAACGCAATAACTGTGGCCAAACACCTTTTTGTGAATATATGTTAGGGGCTTTCTAATTGATCGTCCCGACTAATATTCTTACATAGATATCTCCAATGCTACCTTTCAGTAGGATATACAACTATCCGATCCAGATCCGCACCCTTGTAATCAAACCCGTTATATAGCCCCCCGACTGTGATGTTGTTCTTCTTCCCCTTGTCCAGTGTCAGCTGAAGGGGAGTGGAGAGAATGACACCTTTGTGTGTATCTCGTTGGTATAGAGTTTGCATGCTCGAAGGGTCTCCGTTGACCACCACGCTGCTAATTCGACGTAGCTGCCATGAACCACCGATTCTGTCCGGGGTACCTCCAGCTATTGAACGTATTAGAATATCAGGACCACAATTTAGCTCTAGGCAATATGTTGAAGTCTACTTACGTTGGTCGCCGAAACCCAAGTCGTCAGTGTCTAATCATGATGTTAGTATCATGCAGGGAGATTGAAATTAAAAACAGCCGACGCACTTTGATAGTAGAATGACACCCATTGCGGTTTTCCAGATCCCTCGATATTTTCAAACGTAACAGTGCTGTCATTTCCATATATTCCTGTGAGAATAACGCCATCGGTAGCAAAGTTCTTTCAGCAAATCATATTAGCCACAGATAGTCCGATATCAGAAATAATATAACTATACTCACAGCCTCCTGCTTATATGTATCACCATGCGTCTTTGCCCTTTTCGCAGCGTATGTTGTCCCCTTGACAGATTTCCAGTCCCCGGTTTTCCTAATATTCAGTTCGTATGGATCACATGGTAAAAGCAGAAGACAGCACACGTACACGTCAAGATCATAAATATCGTGCCACTCTAACTCAAGAGTCTTCTTAGACTCATCAGTCTGGATTGGCAACCAGATATAACGACTGTCCCAGACAGAATTGGAGTCCCACTGATCTCCGATGTATAGGTGCGTTGTCCTTTTTGTACCCTCGATTCTGAGCGTGTACCCAGACTGCGAGTTAAAAGTCCGCGTATTCAATGGCGCGATGATAAACGGCTGCGACCAGGGACCGCGTAGCGAGTCGGCCCGAAACGCCACCACGTCTGAAAGGTTAGCCAAGCAATTCATACATCGTCATGAACAGAAACTCTCACTATTGGGTCTATATCCAGTTTTGTGGCTCATAAGTGCCCAGTAACTCTTCTCTGTCTGCATGATAGTAGGAGCCTCAAGGTCGAATTTTGGAAATCGGTAAACGGGATTTTCGAGAGCTGTTAGGTTATTACTCATGCTTGAAATGTACACATCTCGTCCATCTCGACTATCTCCGTTCGAGTATAGAGCATATGATCGGCCGTCCTTGTAGTCAGTAAACAAGCCAAAATCCTGGGACCAGTTTCCAAGGGGTGCTGTAGCGTCAACGAAATTGTACGGCCCACCGATTGTGGAGGACACTGCGTGACCTTGGAGAAGGAGCCCGTACGTCGAATTGTCTGCATGCCACCACATCTGTTTAATTAGTCTTGGAAGGCAAAACATCGAGGGTCCGCATGCATACATGATAATCCTCAGTCCCGGGGCTGTAAGCCACTTTAGGTCGTTGGATCACGCCACCAGGAGCAAGATATGGGTGTCCCTTGATTGGGGCTGTACATGTTAGATTATTCATTGATCTCCAGCATGGTGATGGAGAGTTACCTAGGGCCAGTCCCTCCGATTTCCAGGTACTCAGATCCTCCGAACTATAAACAGAGACACCTCCACCTTCTGGCTCCTCTTCTGTCTTATATTCGCCGAACCACCAGAAAAGACCGGACTTCTGGTCGAAGGTAATCCCGGCACCGTGCGCATTGATGAAGTTCCCATCTGTATCGCGCCATCTACCCCCGGGGATAATGTATTTACTTTTCGCCGAGGCAGCCAAAAGGGTAGCCAGAAAAGCTGACAACAGTTGCATCTTGATGGTGTTGTGCAAATTGGTTTTTGGGGTATCAGAAATTATGGCAATTCGTCAAACTGGAATTAACTTATAGCCTCATCTAGTTGTCGGCCTCTATTGTACCGACATTGCGGGGTAAAAGCAAGACGTTATATTCTTCATCTTGGCATGAATACTTTGTAGTTTGGCTTTGAAACACTCTCTTTTATGATTTTGTCACGCCCCTTTGTGCATCCGCGAGGTATGTATTCAGTACATATGTAGTCTACTTGGTCTATTTGGTATACCTAGGTTCGCTATTTACGTACATATATCCTAGTTCTATGAAAATTATCATAGCCAACACGGGAAAACACCCAACGCCAAGGACCCCGGTATTTTCATCTCATAACCTTGGAATAAACCGAGAAGCAATAAAGTTCAATTAATGCCGACCTTTTATTGGATACCCCGAAGAGGCTAATGGACGACGGAGGTTGATTCTCCGCCTACTCCATGACAATAGGACTGGCCCGCGGGTAAACGCTATCCTTTGAGGCTAAGCCACCCAAGTCAGTGGACAGTTCCACTTCTAGATAATCGAGTATTCAACGGCGAAGCTAGTGAGGGAAGAGAGAATGATTCAATAACTATGGAAGGAAGAGAGCTCTATCTAGCCAGGAGACAGACTTCAGACGGTTTTATGTGGTGGGTTAGATTGCAAATGATTGTTTCTCGGAGATCATCGAAGATGCAAGTAATGCAAGAGATGCCATTAAAGATACATAGACATTTACATCTATTTTCATCTCATTTTTGAGCCAAGGTGCACGTCGATTATTTGACTATATTACAGGTATTTATGATGTATGAACGTCTATAGTCTCCCCTATCTACTCTGAGGGATGGCCAGTCTAAAAGTGGCAGGATACTGCAAGGAGGAATGAAAGTGAATAAGAATATGAGCTTGCGTTGGCTTCACCAAAAGGCTACTAGTCAACAGCACCACGTAGAGGTCCAAGCTCGCGGCTGTTGGATCCCCTGGGACGCCCACTGCAGTCCCAGGAGACCCCAGTCTTCATGGAAGACCGGTCGGGTTACTTCTCTTTGGAGCTAACCCGTTTGTCGTTACATAATCTCAGTTGGGGTCGGGATCTGGGTCGGGGTTGCTGCGAGTCGGGCATTGCAGACACATGTCTTGCAAGATCTCAGTTGGGAGCAGGGTCTCCAGTAGCCTCCGGAATATTGGCTCGTAAGCTTCATTGGAAACTCAATGTCTGCAACAGGCTGGCGAGCTCGGTGTGATCAAGGTCCAGACTCGCTCGATGTCCATCACGTCTCTGTTGACGATTCGAAGTTTTCATCGGCCACTCGGCCGTCACCTCCGCATCATTGCGGTCATCCTAAACTTACCCTCGGTCGGATGGCTTGTTCAATCTGTGTGGTTAGATGTGTTGATTAAGTGCGTGCTGCTAAGTTGTGGTCGGGAGACACTGGTGCCCGCACACGGAGAACACGACACAAGACATCCATAGCTCATAACTGTCATAACTCATAACTCTCATGACTTATAAGAATATATTCGCCTCTGAATTCTGGTGAGCATACTTTATCTTCAAGGGAGACAAGGGACAAGCTATCTGGAAAGGGGGTCGTCTGGCAAATACCTGAAGGTTGCTAGTTTGCTCATTCGAGTTGGACTCCGATAGTACCAGACTCCGCTCAGGGTTGTCCCTTGCGTACTTCAACCTAAAACTCAGCGGAAGGAGGTTTTTACCATCAAGTCGTAGAACCGTAATGATAAATGATAAAGCATATGGGTGAAGGAGATGGGGGGTATTGGACAGCTGATGGTCAGGGTAGTTGTAGGAAAGAAAATTGGGAGAAAGGAAGGGGAAGATGGCTGCCCATTATATTCCCAAGGGATTGCTACTATGCCCTATTCAGTCAACGACTCAGGTCGACTTTCACCTTCCTAAAATATACTAGTATGTCCTTATAAAGGCTAAATCCACTGGAATTCACGATTTACCGTTGACCAAAGGGGTGTAGGATAGGTTCCATTACTTTACCACTTTGGTTCTTTACTCTTTTAAGAAGACAATTACTCATAACTCTCATCGAAGCGGACTCGGTCAAACTGAATGTGTGTATGTAGCTCCTAGTCTTGCTTCAACAGTGGACATACCAAAAGTATGATGCGATCTACATGTTGTTCCAGTGTTTCCCCTCCGGAGATTTATTCGAATTGGGTGGATATTTAGTTTTGGGATTTATTTACTTTCCCTGTGGTGTACGTCTAGGTTATGATCTAAATACTACTATACACATAGTTTTCTCTATGTATGTGACGATCTTCCGTATTCCCACAGGAAGTCGGACACTGATGCCACGTTAACAAGCTTTGGCAAACCATTTTCATAGCGCAGATTTCAAATGATACAACGCTACAATGACGTATAAATAGTCGGATTCGACCATGTCCACGGATACCTGCAGATCACTCGTGACTCAAGGTCTATAGCCCAATGAAAGGAGGTCACATGTCGAGGATGCATCTAGGCACAGAATAAGCTTCTTTATGGATGGCCGTCCATTTTGCCAGGCCGAATTTGTCGTCTTTGTAATCTATTGATCTTCATCCTCTTGCATCACAAGGAAATTCCCCAACATCCAATATGAGCTGCTCTTCCGAATTTAAGTTGACGAGCTGCTGGTAAACTAAATTGCTAGCTTCAGGTCAACTGAGACACATCTCGACTCTGATCAATTACGACTGCCATACGGACTCACTGGTTACATAGCAGAAAAGTGACAGCCTCATGAAGAACACGACTGAATGCTCGAATGAAGGTTGGTTATAAGTTACTTAGAAGGGACAGCCTACCAGTAGGACTTTGACACCTGACACATCATCGTCCTCATGGATGAACGTTGGTTTTCCAAAGTTACGGGCAGGTGATTGCGTTGAGACAAGATCACGTAGTTGGAAGGCACCGCTCCTCCCCTCGTGAACTTCCGAGATTCCCTTCCATTCCCTCCCCCAACGACCAAATGCACAACCAAATGAAAGCTCTCCTTGTTTGCCTTTCTTCTTCTTTTTCAAAAGAAAAAATATGAATGCTGTCCACAGTGGTCTCCCGCCTCGTCCCAGCCCCCCTGTTGGCTCTGGGTCTAGTGCCAGCGGTCTCACAAAGCGCCAGTGTAGACGGCGAAAGGTGAAGCGACGCCGGCTAAGAAAGGCAAGTCCATATTTAGGCGTGTCTGTTGCATCACACCATCTACTTCCTCGGATCTCTTTGCTTGTGGCTGCTGTGTATGTGCCAGAGATCTTCCTGGGGGATTGTTCTTGTTTCTGTCGATTCAGCAGTTGTCGCATACTGCACAGTTTACGATAGATTTCCCACGAAGCTTGACCGGACATTTGAGGAGTGACACTCATATTGAATCTAGCAGGAAGCTGCGAAAGCTGCGGACGAGTACGCCACCGGTGTAGCGGAACTTTCCACGCGCGCAGATTGATGTCAGATACCCCCCTCCTTTTTTTTCCGTTGACCCAAACCAGTCTCCTTCTGGGATGGTGCAAGTGAACATGAGATCTGATGTGTATGACCTGACTAGCTCGTGCCCGCCATTTCCGCTGGTCCTGGGGGAGCTGGCCGTGGTGGCCGCGGCCGTGATAGTGGTCGCAGTGCTCTCCATAGTGCCGCCACGGGGGCACCTGGACTCACTACTGCTCCCGCCGGCAACCTGGACGTCCCCTAGACCTCTGATGCTCACAACACGCCCCTGACACGGCGAGACCAGTCTCACAATGGCTTTGCTCCAGTTCACACGCCCGGACTTCGGTCGCGCGAGACCTCTCGTGGTAAGTTGACTTATTTTGCAATGTTTTTATCGAATCCTCCAGTCGATAGCTACCGAGTCCTTCTCAACAGCCATGCACACATTGTACACATTGTACAAGCACACGACCTTCAATATAGCGAAGCTGATATTTCTTCCATTATAGTCCCGGCCTTATAGTCGCCGATCCGAATACGCGATGTGTAAAATTCGTCATGGGCCATGCTGTTTGTGTTTGTGTTGCCGGGCGATCTTCCTGTGGCCATATTCCTAATTGGACAAAAAACAACAAGAATGCTATACGGGATGAATTCCCACATACCAAAAATATTTGAGAAATAAGTAGTTTGAATTATTCTAACAATCTACTAAATTCTCCCAAATAGAAAGCTGACAGGATCGATTAGGTTCGGAAGGAATGATATAACTGCTCCTATCTCCTTATCGCATCCATTGTCACATGCTAAAATGGCATTTGTTTGCATTTGTTTGATCAACGGGGTGTGTATTTGCATTGTTTGCAGAAGTGGGCTTGACCCTCCAGAGTTGTCCCTCCAGTTCTCATCCTTCTCTCCCCATCTCTAATATCTTCAATTGACTGGACCCTTTTGGTTAAAACCAGACACGCCACAGTATTGAGCCTCTGAATGATAGGGGTTAAAATGAATATCCGTTACAGGGAACTCACCGCATTCTCTTGGCAAAGCGAACTGACACTCAAGCTTTGTTCTGGAAAGGAGAAAACCCCGAAACAATGTGGATCCGTTTTAAGGATCAGCAGGGGTGTACATATGCAGTGCATACGAAGTACGAATTAAACTACCGATGATCGTTCGGGAATTGTTCCTGGAAAAGTACTAGGCTCAACTGTCTGCGGGTAGATCGCCATGAACTAGTGACAGCCGCGGCACGCCGGCGAAGTCTTCAACGGCTTTCGTAAAAATGGAGAACATGCGGACAGTCCCGTTGTTCAGGGGGAAAACGGTGCATAAAAGCTGGAATGATTTCTCTTTTGGAAGGTCAACTCACTCATAGTCATTCTTTATCAATATGATTCTTTCTTATATCTTTGGCCTGCTGGTCGCCACATCCGGCCTGGCCAAAGCCGTTAATATCACCGGTTATGAATATGTCGTTGTGGGTTCTGGTGCTGGTGGTGGTCCTCTGGCTGCCCGCCTTGCTCTGGCCGGCCACAAGACACTACTCCTTGAGGCCGGTGATGACCAGGGTGAAGGCTATAACTACACCATCCCTGCCTACTCCGCCAGAGCCTCTGAAGACGAGAAGCTTTCGTGGAATTTCTTCGTTCACCACTACGAAGACGAGGAGCGTCAGGCTCGGGATTGGAAGGCTAGCTACGACACGCCTGATGGCGGGATATACACCGGTCTGAACCCTCCCGAGGGCTCGACCTTGAAGGGAATCCTCTACCCTCGTACAGGTACCCTCGGCGGTTGCACTGCCCACAATGCCTTGATTGCAGTCTACCCACACCAGTCTGACTTTGAGTATATTGAAACTATCACTGGCGATAATTCTTGGACACCCGACAACATGCGCAAATACTTCACTAAGCTGGAGAACAATGGTTACTCCCTTCCCGCAGCCAAGGGCCACGGTTACGACGGCTGGTTGTCGACCGAAACCGCGCCCCTTAGCATTGTGTTGAAGGATACCCAGCTGCTGAGTCTGCTCACCGGCGGTGCCTTTGCGCTTGGTAACTTGACCGACAGCATTATGAACATTGGCACTCTACTACTTGGCGATGCCAATGCTGATAAGAAGACCCGTGACACCGAGCCCGGCTACTACCAGATCCCTATTTCCACCGATGACGCCCACCGCAATGGTCCCCGCGAGTTCATCATCGCTGTGCGCGATGCCAAGAACGACGATGGCTCCAAGAAGTACCCTCTTGATGTCCGTATGAACACCCACGTCACTAAGGTAACCTTCGACGAGACCGAAACCCCTCCCCGCGCCACCGGTGTGGAGTTCCTCGAGGGCGAGCACCTCTACAAGGCTAGCCCTATGTCCAAATCCGCTCTTCCCGGTACCCCCGGTTCCGCCACCGCTTCTCGTGAAGTCATCGTTGCCGGCGGAGTATACAACTCTCCCCAGATCCTCAAGCTGAGTGGTATCGGACCCGCAGAGGAGCTCAAGAAGTTTGGCATCAAGGTCATCAAGGATCTCCCCGGTGTCGGTACCAACCTGCAGGACCACTATGAAATCTCCGTCCAGGGCAAGATCGAGGAGGACTTCTCCTGCTTGGACAAGTGCACCTTCAGCATTCGCGACCAGGACGACCCTTGTATTAGTGACTGGGAGTCTCCTATCCTTGGCGACCGTGGCATCTACTCATCCCCCGGTCTCGCCGCCACTATGCTGTACAAAAGTTCCACAGCCGTCGAAGACTTCGACATCTTCGAATTCGGTGGCCCCGTCAACTTCCGTGGTTACTTCCCCGACTACAGCATCAACGCCACTGACGAACACAACTGGTTCACTTGGGCTATTCTCAAGGCTCACCCCCGCAACTCCGCCGGTACCGTTGTTTTGCAGTCCGCCGATCCCCTTGACATGCCTAAGATCACCTTCAACTACTTCGACACCGGTGTCGGCGACTACGAAGCTGATCTCACTGCTCTCTATGAAGCCATCGAGCTTGGCCGTGACGCGTTCAAGCGCCAGCTCGTCAACATCACTGAGGTTCTCCCCGGTGCTGATGTCCAGTCCAAGGAGGATGTCAAGAATTACATCAAGGATGGCGCTTGGGGCCACCATGCCTCCTGCACTTGCCCCATTGGTGCCGATGATGACCCACGGGCCGTCTTGGACTCCAAATTCCGTGTCCGCGGTGTCTCTGGTCTTCGTGTTGTTGATGCTTCCGTTTACCCCAAGATCCCCGGTACATTCACCGCTGTGTCTACTTACATGGTCGCCGAGAAGGCTGCTGATGAGATCTTGAGCGAGCTTAAGGCCAGCTCTTAATTGATTTGGATGTGCTTATTTATGTGAAGTTGGGATTTATGTGAAGTTGGGAGCTTTATGATTCTTTTGGATAGAAATGTGCTCGGTGCTCTTGCTGTGAAGCCATTCATTATTATGTGCATATGTATATTTAATTATTTATTTATCAAATAACTACAAAGATCTTGTATATAATTCTGCTGGATTAGTTTGTATCTCTTGACTCACTTCACCTAGCTTGCTAGAGGATTGATTCATTCGCAATCTATATGAAGTCTACTAAAATATTTGCATAGTCGACAGATGGGGGAACCTACCGGGAATTCTATTCTCCAGGTGTCATGTGTACTGAAAGACGCAGGATCTGTAGATTTTAGTCAAAAGCGAGCTGCTCAGCAAATGGCAGCTCCGTACCAGGCTCAGGCCAGAGCTAACTCTTAGTTCAGCTACTACTTACTACACTACCCCAGATGCAACCGTCTATGTAAAAGTAGGGTTTGTGCATTTGTTCTATCAGAGTTTCAATCAGCTCAGGCATTTACGCCGATCCGCATCACATAACACAGCAACTCTTTCTCTGATTAGTCTGGAAAGTAGGAAGTTCATTGGTTCGCGTGTAGTTCATTAAACGATAATTTATATCAAAGACGCCCTTTCATAAAACAAAAATGCCATACCCAGTCAGTGTTTCCAATTGCTCCTACATGTTGGACATGTGGAAGCGTGGTCTGTTTCTAACCATTGGTCGATGCATTGTTTGTGGAAGTTGACTCCACAGCGTGCCCTGCACCAAACCAATTCTTCAAGGTGTCCATGATCATCCGTATCATCATCGTCAGCATCAGTATCGTCATCAGAATCATCATAATCATTTTCGTCATCAGAATCATCATAATCATTTTCGTCATCAGAAACATCAGAATCATCCTCGTCATCAGAATCATCAGAATCATCCCCGTCATCAGAATCATCAGAATCATCGTGGTCATCGCCACCACCGCTCTCGGTCTTCTCTTCGTCCGAGTTCTCATCTTGCGAACGATGCAAATCGCACAAACAGATACCACATTCACCTTCAACCTCACGACGAATTGGCTGGGGTGTTTCATCCTGGCTGACCGTGTTACCAATTCTACTGGAGGCGCGAGCCACAGTTGGTGTGTTCACTAGTCTTGAGCTCGAAACAAAAATAGCGATTGTTTGATGACTGACTCGGGCTTGGGCTGGTCGAGGTGCCGGGATTGGTGACTGATTGGTAGAAGATGCTGTCGAGTCTCTTCTTAATGTTTCATTAACACGATTTACTGGGGGATTTCCGCTCGATGCGGTTCCCCTGCTGCTGGAATTGACGACTGCGCCCGTGTTTCTTCCCTCACGATGACGAGTGTTTGCGGTAGTAGGTAGGACAGATTGAGCGATCTCGAGGCGCCTGACCTCTTCCTTGGCCTCACGGAGTCTTTGATGAAGAACAGCAACTCTTTCCTCCAAATCCACAACAGCTGTCTCTGAGATCATTCGGGATGATGTTCTCACTGGCCGTGTATATGGCGTTGAAACAATTTGCGAATCGAGATATGTATTGACTCGTCTTTTCCAACGCCGCACGAGATCCGAAGCTTGGTTCTGGTGGAACCTTGTGCATAAAACATGAGGAGCTAAATCTTCCAGCAGTATATCGATGTTCCGACCGGCTCGAAGGTCTTTGGTGCCCTCGTTGAGAAGCATCCTTGCCGAACGGCGACCGCGTGCATTTGTGCGCATGTGACAACGACGGCCCTGTGAAGGCGCGTAACCGGCGCACCAAGGCTCTTCCTCCGGTTCGAGTTTGATGATGTCGGATAAAGGGGCCATGGGGAAAGTTGCGACATGGGAATATCGTGAAGGCATCATGAATTGATGGAATTTAGGGAATTTAGAGACAATCGATCGGAATATACTGTTGGATTGAAGGGTTTCTGTTCGATTAATTTATAGCGTCTGGGGCAGAACCATTTGTATTAATTGCTTCAGGCTGCATGTTGAGCCTTGGAAGTATCCCAGTAGACATGGCAGGCTGCTCTGCCACAACAGTGTGGCACAGCCCCCAGAATAGAAACTAGACAGCGCTAAAGGATTGAATGAGAGATGCCTGAGGACGGATACCAATGAGCATTGACACTATGAGGCATGGTAGAGCACTATCTCGGGGCTGTGTTTGCGTCGAGATTAAAAGAGGGGTTATCAAGCCTCCGTTGGTTCTCAGCGGCTTTTGATAGGCCCAGAGAGACAGCCATGGAGATAAATGGAACTTTTGTCATGCGCAGTGACACTATATTAAGTACTCTTCCTCATTGGCTACTGATATAGTTTTGCGCCTATGGGAAGCACATGGGAATGCGGGCCGCGCCGCCAAAGCCAAATGGCGATTCTCGCCTTCTCGCCCGTCCATAGCGCACTTATCATTTTTCCAACAACCTTAGTAGGCATACCTAATTTGACCTCGAGAGAATCTCCGACTTAGCCACCTATGATACAATCTCAAAGCAATACAGCAGAAACAGGTCGCAGCAGCGCTGCGTTCGTCCAAGACACAGTAACGAATCCTATTTTAGAATTATCAAGACTCTCAACCGATTGCACCATCTGAAGTTACTATGATGGTATTCATATAGTCATTTCATACGGCCCGCTTCGGTGATTCAGACTCGAGACACCATCACCGTCCATATCTCCTTCAGGTGCTGTGTACACTGAAGACATCGAGTCCGAATCCGAGTCTGAGGGTTCACCAATGGTATCTTGAGTACGTTCGGACCGCTCTTCGGGCCTTGGGGTCTGAAACTCACTTTCACGCCGAGAAATTGTTCTAGGAACGTGACTCTCTTGACTATGATTATGTGCTGCACTGGCGTATTTCCAGCGGCATAGCCCCCAGCCTTCGAGCCACCAGACAGTATCCCCGAAGATCTCGGGGGAATTTGAGAGAGCAAGACAGGGACTGGTCGAGGAATAAAGGTGGCCGACGCCGGTGGTTCTTCTCTGGCTAGAGGCCAACTATGAATCCCCCTAGCAGGATCCTGTTCGAGTTGACGTATAGGAGATACCCCACGAGAGTCATTGCGAACGGAAGCAATTTACGCTTTACTAGCGGTGACATTTGCTCACCGGGTCGCATACGACTATGCCACAATGGGTCGATGGATTGTGGAGGTTCAGCCCGATAGCCATGCTCAGGAGTTGTTGAACGACTGCTGGGCTGGCCCTGCTCTAAGGTTGCAGGTAGCTCTTGAGGCAGGAAGCTTTCGCAGTCTCGTAAATTGTGAGACTGCAAATATTGCGCAGGATAATTCCCTTGATTTACATTCTGGAGTATACTTGGGGTATGACTTGGAGGCATCAGACCAGACTCCGCCAAAGCCTGGTTGAGAAGTTCTCTCACCCGAGCCTTGCAGTCCTCAGATATAATGGCATCTGACGAGAACCCAATTGTCTCCGGCATGCGAATGATATCTTGGGCATCCATGTCGGGTATCCTAGTGCGAGCCAAGAGCACCCGAAGAACATCCAGATGGCCGTGATATGCTGCATAGCGGAAAGGCTGCCAACCTCCCTCGTCCTTTTTGGATGCCGATGCGCCACGCTCTAGCAGCAGCGAGACCACCGGTAGATAGCCTGCTATAGCAACCAAGCATAGAGGAGAGTCACTGCGCGACGTAGCTTGGTGCTTCTGGTAGAGAGGAGATCCTCGATCCAACAGCTTTAGCACTGCAGCCACATGTCCACAGCGACATGCAACACTTAGCGGCCGATCTCCAACGCTGTCCCGGGCATCTAAAGAAGCTCCTTTGTCGCAAAGAAGATCCAGAAGGCTTATTGAGCTTCGCGCTGCTGCGATATGCAAAGGTCTTTGCTGGTGTTGATATTTCGATGCTTCAATGTCAGCGCCTTCTAAGAGTAACAGCGTTGCTATCTCGATGCTGTCTACCATACAGGCATAATGAAGCGGAGTAAGACCTGTTCCACATTGGCTGTTGAGGTCGGCACTCTTGCGTAGTAATGGCTCAACGACAGCAAATTGGTTCTGAAAAACGGACAAGTGCAAAGCCGTTCGTCCCATTGCATTAACCTTAGCCAGAGATCCTTTCTTCTGACTGAGAATCTCCACTGTCTCTTCGTGGCCATTGTAGGCAGCCCAATGCAGGGCAGTCATCCCGGTGTCATTTGTACCATTTGACGAAGCCTTTGGCTTAGATTTCAATAGGAATTCGACAGCCCGGGACCAGCCTGATTCAGCAGCACATATCAGTGGTGTCTTGCGATCGCGACCGGCAGCTTCTCCAGTACCAAAGTAGAAACATGAACCATAAACACTATCAGAAATAGTGAAAGAAGATACTGAATATTCAACACCTTGGAAGAAAGTAAATATTTATTAGCTTTGTGAGCCAGAAGCACTGCAATTGTTTCGACATGGCCTGCTTCGCATGCATAGTGCAATGCCGACATCATGGTAGCGGCCTTGGCCTCGATATCAGCGCCGTTTGACACAAGCATGTAGACGATTTCCGCATCACCCTGCTTTGCTGCAGTGTGCAAACTGGTCATTTGATTATCAGCACGAGTGTTGACCTCTGCATTATGCATAAGCAGCATCTGTAGGGCCTCGTGCTGGCTTCGGTCAACAGCAATGCGCAGCGCTGTACGGCCTTGATAATTTGGAACTTCGGCAATGTTGCTATCCTCCATGAGTAAGCTTATGACACCGCAATGACCACACGAAGCTGCAAGATGAAGTGCTGTCCAGCCAGACCCATCAGTTATATTTAGGCGAGCATGATGTCGAATCAAAAGCACAACAACGTCATCCTTTCCGCAGTGCGCAGCAACAAGCAATGCATTTCGACCTGATGCTGTATGTCGCTCTTCAATATTAATGCCATATTCGATGAGCCGTGCTACCTCACCTTGGGAGCCGGCTTGGGCGGCCTTCACAATCTGTGGAATAGAGGCAGCATCCGCGCCTGTCAGATCAATGCTGATATGAGAATTTTGCTCTCGTCTAGGCTTAACTCTTCTGAAAGGTGTGCCATTGCCTACTTTCGGTGAGCCCTTGGAAGACAAAGAGGCAAGATTTAGATGACTGGAGGTATTCAAGCGAAGTAGAGAAGATATCCTTTCAATGTTAGAGGCGGATCTTTCAATTGTCTTTGATGTCTTAGTATCTGACTTGCTCCGGGTCATATTTTGCAAGCCTGGACGCGCCGCATCTTGGTAAGATGTTGCCCTCCTGTGAGCTGGATGTACCGGCGCCGATGGACTAGTGGGCAAGAGAAGATGATGTTGGTGAGGTGGAGCAGCATCAACTGACGGCCTTGTAACGCTGCTATTGCGCGTAAGGGTGTCTGCATAGCCTTCATCTGTGAATGGACTTTGGCCATTATTGCTGTCGGGCTGGCTAATAGAGGCCCCGATTGATGGTACGAGTTGTCGAGGTGAACTGCGATATACTGGCAAATCTGCGAGAGCATCTTTGAAATCAAAAACTCGGTCACTGGGCTGTGAAGCTGCTGTTCTGCGAGATGCTTGTCGCGCTAGATGTAGACTGACTCCGTGCGGATACTAGCGTTTCGGTGTCATCGCGAACCCTGCGCATAATGCGACGAGTTGTTGCCTGTCTCAACAAGCGGACCTGTTCTTGTGATGTATGACTTGGAAGGTTTATGAGCTTCTGCGTGGTTTTCTTGCATGAGGGGATATTCTCACCACTGACAGACTTGGAGTAATAGCTGCAATGCCATCACCTGCGCATGTAGTTTCTCCTGGTGTCCTTTCATAATATCATCTTTCCAAATGACTCTAATGCGCTATCTAAATCCAAGTGTGCCGTCATTGCGACTGCCATGAACCAAAGTCATCACATCCTCAGACAGAACCTCCATGATGATTTGGCAGCCACCCATGGCTGTAACAAGCTGTTCATTGAATTCCTTCGATATCATCACATCGGAAGAACTGAGCCGATGCCATTCCTTCAGAATCGTGAGTGCTGTTTGGATACAGCTCAGCTCCTAAATAAGCGAATGGATTGTAAAGTCAGCATCGCTGAACTTCCCCTGTAGTTCATAGAGGCCATGAATAGTCGAAGTAAGTGCGCCTAGAATCTGAAAAATTGCCGAAGTAAACCCGATGGCAGATATCGGGTCCATGGGAGAATTGAGACATGAAGGACCGAGACATTGCGGGGGCTGAGGGGGGCTGAGGGCGGCTGAGATGATCAGCGCCAAATCACATGGGGGCTGATACACATATTGGGAAATACAGGCACAGACGACGGCAAAATGCCCGGGGGGTCAGTCCGAGGTGAATCAGGCATATTCATACCAGCTCGCATAGCTGCAAGTACAGCGCTATATCTATCCATACACCACCAGAAAAAAATGCATGAGAACAGCAGCACTAACACCTCAAAAAAACCAAAAAAACATACAACAGTGAGGATTCGCTGGTGGTCACCCACCCAACTACTAACTCACCGGCGTGTGGCTTAAGTACGGCTGAGCGGACGGGAAGCCCTGTTTTCCACACCCTATGGTCGTATGTATCAGGTTATGTGTAGGAAAGAACTATATAGAATAATCAGCCAGAGGCTACAAACAAGTGTACTATAGTTTACTAGTCAACTACGGAGTAGAAGGGTGACGTCTAGAAGCTGGAGTCATCACTGCCGGTATAGCACTACTTTATTTGGGAATCTCCTTGATGGAGACCTATTTTGATGGTATGAGTCTCTCTCAAGATGGCAGGGGTGGTATTGGAGACAACAAGGTAAACACACGCCCTTACATACTAGATAGCACCGCGACAGGGACCATGGCGATTCAACTAGCAACATTGTATGACTATCAACTCAATAAAGCCGACCAATACTGAGAGTTCGCAGAAAAAATTAAAAATTAAAATAAACAAAATACGCTGAGCGGGCTATAATCCCATTCCTTCTTGCTCCTCTGAAAATATTGCGCTTGTCGAGGCGTACAGTGTGGTTCTAGGGCCACAGATTAACCTCCACAAGCGCCCATGGCAGAATAGCACATCTTTATGCCCTCGGTAGAGGTGATACAATGGAGAGCGACAGATAATTTCCCTCTGCCGAACGCCGCGGATAGCCACCCCACATGACGGAGAGTGGTAGTCAAAGGCTTCAAAGGCCGGTGATCCATATCCAGAGTGCATGAAAGGATATGCGGACTGGCTGGGTCATGGCAGCAATAATACTTAGGAAACCTAAACACGATTGTTTGAGAGTCCGGTGCCTTGGGCGTTAGTCCAGGAATCTCCTCCCACATAGCACTTTCTCACTGCAGCAGTCAAGTCTCGGTCTCATCGGTTATCACGCCATCACAGCATCCTATGCTGCCAATTTCTGACTTCCATGCCGCTCTCCAGCGCTGAATGTCACAGATCATACCATCCAACCCCGCTCGAACCTTTCGCTCGACGCACACTAGAAAGTCTGATAGGCCGTCAAGTCTCCGCATCACATACCACCATGCGCACAAACTTGAAAGGAGAGAATACACACTCCATCGAACCAGGTAGCGTGGGTGGATTTGAAGACAAAATAGGCACTATCATCAAGAAGACCGAGAGAAAATGTACAAAGGAAATTGATTGATAGTATGCAATGTTATGAGAACCCTTTAGGTGTCCCAACAACAGACCTAGAGGTTTGATATGTCGTATAGTGCAAGCGACCATCCTGCGACTGATCATTCCACGACCCTCCACCCGCCGATCCAGGTCTCTGGTCCAATTGTGTGAGTGGAAACTCACTATCCATCTCATCTATGGCAAGCGCCCGTTTCGCCGTACTATTCTTGCTCAGGACGGGTCCTGTCGATGGCTGCGTCGAGTATGGAGCACGGACACTACTGAACAATGACGGGAAAGCGGCCTTAAGAATCGGTCGGAGCATGGGCGCGCAGGAATTTGAAATGGCAAGAGCGGGCTCGGTGACACTCCAGAAGGCAGCCCAGATCATCGAGTAGGACAAATCGGTGAAATCGACCGTGGTGAGGACACGGATTCGGATGATGGTGATGGAGGAAATACTGTGATGTTGATTAATATTTTGAGATGGGGGGAAAGGGAGAGCGAAAAAAAAAAACATACAAGATACCCAGTCCAAAGATTCCAACCACCGCCAGCTTAGTCGCAAGAGACATCTGCAATTTCCAGACAAAGCGAATCGGTAATGCCATGATCATCACATCGGTGAGAAGGTTAAAGGCTCCAATCGTCGAAAATGCCACATTCTGACTTGCACAATGACCAGGCAGTGTCGGGTTCCAATTCCTTTCGAAGGGTGTGCAGATTAGAAAAATCTGGAGCATACTCCCCGTCCAGTACGCGCCCGCACAGCCCATACAAATCCATGTCAGGATGCGGAATTCTCTAGACACGAAGATCCGCAGGTAGAAGGCAAGATAGGAGAATTTAGCCAGGACCATGGCGTTGTAGTAGACGATTTGGTAGACCATGAGCATTTTGGCGATCAATACGGCATTCTCCGGGGGGATAGTGGTGATGTGGTGTCGCATCCCGACACGAGCATAGTGGAAATGCATTGCGAGCATTCCATATGTGTGAAATAGCCCTGCAACGCAGCATACATCGTCCCATCCTATATCGCTTTTTCGAATTCGTCGAGAGACACCGCGCAATATTACTAGGACAGTGGCTATTGCGACCAGGATTGTGTTGGCGATGAGCTGTTCACGCACGATGGGGAAGGCGAAGGCATTATATAACTGCATTTTCCCATTCATTCGGCAATTTTGAATTTTTCGTACTCTGTATATATACTGTGTAGAATATATAAGGTGAAGAAACTTTAAGAGCCGTGAATAACTGTCAATCCCCGAGTAACAAACCCGACTGTCTCCATTGTTCAAAGTACTACACGTTAGAGTTTCAGGCTAACTATTAATTGACTAAATAAAAAGATCAGCAGGAGATTATGGATCCTTATAGCGCGCCGTTTTTTTTAGGCCGAAATTAATTTACCGGCCTAGGGTTTGAAGGCTGAAGAAATCGACTGTCATTGGAAAGAGTATCAACTAGTTCAACTAGTTGAAGCCAAGTCAAACTTGCAAATACCATTTCCCCTTTTGTATCCATTGCCTCGCTTATGAACAAATAATACTCCGTATACCACCTCACTTGTCCCTAAGGTGGATACTAGCCTCACTGGGGGGTATAAGCGATTTTCTGGGCAAATTACTGACCCTAATAATACTGAGTGCGAAGCTAGCAAGGTATGTAACAGCTAACTTGAAGCTAACAATATTTGGGAATTTTGTACTCCGTAAGTGCCGCGTACTCCGCTGTCAGTCAATCAGTAGTCAGTCCACTCTTGATCCTCCGAAAATATTTCTATAATTGTCACTCCCCCTCCATAGTAATTAAAGGTTGTTAAGCTGCAAGATGGATGACTACGACTACATTATCATCGGTGCAGGAATCGGCGGTCTTGTTTTGGCAAATCGTCTAAGTCAAGATGTCTCAATTAAGGTCCTCCTCATTGAAGCTGGCGCCAATCGGATGGGCGATCCTCGTATTGAGACCCCTGGATTTTTAGGCACGATGTATGGCAACCCAGACTTTGATTGGGATTACATGAGTGTTCCACAAGTATGTCCGCCCTCAGCATTGCCATCTCGTATCTGAAGCTAATTCATGAATAGATCCATGCAAAAAATCGCCAGATCGGCCAGCCACGCGGTCGCATCGTTGGCGGGTCCTCCGCATTAAATTTCTCTGCAGTTGTGTACCCTTCAGCATCTAATTTTGCTGCATGGCAGGCGCTAGGAAATGATGGCTGGGGCGCTGAGGATATGGCCCCCTATCTTCGCAAATTCCACTCGTATGCCGCGCCCAGTGAGGCTACGGCAGAACTACTCGGCACAAGCCGGTACATGAAAGTCGATAACCAAGGATGTGATGGTCCTGTCCCCGTATCTCTACCAGATGTGTATGGGCCATTCAACAAAGCCTGGAACGAGACATTTGCGCAATTGGGGTGGGAAACAGAGGCCGATCCTCTTGATGGCCACAAACTGGGCGCTTTTACTTCCCCGCTAAGCGTGGATGTCAAGACGGGGAGAAGAGGGTACGCAGCGGCATACTACCCCCCCGAGGTCGCGGCGCGGCCGAACCTGCGACTTCTCGCAGAGACAATGGTTGAGCGAATTATCTTCACTCAACAAAATGGAGATGTCATCGCCACAGGTGTGCAGGTCAAGACTCAAGACAGTTCATACGAAATCAAAGCAAAGAAAGAAGTGATTCTCTGCGCAGGCAGCCTGAATTCCCCTCAATTGCTTGAGCTCTCGGGCATCGGCCGTGCAGATCTTCTCCAGACCCATGGCATCCCGGTAATTATTGACAACCCGGCCGTGGGCGAGAACCTTCAAGACCATGCCATTACGAGCATCAACTTTGAGATCGCCGATGACCAGGTCTCGGGCGATATCCTGCGCGATCCAAACGTCGTTCAGACACTCATCAAGCTCTACGAGGAGACACACGGAGGCCCGCTGGCAGGCATGCCCCTCAGCATGGCCTATCTCCCCTTAGTGGATGGAACTGGTGCTGTGCCGAAAGAACAAATCGAGGCCTTGCTCTCCAAATACCTGGACAACAATAACACCCCACCCAACCTGCAAGTGCAGTATTCTCACATCCGCAAGATGCTCCTCCAAAGCGATGACCCCTCCTCGCACTACCTCTTCCTCCCTGCCCAACTCCACATGAACCCAGGCAAAACCACACTCACCGACGTGCTGGTCAAAACTCTCCCGGAGAACTATGTCTGCGTCATGGTGCTACACAACCACCCCTTCTCGCGCGGTTCGGTCCATATTTCCTCCGGAAAGAGTGAAGATAAGCCTATCTATGACCCGAACCTGCTCTCGCACCCGCTCGATCTAGAGATCATGGCCCGGCAGTTGCAGTTCGTGAACCGCATTGCTGATACTGCGCCATTCTCCACTCTGCTCAAGGCCGGGAAACGCATGCCTGAGAATACGACCGATTTGAGCGATCTGGATCACGCGAAGGATGTCGTGAAAGATCGCTTGTATACGTGTTTCCACCCCGCGGGCTCGTGTGCTATGTTGCCGAGGGACATTGGGGGTGTTGTTGATTCTGAGTTGAAGGTTTACGGAACGAAGAATTTGAGAGTTGTTGATGCTAGTGTTTTTCCGCTTGAACCTAGTGGCAATATTCAGGCTACTGTTTATGCGGTTGCAGAGCGGGCGGCGGATTTGATCAATCCTGGAAGTCAGAGTCGGGCTTGAGGTTTTATATTGACTGCATGGGGGTAGATATGGGACATAACCTCTAGTTGTGAATACCTCCCCCCATAGGACATATTAATTCGCTAGACAGTATAGTTATGGGCAAATTGAAACTATAGTTTTACCGCAAGACGGTCCAAAAAAATGCCTAGGCAAGGATTGAGCACAGGCGGGTTCCAGCTCGGGGACACTCAAAAGTTCCGGAATACCATGATTTTCGCTTATACAACCAGATAATTTCGAGTCTATCGGTATATTAATAATTTTCAAGCAAAACGTGGTCGTTGAGATATAAGTATAGAATATATCGTATTCACTATGGTGTTTTGAGGTGGGCGACTCGTATATAAAATATGTTATTTTTACAGTGGTTATATAATCAAGTGATTTCGAGTATCCCTCAGGTCTAGAAACTAAGGTATACTCGAAATTAGCTGGTTATATAAGCGAAAATAGGGTATCCCGGAACTTTTTGAGTATCCCCGAGCTGGGTGGCCCGAAAATCAGGTAAATTGAATTGGCACACGGATGGTTGATTGGATAAAAAAAACCTAATAGCGAGGCATAATATCCCTCTTTCTATTTTCTGCCTAGACGGCGCGCTAGGGACGGAAAACCCTCATCCGAGGCTCCACCAGGCATTACCGGAAGAAAGAATACAAGGGGTCCACAAGTCAAGGTTGTCGTCGTGGAGAATATTGACTAAGGTGGGTGTCTGTCATAGACAACCACAATACCGCATTCCAGATGACATCTTTGGGTATAGCGTCGGTTTCAACGTTGAGACTTGCACTATTGATAAAAGCTCGTATTCCCTCAAACATGTCTCTATCTATGTACGGCTTTTGGCAAATGCGAGCAATGATTGGTCATATATTTCGGCACTAAGGTGCACCATCGTCGCACGCTCGGCAGCTACTCTTCTTTTCGGCGGTTACAGTTACTCCTTTTGGGGTCAGCCTCAATGAATTGTACACTCTTGTGATTTTCTATATCGAACAGAAACTTATTGGCAGAAATATATGTTGAGAAGAGGCCGAGTCATAGGTCATGCATATAATGCATAGTGCCTCGTGCCTCGTGTCGTCTGATCCAGTGCAAACAGCCCAGGAAAAAGCCCAGATTAATTTTGAGCCGCATACTTTACTTAGGCTGGCCAGATATGCAGGCCACCATAAAACACCGAACGCAGTCTCCGTTGACCGCCATGATCCAGATCCGCCCTGATTTTCCTGTCTCAGGCCCAATTTATCATTTGTTATTCTATATTATTATCCCAGTATTTCATAGTCTCAATACCTCTGATACTGCACTTCATCCCTTCTAGTCTCCATTCTATGACACCACATTCAACCTGTCAGTTCCTTTCATTATATCCACCTTGTTCAATGGATGGACTGTCGTCTGCAGCCAGCATTATCGCGGTCATCGAACTGGCGGGGAGTTTTGTGGAAATTTGTAGGGATTACATTCAAGAAGCAAAAAATGCTAGGGACGAAATTCTGGAGTTACAGCAAGTCGTCACGGATCTCGAGTTCTCCGGGAGCTGAATGTACTTCTTCAAGGTCCCAACGGCTCCAAGATTTCTAGTTCGCAAACCATCTCTAGCTCTATCACTCGTTGCTGTTCAACTCTTAAATGCTTGCAAGCGATCATTAAGCCAGGAAAAGAAAAGTGGGCGATGAAGAGACTAGGGCTTCGCGCGCTAGCATGGCCTATCAAAAGGAAACAGGCGAAAGAAATCGGGTCAGATCTTCAGGGATACAAATTAACATTCACATTATCGTTAAATATTGACCAAGTGTGGGTGCTCTAACCAGTAGTTAACAGTTAGCTAACACCTGTTTAGAACCGTCATTTCCGGTATACATGAGACTACCGACCGAATCGAGTATAGTACAAGCCTGGGCCAATTACCAGTTGCACAGGGAGCTCAGTTCGACTCGTATGAGAACCAACATGAGGATTATTGTCTCCCAGGCCCCAGAGTAGCCCTCCTTCGTCAAATTAAGGAATGGGCTAGTTCTCCGAGCGGAAAGGGCACTTTCTGGTTGAATGGTAGAGCTGGAACTAGCAAATCAACCATTTCGAGAACTATGACCCAGACGTTGAACAAGACCAATCTTCTTAGAGCAAACTTCTTCTTTAAAAGTGGTCAAGGGGATCGGGGGAATGCAACAAAGCTGTTGCCGACAATTACAAAACAACTAGTAAGGATCATTACTGGGTTGTTCCCCGGTGTCCAGAAGGCACTTCAAGACGACCCTGACATTGCAAAAAGAGGACTGAAGGAACAGTTTGATAAATTGCTCCTTAAGCCACTTCAATGCTTGGTCTTATCCACTCTCCCAACTGTGGTGATAGTGATCGACGCACTAGATGAATGTGATTCGAACGATGATATATGACTTACACTCGGATTACTATCACAGCTTCAGAAGCTTGATGCTGTCCATATAGGTGTCTTCTTGACCAGTATGCCTGAATGGCTAATCATTCAAGAATTTTCAAGGATCCCAAACGAACACGAAGACTTGGTCCTTCATGAAATTTCCGAGCCAGTGATAAAGCACGATATATCTTTGTTCTTAAAGAGCCGGCTCTCAGCTATACGGGCGAACCGCTCCCTACCTATCGATTGGCCTAGAAACACTAATTTTCAATATTTGGTCGCATTGTCCGTGCCATTGTTTATTTTCACCGCCACTATATGCCGTATACTTAAGGACCCTTATTGGAACCCACGGGGTGGCCTCAATGAGATATTGACACATAAAAAAGATACATCTAAGCTTGATAGAACGTACCTTCCTATACTGAAACGGCTTCTCGGCAACCAAAGCGAGAAACAGTTAAAACAAATGGTTCGTCAATTTCAACAGGTGGTCGGTGCAATCGTGATACTAGAGAGCCCCCTCACCATCATCTCAATTTCGAACCTTATTAGCCTCCCTCGGAGTCTTATCGATCTCGGACTAAACTTACTATACTCGGTTCTAGGTATACCAGATAATAAGGGTTCGCTAGTACGGCTCTTCTATCTCTTATTCCGATACTATCTTCTTGATCCTAAAACACGAAAGAAGACGCCATTCTAGATAAATAAGAAGAAAGTGCACTATATATTAACCACTCGGTGCCTCCTTATGTGTCAAAATTCAAGGAAGAATATATGTCGATTGCCAAGTGATAGAACATAACGTGCGGAGATTGATCAGGAGACTATCGATCACTGGCTTTCTTCAGAATTTCAGTACGCCTATCGATATTGGGCATATCATCTAATGTACTACACAGACTTATATAATATAATTCATGATGCTCTATCGTTTCTCCAGACGCATTTCCTATATTGGATAGAGGCAATGAACCTCCTAGGTCTCGGAGCAGAAATAGTGGGGATCATTAACCATTTACAGACCGGTCTACCTGTAAGTTACTTGCACAGTTCTGTCAAACAACGTACACCGCTAAATATGCCTACCTAGGGTAACCATGACACAATGTCAAAATTTTTACGGGACGCAAAACGCTTCGTTCTGAAAACCTATCGGGTTGCTGATGACTCGCCACTGCAAATTTACAGCTTGGGGCTTGTATTTGCACCCCCTGTATTCAATAATTCGGAAACAATTTGAAGCAGATATTCCTCGGTGGGTGGCTCAGGTGCCATGGGTTGATATTGAATGGGGTGCAGCATTGCAGGTTCTCGAGGGTCATTCATACCATGTTAAATCGGTAGTATTCTCACCCGATAGCTGCTTATTAGCTTCCACCGGCTCCCATGAGCACACGATCCTGCTCTGGGACACGGCAACGGGGGTCCTACAACAAACTCTCGAAGGCCATTCTCACGAGGTTGACTCATTAGCATTCTCACCCGACGGCCGGCTAGCTTGCGGCGCTACTAACGGCACAGTCCGGCTATAGGACACCACCACAGGGGTCTTACAATATACTTTCGAAGGCCATTCACACTCTGTGAACTCGGTAGCATTATCGTCCAATGGCCGGCTGGCTTTCGGCTGTAGTGACCATACGGTCAAGCTGTGGGACACCACTGAAGGGGTCTCACGACATACTTTCAAGGGCCATTCACGGCCCGTTTTTTTGGTGACATTCTCACCGGACAGCCGCCTACTAGTCTCCAGTTCTAGTGACGGCACTGTCCGAGTCTGGAACACCACCACAGGGGTCTTACAATATTCTCTTGATGGCCATTCACATAATCATTTCGAGGTGGTATTCTCGACCGAGTGATGTCTACTAGCCACTCACAACAAGGACCGCATGCTCCGACTCTGGGATACTGCGACAGGGGTCCTACAACATACCCTGGAAGTTTCACATTGGATTGCCTCAATTGCCTTCTCGTCCGACAGCCACCTACTAGCCATTCGCACCGAAGACCAAACGCTCCAACTTTGGGACACCGCCACAGGAGACCTAGAACAGACCTTAAGCCCTGGTGGAGTGTTGACCTTTATGGAATTCTCCAATGATGGCTCTCGTCTACGACCTAATATCGGATCCCTCGATATCCAGTCCAGAAGTTGGGATTATACTTCTGAAGCATCCCAGTCTAGTCAAGGGATAACAATACAGCCAAAGCAGTGGGTAGCCCTGAATGGTAAGAAGTTATTGTCGCTTCCTCCTGGTACTTGGCTTTCTTGTTCAGCAATTAGAGATGGATCACTGGCCTTGGGATGCTGGTCAGGGTGCATTTACTACATGAAATTTCAATGGTAGTAGATATCAAATGATTTCCATGTTCATACTTTCCTTTTTTTCCTTTGTATATAATATTCGTGTGGTTTTTCTAACCTACTTCAGATAGCAATATTTGGCTTGTTTAACCAGATATAATAGTAATAGTATGGTGAACAAAATATAGCATATAGCCCTATATCCAACCCTCGATCAAAACCCTCTTTTATACCACCGCCAGAGCCTGTTCCCATTTCTATCGGTTTATTACTAGAGAAATACATGGACTCTTCTGCAATATGACAATGAGATAACCTCATACACCCAGCTAGTTTACAACTAGGTCATGTGACCTTTGTGTTTACTGCCCAGTTCGGAAAGGATAGCTCAGGGCGTTTCACTTTTTTCATTGCCGATGGGCCAGCGCGGTTTCCTTCTCTTGGTGAAAATAGCGCAATACGATTATCTCATGGTGGAAAAGCTTTGACTGTTGTATTTGTCACGTTCATTGCTATTCCTTTTGGTAACTAGAATTCATGTTGCTGAATAAGTGATATATATTCATACCTCGGTCTGGCCAGGGCTGATACTCAAAAGTTATAGATAGAATTCCACCTTCCCTACAGAAGCTGAAAAGATAGCATGGAGAGTTTTCACATTAGTTGCGATTTTATCGTCATTCGTCCCACTGGTTGTTGCTCAAGCGCCTCTCATCGCTGTGTGGCTTGTGAGAAAGAAACTGCTCCCTTCATGCATTAAGAGCCTGGAGGATCCAAATTCTCCTGTCACAATACTTGAAATTGTGCTTGCCGAGGGATTATTGTATCTGTATTTTATAGCACGTTTTGGAACCCTTGTGCTTATGCTCTCATCGTTGAGGGCGCTTCCAGCTGATTCTTGACATTACCCCGGATTGGCATCCCGCATATATATAGATTTGGAGTTGTGACCATATATGAAAAAAAATAAAAAATAAAAAATAAAAATAAAACCAAAATCAAAAAATAAAATTAAAGACAAAAACAGAACTAGGGAATTTATTGATCTGCAAAGATTTTTAATAAAAATTTTAATCAAACCTCGTATAGGAAAAAAAAAAAAAGCAGAAAGAAACAAACCAAAAACAAAAAGACATGATAAGAGTGGGATTCGAACCCACGCCTCTTGCGAGACCAGGAAACTATTGCTAGTTGTGGAGTTAAGGTATACCTTAACCTGGCGCCTTAGACCAACTCGGCCATCTTACCAGTAGGATGGAATTAAGGGGTTGGTATTGTCTTACATCTGATCCCTTCATTCCAAATTAAATTAAAAGTGGCAACTCCAGACCGGATTGCCTCGGGTGGGGCTTTCCCATTTGAGCTACGATCTCACAGATAGTATCAATATATTGAACTGTACTTTTCAGTCCGTCAGAGTTTTCATTCTTCAGCTCTACTCCGTACAGGGAAACTCCATGCCATGTCTCGTCTTGACCTTAAAAGAATCCTGAGAGCATAACAAAATTCCCGAAAGGGGCCAGTGCATCGGCAGAAGAACGTTCTCGACCCCCGAGATCGGAAGCGGATAGCTCTGACGCAAGGCGCTTTTTATTATTAGACGGTCACAACTTTCCAAAGCTGGGAACAGACTGGTCCACTGCCAAAAACAAACTAATCAGATTCCAAAGGATCATTCCATATGGCTCTTTACAGTCGCAGGAAGGTGGACACCTTCAGGGGTGGCGGTTTGAGTCCACATGATGTAATATTCGCCCAGCACATTTTCTAGGATCAGCGGTCAAAACCAGCGGTGGCCCTCGCATCTTGGTCGATTTAGCCGCAAACCTTTCATCTTTTTTTCAAGCTCACTCTTTTTTTTCAATCCCTCCGATCACAATGGCAGCCCTAAAGCTCAACACCAAGAACCTGAGAGCCATTGGGAAGCTAGGCCAGGGAAAGATCCAAATCCCAATCCACCGCGAGGCCAATCTCGCCCGGAATGTCCCAGTTAAGGAGGGAATCGTCCACGTCGGTGTCGGCGGCTTCCACAGAGCTCATCTGGCTGTCTACGTCGACCAATTGATGGAAAAGCATGGTGAGACTAACTACGCAATCTGCGGCGTTGGCTTGCAACCCTTCGATGCTGCCATGCGTGATATCCTGAGAGAGCAGGATCACCTCTACACCGTCATAGAGCGCTCTGACAAACGAAGTTTTGCCCACGTTGTTGGATGCATTAATTCCTACCTCTTTGCTCCGGACAACCGCAAGGCCGTCATCGACAAGATGGCCCACCCTGATACCCGTATTGTGTCGCTCACCATCACCGAGAGCGGCTACTACTACAACGAAAACACACACGAGCTGATAAGCGACCACCCCGATATCAAGGCCGACCTCAAAAACGTGAACGCACCCTCCACAACCTTCGGCTTCCTCTACGCTGCCCTGGCAAAACGCTACAATGAACAACGCGACCCCTTCACCGTCATGTCGTGCGATAACATGCAGAAAAACGGCTCCATCACACGCAACATGCTAGTGTCATTCGCGCGCTTGCACAACCCCAAGATCGCCGATTGGATCGCCGAGAAAGGCGCCTTCCCCAACGCCATGGTCGACCGCATCACACCTCAGACATCACAGAATGACAAAGATACACTAGCAAAGGACTTCGGAATTCAGGACGCATGGCCCGTCGTCACAGAGCCCTTCATGCAATGGGTTATCGAGGACCAGTTCTCCGACGGCCGTCCAGAATTCGAGAAGGTTGGTGCCCAGGTCGTCAAGAACGTCCACGACGTAGAGCAGTTCGAGAAGCACAAGCTCCGCCTTCTTAACGGCAGCCACTCGGCCATCGGATACCCGGGTCAAATGGCAGGCTTCAAATACGTCCACGAAGTCATGAACAACCCGCAGCTGCGCAAGTTGGTGTGGGAGATGATGCAGGAGGAGGTGAAGCCGCACTTGCCCGATATTCCAGGCGTCAACATCGACGATTATTGCAAAACGCTCATGAAGCGCTTCTCCAACTCAACAATCATGGACCAGCTGCCTCGCGTCTGCCTCAATGCCTCCGGCAAGATCCCACAGTTTATCATGCCGTCGATTGCCGAGGCAATTATGGCGAGCAACGAGGAGAAACGTGATTATCCTTTCCGCCGCCTGTGTTTCGTCGCGGCCTCTTGGTTCTTATATATCAGAGGTGTCGATGACCACGGCCAGAAATTCGAGGTCGTTGACCCCATGCGTGACGAGCTCCTGGCTGCAGCTGGGGATGACACGGGCCCCCACGGGCTGCTTCAAATCAAGAGCCTCTTCGGTGACGACTTGCGCGGATATAAACGGTTCACCGATGAGATGGAGAAGGCCATGGAAGACATCGCTGAAAAGGGCGTCCTGGAAACACTCAAGGAGTACTTCCCTGAGGATGCTAACTAATAGCTGTTGATTTTGGCGGGGGAAAAAAGTTACATTTGCGTCTTGTGAGCGTTGTTTTACATTTTCTTTACATGCGATAGACGGTAGTTAAAATTTACCTAGCTATATGTATGTACTTGTATATTGGAATGGATCTCACTCTCTGGAGAGGCCTATCAGATTTGGTTGGGACGAGTTTTCTGGGTGTGTTTATTTGAGCTACAAATTTTGTGGACCGGGATATAGCCATGGAGGTCTATGATGTTTAGATAGACCAACGTGAATTTTAATTATTACATTCGACATTCGATATACTTCGGGAGCAACTTTCCAAGCATTCTGTGTGGAGTAGACACCTTGTGGTCCCCGGGGTTCACCTTCTCTCGATGAGCGTGCTCAATTTTACATGGAAAGGAGAGATGAGCACTTAGAAAAAAGCAAAGTGAGACCCAGGAAAATTGGAGAACGTCACCTGGACATGCTTAAGCCAATCGTCTTTTTCTATGAGCTGTCAACATGGCTCAATGACAACACGAAATCCATAGCCAATCAAGTATTCGATAGTTATCGCTTTTGTATTCTAATAAAATAATTCATACATATTAGTGACCAACTCATACCTAGAACTATGTTACCAAAATACAAGCTAGAAAAGATTTGTTTAAGTATTTCATCAGTGGATTTTGTAGTATCCGGGATAATAGAACACCCGCTAGCAGTTTAAATAAGGAATATGTATAAACAATGTTACAGCAAAAAAGCAAATCCCACAAATCCAAGTTGGATGGAGGGCTATGTAAGAAAGTCAAAAAAATAATAGTAATAATAAAATCCAAGTCTAAATCATGAATGTGCAAACAAATCAACAAGTCTACAGCATGATCATGAAGACACCAGAGGCGACAGCAGCGACGGCATAGGCACCGGCCTGCCAGACACCAATGTGCACGGCCTGGGGAACAGTACCAGCAGCGATACCAGACGAGGTAGCACCGCCAGCAGAAGCAGAGCCAGAAGCAGCAGCACCAGTGCTAGCAGCAAGACCGCCGCTGACAGCACCAGTACCAGCCGAGCCAGCAGCACTCATCTGAGTAGCACAGGAGCCAGAGGCAGAGGTAGACTTCTGGGTCTTAGCGACACCGTTGAAACCACAAGCATCGCTACCAGCGCTGCCCTTGTTCTTCTGGTAGTAGGCGTTCATAGCCCAGGCCAGGCGCTGCTTAGCCGAGCACATGGAGTAAGCACCGTAGGTACCAGAAGTAGCGTTGGACTGGACTCCGTTCATGACACCGTCCTCGCCGCCGAGGTACCCGAAGGTAGCTCCGACCTGCTTGTCGGTGATATCGGAGTTGGGGACACACTCGAGGGAGTTGTACATGCACTCGCAGAGGTCAGCGTTGGGCGAGGGGGGCAGCTTGCTGGCGGCGTTCCAGTCCGCGCCGATGGTGGGACAGCTACGGCCGACAGTGGTGGAGACGCTGTATTTGGCTGATTCCACGCCGGTCGGGGTTGCCGAGGCCATTTGCTTGGAGAGGTTGCTGAAGTCGGGGAGGGTTTTGACGTCGTCGCCGTCGACGGAGACGAGACCGTATTTGTTGGCTTCTTCGTAGTACATGTAGACGATACC